GATGTTTTTCTAATTTTTTTGATATATATATTTTTTTAAATTCAGGTTGTTTTTCATGTCCTTTCCTGGCTCTTTGGTTGTAATATAAATTTCACAAAAAGTGCTAATAAATTAGTATTCGTATTTCTTATTTAAGTAAAAAAAAAAAAATGAGTATCAAGTTGAAAAATTATGATAGCAGAACTATTGATGAATTGTCGACAAAAACTATTCCAGCTGTCCCTTCATTTATACAATAGTTTTTAAATTTTTCAATTTGAATTATGAATTTTAATTTCTATATAATGTTTTCATTGTATGTTTCATACTTCTTTATAGTGGTACGTAAGTCTGTTTTATTTATTTTTTTTTTATATATAGAGGATTTTTCTCCTATTTTTTGGTTGGCTTCTGATTTAAATATAAAAACTTTTTTAAATTTCAATTAAAAAAAAGGGGGGATTTTAATGTCAATCAAATCAAAAGAAAAGAAACTTCTTTGTTTTTTTATGCATGATGAAAGCAGAAAAGCAAAAAAGTGGGACAATCATCCGTTACAATTAGAAAAACTGAAAAGAACCGGATGGATCTAGGGCTGATGAACATGAAGAAGAAAGAAAGCAAACGATCAAAGAACAATGGAAGCAACTGGCAACGTGGACGAAACTTGTCCGCAGCGCACTCGAGGAAGAAGGTGAGAGTTGTGTCGAAGAAAAAAAGGACAATAAAATAGAAGAAAGTGCCATGAAAACAACCACATGCATACCTTGTCTCCATCTTCATTTTCTATTTGTGTGCATCACCCACTAATCATTGCTGAGCATAAAAACAAAATTCCATCAGCCCCACAACATAACCAACAAGTGGAAGCCAACACCTTGCTTTGTTTTCCAATTACCTATTTCCCCATCATCAATCAATTTAACAAATAATAAATAAATAAAACACATAAAGGAAAAACTATTATCAGAATAATATATATCTATTCTGCAGTATAACGGCCTTGCAAGGAAAGATAAGGGAGGCGGCAGATGCTGCTACAATATTTTTCTATTTTTTTCTTTTATATATAAAGTTAGATGCCATGCATGCATCAATGTGTAATAAACATATGAAAGTTTCATGAAAAAAATTAATGTTGTAGAGTGGAAAATCAATCTATCTTTCTTAAGTTCCATGATCAGTGGCAAGCTTCAATCCCAATCAACAGTGATAACCCAAATAAAATGGTTCGTTAATTGAAGGTGGAATAAAAATTCATGAGATTTCCAGTTCAAGTCTAATCTTTTATAAATGTCCTTTATTTATATTGTTTCGATTAATAGTTGTATCAGAGTTAACCATGTATATTTAAAAATTATCTTATTTTAATTAAGATCGAGATTTCATTCTCATTATCCACCCATAACTAGTCATAATTATTTTTTAGTAATATCAAATATAGACTTATTTGATCCATAAATGAATACTCTAGAAATTGACTAGGCATGTTATGACGTGTGCTTAATTCAAAATATGATAGGCTTAGTTTCGATTGATATAAAAACTGATTCAAAAATACTCTAATACCTCTGTATATATAAATTATGTATCTTTTCGATACTTATTTGATTTATGCTTTAAATGTATAGACTAAAGTTACTTGTCATGAAAAAAAATATATATATTAACACTTATATTTGCGTAGGTTTGTTTTCTTATTTACAATTAGACTCTCTCTTTATTGTTTTTATTATTCTTTGAGGAAAAAAGCAATCATGTAAGGGAAAAAAAACATAATTATTAATATGATAATGACTTAGTATGATTTGTTGAGAAGCTAATAATGTGTGGTGAAAAGCTAGGAGGCTATGATCAATGAGTAAATTTTTTAACTCAACTTGCACGTTTGAAACGAGATCATATATTCTGTAAAAAAAAAAAAAAAATTAAATAAACATTAAATTAACATGTATATGTTGATTAATTAGCAAAAGATGTTCTACCTACACCATGGTTGACGTGCAAAATCAACATTACAAGCACCAAACATTTGCAGAAAGTAGCTTGATAAAAATGATCACATGCATCGCACTCAAAACAAGGTTATCCATTTTAGTTGACCTAATTACACTAATATATATATTTCAAAAGAAAATTTGTCTTAATTTGTAAGCAAGTTTTTGTTAATTTGATGATTGAAACCACACTGCAAGTTTAATTAATATTGACCTTTATGATCTATAAATAAACATGAGAATAAGATTTTGGTGGTTTAAAATGATGTTTAGATGCCTTATAATGTTGATTGCTTTGACAAGCAAAGTATCACTCTTTTCCTTGAATTAACTTTAATCTTTCTTATCTTCATATATATATATATTAATTATTGAAAAATAATTACAAATTAAAAAAATTAGTCAAGACAATTTTATTATTATTATTATTATTTTGCATGTTCATGGACTATATGCATATGTTGTGTGATAACCAAAACCATATAAAATAGTTTTAAAAAAGGTATTTATAAAGCCATTTATGTCCCACAATAATATATAGTTAACAAAATTGCCATAATACTGCCAAGCATACTCTTGAATAGATTTTAGATTTTATGATCAAATAAACATACAAGTTGCGCACTGACAAAATAATTTAATGAATCAAAAGTTGAATGTCCTCATGCACGATCCAATCACTATCGATATAAAGAGATGTCTCTCTTCATTTTTTAATTATTAAAAATAGAAATCATAAAAAAAAAATTTAATAAAGTTGAACCCAAGCCAAGTCTCACTCTCTGTTGTTTCTAGAGAAATTCAAAGCTTGAATTAATGCCATTGGTTCTTTCTGACAAATTTAACTTGTTGCAAAAATTTGAAGCCAATTGTATGCATTAATCCCTTGTTAATTTATTTTTAATCCAATTGGATTCTTATTTGATTATGTGGATTATACATTGAGGTAATATAATTTTAATATTTTCAATTTCCAAATACTCTTTGTGTCATGAATAATTAGCTACGTTAATTCTATAATAAAAACACTAAAAATACGAGATATTCTTTTCGTTTCTAAAAATATTTTCTTTAACTTTTTTACGTAGATTAATAAAACTATCATTCGTTATCTCGTATTTATATTTTTTGTTCATACTTTTTTACGCAGATAGATATAAATAAAAAAATTTAGACTTTTTTTTAAACAGAGAAAATAATAAAAAAGCTAAAAAAGAGAAAAAAATATAAAAATATAAAAATATGCGATCAATACAAATCAACTTGCCGTCTTCTATTTGGATTCCGAGCTAATCTCACATTTTTGTTGACCATTTTGGTAGTATAAGGCCAGTGGAAGTGAAAACTAACATTTAATGAAAGCTATGCCAAGCTAAAGACAGGAAGCTTAAACTTCGAAGTCAAAAGGCTAAATCGATAGGCACGTTCACAAGTTTGGATGGATTCAACCAACAAAGTTGTGATTATTATCCTAATTATTTTAAGTAAATATTAACTGATTCTACCTATTTATTCATACTCAAATTAAAGTTAAATGATCTAAACCTCTCTTAAACTTTAAATTATTTGAAAACTAGTCCTTTAATTTCTAATTTGAATTGCACTTTTCTCTAATTATTTTTTTTTCCATAAATTCTAACGATGTATGTACAAGTGACGTGCATGTAATTGACTTTTTGACTTCTTCATTAGCTAAAATTATGCAACCTTATGGATGTTTTGTTTTTTTATTTCTAAAATATTTTTTTAATTGCTAATATTTTAGCATTTACAAAGAAAGAAACGAGTTATAGAGGAAACAACAAAGTATTTATAAATTTTCACATTTTTTTAACTGCTGAAAAATTATACTTATATGTTAAAATTGACGAAAACTTAATAAAAATATTTAATTTTAAGTGAAAAATAATTGATAATAATAGCGTGGATTGATGAATACACCCATCAATAATAACAAATTTTTTTTCGACAATTATATATATATATATATATATTCGGACCAATTTATCATCGATCAAAATTAAATTGATGTATCGATAAATTATTTAAATTTATTTAAATAAATAAATTTTCATAAACACTAATTTTAAAGCTCTAACTCAAAAGTGAGGAAGTTAAGAGAATAAACAACCCTTTTTAAATAATAAAAGAACTGAGTTAGTGAAATAGATTAAATTATCAATCAATCCCTCTAATTTTGCAAAACGAATTTAATATTTTTTTATTTTAAATTTTTTTAGTCAATCTTTTCATATTTTTTGCCTATTTTTTCTATTTATTAAAACAAAAAAAAATAATGAAAAATATTTAGTTATAAAAAAATTTAAAAATATAAGAACTATATAATTAATTATATATTAAGAGTAAAGGGACTATTCAATTTTTTAAAAAAAACTATAGGGACTAATTTATAATTTACTAGTGCGAAATATGAACGTGAATATAAAATAAAAACAATAAATTTAGAGAAAGATAGTTAGATAGAACCTGGGAGCACTCAAGCAAAGCAAAGGTAATCCAATTAATGTGACTTAGGTAACCCGCGTGGTTTCCCGTGACTTGCTTTTATAAGCCTCTCCCATCCCGCTTCCCCCTTTCATTTCTTCTCATTCCTCCTCTCCCAACCTCTCTCCCTCGCCTCCACCACCACTCTTCTCCACAACCGCCGCCGCCGTTGTCTATCTTCCTCCTCCGAAGAACCCAAAACTCTACTCTCACAATCTTATTTGCCTTGCTTCATGTTCTTTTGCTACAAGCACAACTCATTGGCATCTATTTCCTTTCACCCCCCTCCCCCAACTCGCCACCACCTCCGCCGTCGCGGCCATCATCTTTCTTGTTTTCGTTTTCCTGAAAGGTACTACACAATTAGACTCTTTATTTTTGCGTATCCAATTCTTGAATTTTGGCCACCTTTGTATAGCAAAAAAATAAAAACAAAAATCCTTAGCTTACAATAATTACTTATCTTTTGCCATATTATTTCATTACAGGCACTGAAAAAAGAGAGGGATGGCATTATTAATGGCTAGCAACCAATCAAATTCCGACATGTCATCACAGCAACAAGAACCAAACCAGCAAAGAAAGAAACGCAGAAAACTTACACATGAAACGACAGAGAGTCGCATTCAAAACGATGGCACTGGCGAGAACAAAAACCAGCCTACAGTGAGGTGGCGAACTGACTCGACGAGGCGGATCTATTCGTCGAAGCTTCTAGAAGCTCTGCGTCGATCACGCCGGACAACTCCTCGGAATGAGAAGACTAGAGAAGTTCGAGAAACCGCTGACAGAGTCCTCGCGGTGGCGGCGAGAGGGAAAACCAGGTGGAGCCGCGCGATTCTCGCGAAACGCGCGAGGTTTTTGAGAGTAAAGAAAGTGAAGAAACCGAAGGTGACAAAAGATCGCAAGTTACCGGAGAGAGAGAAGAGGAGGAAGTTTCCGGCTGTCGAGAAGAAAGTGAAGGTTTTGAGCCGGTTAGTTCCTGGTTGCAGGAAAGTCTCGTTTGTAAATCTTTTAGAGGAAGCGAGTGATTATATTGCGGCTTTGGAGATGCAGATTAAGGTCATGGCCACTCTCAGTGAGATTCTCAATGCCGCTGGCGGCGGAGGAGGCGGTGGCGCGGGAGTTGGAGGCGGCTCGTCAAGTTGAGAGCAGAGAAGTCAAATATCTTAGAGCTTGTTAGTTATGCCAGGTGTCAATTATAATTAATTTTTTGGTTTTTTGTTTATTAAAATATTTTTAATGTCTTTTTTCCTTTTTTCTTTTTTGTCTATTAATATTAATTCATGATGTTATTGTATACATGCCTTTTTCTTTTTCTTTTTCTTTTTCTTTTTTCTTTTTTTTAGCATTACTTTTTCTTTTTCTCTTTTACTTAAATAAATTATTAATTAGTATTAGTAATTATTTAGAAAATGGAATATTGCCAGCTAAATTTTTTAGGTTTTTAAATTATAAAGAAGACTAAAAAGAAACAATTATTTTTTTGTGCTTTTGGCAATTTCTTTAGGCAAATTGTTTTTTTTTTTTTTTAGAATTTCACATGGCAAGATTTGAATAGAAAAGCAATCAAATTAGAGGGGTATTACATTGTAATATTCTGTAACAAAAGGGAAAGCGTTGGATAATTCAAATTTTGAATTTCAATTTGAAAAAGTAAATCAGTATTTCAAGTGAAATAAAAGTTATTTCCAATCATGTTAAATTTAGGTAAAAAAGATGCTATTGAAATTGCATAAAATAAAAACCCTTTTCCAAAAGAAATTTCCCTATCTTGAACAATAGCCTTTGTTTATATTTATATGCTTCTCCTAACAAGAAATTGACAAATTCAATGTTTTTTTTATTCCAACTAATTTGTGTATTTTCGTGGATTTTGTATTTAATTAAAATTTTTATTTTGATTTGCTGTGTTCAATTCAAATTTGGTATGGAATTAAGTTTTTTTCTTTAAACGATATTAAGAAAACAATTTCTATTTTAATCTAGTGTATTCATTTTGGATTAGGTATTAAATTAAGTTTTATCTTTGAACGATATTAAGAACATAACTTTTATTTTGACATGCCCTATTCAACTTGGATTAGACTTGAAAAAAATATATATTTTTTTAATATATGAAAACTAAAGTGAGGTACAACATTATATTATAAATAGAAATTATAATAATTTGTAACATATAGTGGTAGAGATAGAGATGAATCCTTATGGCATGACAATAATGGATAATTGTGAAGAGATTTTTTTTTTTTTTTAAGTTACGCATCCAAAGCTTTTAATAAAATAAATTTATTAGGATTTAAATTCGTAATTTTTAATCCAAAGAAATTATTACTATTAAACTATAATTTCTTTGATTGATTATATTTACGAAGAGATATGAAATCACATGAAACGAGGAAAGAGTGGGAGATAAAATGATAAATAACACCACAAACCAAGAAAGTTCGTAGAATTGGCCAAAGAGGTGTATGTTCTCTAGCTAATGACCAACACAAAAAAAATCTTCATTTCATGTGCCTTAATGGTCCTACACATTTTCATGCCACCGACCCTCGTAGCCCCACACCCACGAATGGGTTAGGCTTGCATGTGAAATATGAACTATTATTGCCATGGAAAACCCTCCCTCACATGCCATTTTCAGAACCCCAAAAAACACCTATTTCTACCATATTTTTTAACCCTAAATTTATCACCAAAGTTTGTTCTTTTACTTGATTTTTTAAGTTTGATTTTAAACTAATCAAGTCGACATAAAAATAATAATTTAATTTTGATTAATACGTAAATTATCGTCTAAAAGAAAAATAATTGTGGTGTTGCGAATAAAAACACAGACTATGCTAAAGTTTTTTGCATGTGCCAAGAAGAAAGACAATATTGTGGTCTAAGAGTATAGACCAAACCCTACTTTTGTTGGGGCCATCTTAGGGCATATCGTTTTCTTTTTTAAGTGCTAACACGTGTGCAAGGGCTAAAACCCAGTTGTCAATTTTAATGGAACAGGTGGATAGAGGTCCCAATGGCATCATATATAGCTATCAAAAAATGGGGTTTAGGTGCTAAATTGTCACGATGAAGATTGAATTATGGACCAAAGGACCACATTTGTTGTTCTTTTGTAGGCTGCCTCGTTGTGAAACAAAATCGCAGATTACCTCTGTTTTTATTCAATTATGTTATTATGCCCACAAATCCTCACATGTATCCATGTGCTTTCATTTAAGAAGGTTCTTGTTCTTTTCCCTTTGGTTTGCTTCTTCATTAATCTACCCCTATCATTTGAGGATTATTTGTGTGTGAATGTTTGAATTTGTGGTTAATTTTGTCAGCAAAATAGGAGATTTTTTGGGGCAGGTTTGGATTTGAAATGAGGAATGGGTTTTTGGTGTTTTAAATGAAATATATATGATTTTCCAACGTTAAGATAATTAAAATCATGCTTTTGAAAACTTAATTAATCCCAATTCCAACACGCCAAAATTCAAGAAAATATTATACATGAGAATCATTCATTTAATGTGATTTAGAAAACTTAAATGAATAGGAAAATTATTGGTCAAGAATAAATAGTGTGTGTGTGTGTTCTCTTTTATGAACCAAGAAACATTGCCTACCAACCTTTGTTTTGATTTGTCTACGACTCTTGTATTTGATGAAATCTTTTGAAGCCATGAAACGAGAAAAACATTTTACGACACCCATCTAAAAATTTAAGTGATGGGAAGACATTTTGTTGCTAATTGAACTAATTTTATCGCTAAATATACATTTAATATTTAATATATTATTATGATAAAATTTTTAAGTTAAACTATCAAAATTGATCACGCGACCTACATATAATTTTTTTTATTTGATTGGCTTATAATGATACGTATTTTAGGAATAAAAACTAATCATGTATAAATCAAATGAATAATTTGAATAGTTTGCCTTGAAAATTTTCACAAAATAATAGATTGAGAACTTAAATGTATATTAATAATAAAATTGATTTATTTCAATTTAAAGTTACCTTATTAAATAACCATAGATTTAGCTATTAATTTTTTTTTAAAAAAAAAAAAGGGAGAAGGATTTTATTTTTATTTTTATTTTTTAATTCAGGTGATTCATCCTTCGGACACCATGAATAAAAACAAAGAAATCTTGTGCACCAAAACAAGTATGTCCCTTTTAAGTAAAGCTATATAATAAATGTTCAACCACACAAAACTAGTAAAATATTCTTGTTGCTGCCTTCATGTGAGGTGATTAAATTTTGTTTGATCAAAGATAGGGATGGTGGCATGAATTTTGTAACCTAATATGTAGGGTTACTACTGCATTCCAATAGATGCTACAAAATCATTATATATATCTTTGCTACTTGCAATTTATTTTTTGAATGTAATGTGGCCATAAAGAAGCCTTGTTACCCACAATATGAGGTGTTAATCTGTCGGTGCCAAGTAGTTTTTAGGAATAATTAATATTGTCATAACTAATATAGTACCATAGAACAATTAGTATTGATTTTTCAAATAAATTGTTTTGAATGTTCATAGTTCTCTTATAATTTCTTCATTCTTGGTTAATTAGGTGAAAAAAGAAAGCCCACATTTATGTTGTTCTTGGTGTTCAGGTTGCTAGAAATTTTATATCTTTTTAATTGCACTCAAACTTTGGCAAGGTCGGAAATCGAAGAGAAGAAGATTCACATAGTTAATTAATTGTTTTGGATAGGAGATGATCTTTTATCTTCAAGGCCTTCACCAAATAGCCTCTTCCACATTGAATTCATGCATTGAAAATAAGATTGATTTTCCTCTTGTTTTCTCTACTTCAAAGAACTGTTTAAATTCAATACAAGGCGACATTATGTGGGCTGCAAAACCATTAATGCTTAGTGATAGGGTTATGGGGTCTAGAAAGGACCTCTCATAGGTTAAAATCGTGGATGGATTCCATCATGAATTTCAACGTGCATGTGGCAAAATCAATTGCCACTATTGTGATCCAAAGCAATGTCTCAAAAAAAGTTTGCAGCTAGGGTTAGGCCCTGGCATATGAATCTTTTAGCTATAAGCCAACTGGGGTAGGCTAGATCACACAAGTAGAAATCACATAGCTTTGAAATGGAGATTTTAACCTTTCAATTGTTGTAAAGGCATGTCAATCTTTTTCGATAGAGGTCCTTCAATTTGAAGAAGATGCTCTAAACAGCCAGAAAGATTTCATTTTCAGGCTCCCTTCTCCTGTTAAATTTCGACACATGTACCAGCTCGACATGCTACGTGTCGTTTTCCTAGTGGCATCAAATTCTAACATGTCCGAGCAAGGTAGCACCTAGATCATTCTCTTGGATCATGAAAAAATCTTAATTTCTCCATGCAAATGTTCTTCAGTGATTATAATTCAGGTAGCGTGCAGTATGTAGGGATTTGAATTATGATAAGGAATGGTAGGTTCTCCAAAATCATCAAGAGCATGACCAAAAATTTTCCACCGAACTAAGGGAAAAAGAAGGGCATGACATGAGGTTTTTCTTCTTCTTTTTCCCCAAGTGGGAGTTAAAATAATTTTTCATGAGCTTTTGATGTCTACTCTTTATGTATCTGTTTTTGTCAAATGTCAATTTAACTTGAACAACTTTCTCTTTTGTTTTTCGTTTCTCTTGTCTTTTCAATAATTTTTGTATCCTATTGTGAGGAAAAAAATTTTAGACATTAATTTTGACATCTCTAGGTATAGTTGCCATGAACATGACTTTTTATAACATGCCAACATTGCATGTGCCTCAATAGTTAGAAGCTAAATCCAACTTTTGACGCGATGTAGTGAGGAAAAAATAGACATAATATCTAATCCAAAAAGAAATGTTTAAGGTTACGACAACAAATCATGAAATGGGATTGGATAACCAATCTTTTTTCTTTTAGCTATGATGGACAGGTTTTTTTTTTTTTTTAAGTTACATTTTATGATATTTACAAGCCAATTTTCATTCATAAATCTCTGTTCCATCATGTTTTAAGCTGATGTTTTTTTAATAGCCAATAAACTAGTCTGAATCTAAATAATTATTAAGGAACTCGTCTTAGATTTTAAATCGTAAAGTGTATTATGTATAGCTTTTCACATTTCCCTCACCAAGAAACATGCCTTCACTAGCTAATGGTAAGAGGATTTTAGTTTAGTCAAAACCAAAATTTAATTTTCACTATTCATAGATAATTAGTCATAATTATTTTTCATTGATATAGGCCTTAAATTCATTTGATGTAAGAGAGAGTTTAGCGGTCGATTAAAGAATAATCGGGTTCTAGTGCTTGGTTTAATCTAAAAAATGATGGACTTAATCTCAAATGATATAAAAATTGATTTGAAAATATCCTACTATCTGTAAATATATATATAAAAAATATCTTCAATTTTATGGTGGTCACAAGAATATACAAAGAAGTGTTTGTTGGGATATGGAAATTTAGAGATGAATAAATGATTTTAAATTAAAAAAAATGCTTTTTTTCTTTGAAGTGATATTTGCCCCACTACAAATGTAGCATATTATATGTAGGATTCAAAAGCAACTCCAGGACTAGACAGCCATTAGAAAATTTAAAATAACAATTTTTTATATTTCTTTTTAAACTTAAAAAAAGAAAGATATTTTTTAGAAGAGAAACGAAGAATATGATGAAATATATTTCATATATTTACAAGTGTTTTCAACATTTTAATTTACAGTTTATAAAGAGTCATAACTACGTACTATAATACATTTATTTGTCCAAAATATTGGATATATTTATGAATGATATACAAAACTGTTAAAAACCAATAATCATAAACATGACAAAACGATTTCCATCAAATTAGAATAGAAATTAAAAAAAAAAACAACATGACACGATAAGAAATGAAGGATACAGCAGGTTTTCATAAATAGATATATATGGAAGTTTTTTTTCCCCTCCCAGTAAAATTTCATAAACTTTTGATGTTTCTTGTTTATGTATCTGTTTTTGTCGAAAGTCAGTCAGTTAGCTTAAACAACCTTTTCTTATGTTTTTCATTTCTCTTGTCTTTTCCATGATTTTTGTATCCTACAGTGAGGAAACAATAAACTAACATGGAATGGGATTGGATAACCTATCTAATCCAAAAATCATACAAGTCCAAACTATATATATATATATTTGGTAGAACATTCAATCAAAATTCTGATTAGAAAGCACGATCATGAAATGGGATTGGATAACCTATCTTTTCTTTCCTTTTTTAGCTACGAACGGATAAGCCTAATAAATAATATAATAAAATCCCAAAACATGAATTGAAAGGAACTTGAATATTATAACGCACAAGAATCAAATAGCAAAATACAAAATCCAACTTAAAAGCAAAAAAAATAATTTTTATTCATAAATTTTTCTTCCATCACATCTTAAACAAATTAATTATTTAGCCTCTCTCGGTTTGATAAACGAATTAATTAGTCTCTCTGGTTTTGAAAATAAATTATTTAGACTATTTTTTAAACAAGTGTTGACCACGACTAATTTTTATTTTTTTCTCATCAATTTATCATATATTTTTTTATTTTTTCTATCTTTTAAAACAAAAAAAATCAAATAAATTAAAAAATAGCAAAGATGACTAAATAATATAATTAGTTTTTTTAAACTAGGGGGACTAATTTATAATTTACTCTCTCAAAAATCAAAATGTTTGTGGATAAGCATAAATCGTACTCTTAGCGTGGCTTTACAAATGAAGGCATTTATTTACCCAAACAAACGACAAAACAAAAGAATCACTTTGGAGTTGGCAAAGGTCCAACCTTGAGGACAAAGAGAGGCCCCAACATCACTGGGTATGTTGGGTTGGGTTGGGCCCTAAACAGTGAAAAAGAACAAACGTTTTTGGAAGTTTTTTAATTTTTATTGAAGAAGACACAAGAGAAAGAGGTACCACAAAATAGCAAAACATGTCTTCATGAATGGTTCCTTTATTTATTTATTTATTTATTTTTGTAAGAATCAAGTTGACTCTCAACATCTTTGAAAAATTAGAATATTCTTGGGTTTGGGGTTTGTGTCCCAATTCTTATTCCACACACGTGGCTCCATTGTAGCAATCTGGGATAAGGACCTCTCCCTCCATCTTGGTGGCTTCACCAGTGACCAGACAGTCTCCACCCCTTTGACCAACCCATGGTTCTTCTTTCTTTTTGGTGATTTTTTTTGTTTTTTTACGTATCTCTATTTCACGTCAAAAATAAGACTAATCATGTTTGAAGTGAAAATAATAAAGTTTAACTTTTTTTAACAAATATGACTCCAAGATTCGAATCCTACATATTGATAAGAAATTCGTTTAAAGACTGGCTTGTTTACTTCTTGACCAACAACTTATTGATTTTTGTTTGATGATTTAATTAGGTCATGGTTATATTAGTCTTTACATCAATCGAAAATAAATTTATTATTTTTTAAATTAATTAGTTCCGATTAATAATAGTAATCAAGTGTCTTGTGAGGTGATTTCTTTTGTTTAGCATGGTTAATTGCCTTCAAAATAGTAGTTTTTACATTTTTCTTTTGAAATTTTGTTTTATTCCTTAAAATTTTATATATTTTTTATTTCTTGAGATATATATATATATATATATATACACACACACACAGTTTGGTGCTCCATATATATAATTAAATAAGTTTGTAAGTGGTTGGATGATTATTTTTTCCAAATAATTTGTATAGCCATAATTTCAACAATTTTTTTTATTTTTTTTTATCTTAACTTTTAAATTTTCTTATACTTATAAAAAAGCGACATAAAATATATAATCTATATAATCTATCTGAAAGTAAATGTTGCAAAGACAGATATATAAAATAAATTTCTCATATTATATATATATAATCTGAAAGTAAATGTTGCAAAGATAGACAAATTTCTAGATATAATTTGTTTTTTCTTTTTTTAACAGACCTTAGCGATAAACATAGACAACATATTCATTATATAAATTAGGTATAAAAAAATTTATAGAATTGATGACTGGAAATATCGATCTATGCAAAAATAAAAACCAAAACTTAACTGAAGACTCAATATATAGCAACTAATTTAAATTTTTAATTTAATTTTGATTTTTTATTACTATCCAAACATAATATTGGAACCAAAATACTTTTTTAATTCTCTAATTTTCATATCAATTTGAAATTAGCCGTAGGCCTCCAATACTGGCATTGGAACAGGGGTAAATTGGGATCATTATCATTAATTATCTGGGCAAGAAATTTTGATTTTAGCTAAGGAGCATCCCGTACAAGGTTAAAGCATATAGTGACAGTTAAATTTTTCAATACAAAGAGTTTTAAGTTGCAAAGGCTGAAGTGGATGAAAACCCGAAGTATAAGACGCTACGCATATAGTTCGTTAGGCATTTTTATTTATAATTCTAGTTATACATACTGTAAATAAAAATAACATTATTTATATTTACAGCCGTTACTTGATAAAACCCTAATAATAAATCTTAATACAGCTATAGAATAGACAAAATTGATGAACCAAGTAAATTTTTGTATTTTGTGATTATTCGTGTGTTTCTACTCTATTTTCTTGTTTGATTTGTTTCCTAACAATGAGTACTTGGCATTTACAGATATTCAAATAATCAAACCTATTTGTCTACTAATTAATCAAATGCATTCAACCACAATAGGAATATCCCTTCATTTCATTTTCATGACCTTGGAAATATGTTTTTGTTTGTATCATTAAATAAAATTAATACCAAACAAAATTAGGATGCTAGATATGAAAGTACAAGTGTGCAGGCTAATATCAAACAATCTGTTTTGCATCACCAAATTCACCACATCCTGGGCTAATACAAACTTTATACCACTAAAAATGTTTGACAGGAGCAAAAAAAGATTGCACATATCATGAAACCTAAAACTCTTCGAAACCATGTTAATCAGTCCTGCTTTGAGGTGGACAAACACCTTGTAATCCTTTTGATGATTCGAAGATTTATTTGGCTTTCATTGGTTCAGCTCTAGGCCTCCACAGTCCCAACCTATACTTGTGGGCATATTTCAATATAAGCTTCCTCTGCAAAACCAAAATCTGAAGTTAGAATTCATGACCCTGGGCATTTCAATTTGACAGGTGATTATCAAAGAGCATGCCCGGTGTTCCAAATTATGAATGATAGTTTGTCTATTATCTTGGAAACAAAGTATCAAATTTAAACAATTCTAACTAATCCATACAAATTATTTTCCAACCTTTCATTTGAAAATCTTAACAAGGTCCCATTGTATATGCTTTGAAAACCAGGCAAGCCAGTCAAAAAAATTTTTTTAGCTTTGGAGACAACAGAAAGAAAACATCAAAGCTACGAGCTGTCATAGGAAACCAGGAAGGAAAATGTGCTTAGAACTTTGATAATACAACTGAAGCTTGCCAACCAAATTTTGTTCTCAGCCAACCTAATCCGTAGCCAGAACCAGACATTATACAGCAAAGCAGTTCATTATACAACGATAAAACTTGACAATAGAAACTTTTGATCTGTATGCAACCCCACATCTATCAGAAGAGACAAGAGTTTTTCTCTTTACCGTTTGACAGTTTTGGACAAAAATGAATCCAAGCAGCCAACCTTAACTACAGTTTGTGGCTTAGTGGAGTTGAATATTACTGTTTTTTCACTTTACACAGCCAAGTCTTGCTACTAGTTCAGTTTGTGGATCAGTGGACTCAAATTAAGCACAGTTTGACTAGGATTAGAAACAGCAGTTAATTAACTGACAGACTTGCATGGTAGAAGAGGTATATGCCACATGATAAAGTTTTGAGGAAGGTCAAGTAGTTACATCATACCACAATTTTGCAACCATTCCATGCATGACACCACCGAAAAAAAATGACAATAATAATAAAACAGAAGGTAGATGAAGGAAAATTAATTCCAAATTCCAGTTCACTGCCTCACAAGGAACCACCATCACTGTATGATCACTTCATCTAAAGTCCCATAAATGTAAACTTTCCTTGGAGGAGATAGCAAATTTCTACACATTAACACTATGGTTATCCATCTCATTTAGCTAACCTACATCTTTATAGAAAAGATTATCATATTTTGCTAACCTACATCTTTATAGCAAAGATTATCATATGCATCCCTTACCCAATTCTCGCAAAAAATTGAACAAGTTACTAATGTCAATGCACCATATTGAATACCAAGCAGAACATTATCAAACTAGAACCATTAAAAGGTAGGAGTGGCTAGTTAAACTACATATCTGATATTATGTAGAAAGAATATTTTCAAATTAATCCAAGAGTGACAGAACATCATAAAATAGAGGCTACAAGAGTAATAATCTGAAAAGATATATCAGCTATAGCATGATGCGATGATTCTTTGGCCTAGTACGAATTCCATTAAAACTGCAACTTAAAGCATTTACATAGATATCCTCAAAAACTAGTTTCATCACGAAAATCTCAAATTACAAGAAGATATTGTCAGAATCTAAACAAACACAGACATGCACAGTTTTTTTTCAAAAAACAAAAAAAAAAAACACCAATATAAATCAAGTTTGGGATTGAGAATAATTACTTGTTGACAAGGGATGCCTATTTTCTTGAGCTTTAAAGTCCGAGTAACAAGAAGTTTGTGAAAGTCGCCAATTTCAGTTTCAAGCTTGGCCACATGTGCTTCAACTCCTTTCCCTATGCCATTTAGAAACTCTGGAATTCCAACTTTCACTGCAATGAAAACAACATAACAGCAACAACACTCTCCAAGCTCAGCCTCTTATTCATTGCAAAAAAAAAAAAAAAAAAAAGAAGAAGAAGAAGAAGAAGAGAGACATATAACTGAAAATCTATAAAAACGTCATTGTTCTAACAATGAAAAACGACGCATCCACCCAAGATTGAATCTTTCAAAAATCAATTCCATTTTAATCTCTTACTAAAACTAAATAATATTAACCTTTTCCCCAATTTCCACCTGTAAGTCATTTAGCCAGTTACTATTTACATAAAAATCAAATTTCCTCCATTCTAAAAACGCACACTCTAAAAAATCAAAACTTTATGAGCAACAAAAGAGAAATAAAAAAATTAAAGCAAAACCCACTAATCTATTCTCATTTCCAATCCAAAAAACCAAAAAACAATTCAAAAATCATCTCAAGAACATGAACTTAGCTAATGATTACACCAAAAAGAAAAAATGTTACCAAGGTAAGGAGAGGAGGATTTGGAGAAGAATCTAGAGAACCCAGGTGTAGAAATTGCTCGTTGTGTTGGGACTGAAACTGCCGTTTTTGTGTTTGTGATTAGTTGCCTCCATGCCATTGCCATCTTTGAATCTCTCTGTGTAAAGCTGCCACGAGGTTTTTGGGTTTTAGCAGAGTGGCAGTGTTGTCTAGGATTTTGATTGTGCTCTGTTAGTTTAGAAACGACATGTCGTTAAGAAATAAGTGATTTGTCATATCCATATAAATAAAAGGGTAAAAATATACCTCAGGATTGGACGATATAAATGGCCACACCGATGCCAATATTGGGTTTAATTTTTAGAAGTATTTTAAAAAGTTGGCCCGATAATTAAAAAAAAAAAAGTATGTTTTTATAATTATTCAAAAAATTTTAATTTTAATTAATTTGTAAATTTACTCGAGAATATTCTTCAAAAAAACATTGAGTTTAACCATTACAAGTGTTAATTAACTATATTCCAAATTTTAGGAGGATGTAGGTTTTTGCCAACTTTCTAATAAAATAGATAGAGAAAATATTATACTCTGGTTTTTGTTTTTTTTATGAGTTTATAAGTTAATTTTTTTAGTTTATAAGTTAATTTAAATTTTTTAAATATCCAAATTGTTGTTGTTAAATGGAATTTTGGTTTTGTTTGTTGTATATGTAGGATTGGATATTCAACTAGAAATAAAGGACATGAATGAAAAGAGGGGGAAAAATGCCAAGGATCAGTAAGAGGTTTTTTAAACTAAAGGGATCAATTAACTAAATATTTCACTAAAAAATAAATAATAATAAATTTACTTCAAAATAAGTACTAGTTAACTTTAATTACAAAAAAAATAGGATTATCGATGTATTTGTCTATAAAATCAGGAAAAAAAAATGGTTTTGCATTAGTTTAGGAAATGAAAGTGAAAGCCTTAAAAATTTCTACAAAAAAATTACAGGTTTTTTTTTCTTTTTTTAACATAATAAGTCCAATATTTTCTAGATTAGCGCATCACCAAATCTAGTCCAGAACGTAATAGATTTAATTTCGATATATTGTTGTGAAAATTGATTCGAAAATACCTCATTATTTATAAAATAATACTAAATATATATTTTACATAAGCAATATAGTTTTTTTTTTCCCATTATTGTGATAAATCCTATAGCCATCAAGAAAAGCATTCCAATACAGATTCCTGATGCAACTCTACTTCCTATAGTCGGCTAACTCCTACATTAATTCACTGTAATTATCTTCATCAACCATCTGCCCTACCAATATATATATATATATATGTTCTGTTTCTTGATAAGAATACCTAAAACTAGCTCTCTTTCTTTTCTTTTCTTTTTTTCTTGAAAAAACTATGCAGATATTCGTAAGAACCCTAAGAGGCAAAACCATCACTCTTGATGTCGAAAGCTTCGACACAATCGAAAACTTGAAAGCCAAGCTTCATGAGAAGGAATTAGGCATCCTTCCTGAGAACCAACGTCTAATATTTTGTGGAAAGCAATTAGAGGAAGGAAAAACCCTAGCAGATTACAACATCCAAAAGCACTCAACAATCCACCATGCTCTTAGGCTTTGTGGCGGCGGCGGCATGCAGCAAATCTTTCATTAGAAGTTGAGAGTTCCGATACTCTTTTGATGGTATGAAAGCAAAAAATCAGGACAAAGAAGGCCTTCTCTTCATGATCAGCAGATGCTTATTTATGTAAGAACTTAGAATTAGAGAATGAATGCTCATGATGTTCACTTTTTAATTTTTATTTGGTATATATTAAGATGATAATACGTAGTCAATAAAGCTTTATAATCATGTTAAGATTGCTCTGAATTGAGCTCTTCTATTTAATTTATCTATCATCTTTTTTTCTTTCTTTCCTTTTCAAGGAATATGAGATTCCCACTTACCATTATTCTATATTATAGTGATACCAGCAATATTCCTAATAAGGCAATAGTTGTTATCAAGGATCCCATTAATAGTGAAATAAAAGTTGCAATTCAGTTGATATTAATTAATAAAGCAACGATCAGATTGTGTCATAGTAGTTAAATAACAATCATGTTATATTAGTGAAAACGATTAAATTATGTAGTAGTAATAAAATAACAAAATATTAACATAACGGTTTGTTTGTAAACTAGTCATATAGTAAAATAACGATTTGTTTGTAAAATAACAGTTATCGGGTCATATTAATTAAATAACAATCTATTTGTAAAATAACTATAAAAAAATAGTCTTCGTAATAAAATTACAATCATGTTATAATAGTAAAAACGATCAAATTGTGTTATAGTAGTTAAATAATGATCATGTCGGAATAATAAAAACAATCAGATTGTGTGGTAGTAGTAAAATTAGTTCATAATAGTAAAATAATGATTCTAAAAAAAATTATAGTAAAATAACCATTATTTCACTAATAATACACAATATATCACTAGCTTAAGGTATATAATGTAGTGATAACGCCGTATAACGAAAAACACAATAACCACACGGACTTCTTACCATAAATAACCAGCCGAACAAAGTTTTTTGGTTAATTTAATCTAATTTAATGCTCAAAGTTTAATGTAGCAGAGTATTCTTTTCTTGAATTCTCCTAATTTTTTTTTAACAAGATGCTATGTTTTTATCGTACTACTATCATCACCTGTAAAACCATGTGTTGGATTCAATCTAATTGATGGTAATAATAATAATAATAAAGATTCAAACTCTAATTGCCTTTTTATTTATCATATTCTCTTCAATGGCTACAAAAATAAATGTTTCGAGTTTTTCAAAGCCAACCAAATTCTTACAAGTATCTGAAACGTTATACTTCAAGTACAATCCCTCTGGCACAACCTGGACCAAAGACTCGGTAACATAAAGCATACAAAAGGTACATATCAAGAAGAGGTCTTAATCAGCTAACTACTCCGTCGTTACCTGCCAAGAAAATGTACTTGTCTTTCCTTGTCAAGCTAGTGCATTCAAAATCCAGGGCCTTGGCAATCTGTGCCTGCACATGATTTGCAACCTCAAACTTTGATTTCCCTCCATGCCGACATGTTAACGATTCTGGCAACTTCTCGAGAACTCTGAAAGTGATATTTACAATAGGATTCATCAGCAGGAAAAAAGGGTCCAGGCATTTAAAACCACTTGCCGTAGTCGGATAAAACATGCTAACTTGAGTATTAGTGGCCATAGGAACTATACTATCAGTTAGCTCTGCAAACATGGGACTAAACCTGAGTAGATAGGGCTCCCTACAAGTAGTTCCTTCAGGACAAATTACAAGGTCACCTTCGCTCAACAATTTTTCCATCAGGTTGAAATCTTGTTCTCTATTTCTCGTTAATCGGACGGTCTTGATTGGTGAAATTAGTTCGCAAACCCTGCTTAAACTATATGTAACTGCGGTGAGAGGTTTCATGACAGCAAGTGATCTAGCTAAGATTGGATCAAAGAGACTTCTGTGGTTGCAAACATAGAGTGTGCCCTTTGTCTTTTCTTCAGAGTTAAGTTCCGAAGTAAAGGATTTTGGTTTCACGACTGTAATGCCTCTCATTCCTGTTAGGGATAGAATGGGGACAGATAACTTGTAAGGTAATAGCAAGCCAAGAATGGTTCTAATTAGGAAGAGAATGAATCCAAATGGAAACCATATGAACATAGCTAATGTGGCTAGTGGAGTTGGCCTGAAAGCCAATCTTCCATCATGGAAGATCAATGGCTTTGGATATTTGTTCCTCGGCAGGATTTGCCATGTTTTTTTCTCAGCTTCACTTACCAAGTAAACTTCCTGATCCCAAAAACAAAAAATCATGATTGAGTTTGTTAAAAAAATAGCACTTGATACAACATAGAGAAGAGAAAATTTGTGAAGCAATCGATGAGTACTAACCTTGCAGTGAGACAGAAAGTGCTGATCAAAAGACTTGTTGAGGCTGCCAAAGCCAATAACTTCATGTTCCTTTTGTTCCTCCCTAAGAATCTTGTCGACAACAACCTCACTTGTCTTTTTTTCCTCCATTAAGCCAACAAAACATCCACCAACCACCTTTAATTCTCTTCCAACGACAACCTCAATTCCCAAGAAATGTCTCAAATATCCATCAACCATAACTCTAGGCAAATCACTCACTCCTATTTTTCTCCCACATCTCATCACTATATCAAATCCTTCGTAGCCAACATCCTCTAAAAAGAACTTAGGCAAGACAGCTCTTCCAATTATAAAACTATCTGCCTTGATTCCAACAAAGCTTACAAAAACCATAATCTTGAGCCCCAATTCTTCACCAACCAAACAAATAAAAGGGTATAAAAGCAAAAGAATAAAAGCTCTCAAGGGACTTCCTGCTTCAAAGGCTACCAGCATGAAGTAAGGGAATACTGAAGATGATTTCGATAAGCCTCCCTCCACATGAAACATCAAAGTTTCATCCCGAAGTAATTCTTGTTTATAATTGGTAAGGGAAGGATATTTTTGAAACTCTGAGTAGGATGAATGGGAACTAGCCGTTCTGTGGAGATAAAGATTGTTGAATGGTTCGGTAAGCAGGGCTTTGAACCAAAAGAAAAGATCAGCTTTTAAGTTGAATAGTTTTCTAGCCATTTTTTTGTAACTTTATGTTTGGAATTGAAAAGGAGTTTTATAACGCAAGAATGTTAAGTCATGAGAAATAAGAGAAGACTTGGCATTACCGGAAATAACTGTAAAATGAATGTCGTATATAGAAACTTAAGCTGTTATGTGAGACCTAAGATATAATTTACATGATTTTTTAACATATTCTCTTAAATTAAAACTCTTTAAATTTAAAATTTTTCACTCGAAACTTACATAAGTCTCTCACACTATGTCAAAAGATCTTCTCATAAAAAAATTTAAGCTTTTAGGAAAAAATCTAAGATATGATTTATATGACTCTCTAATAATAGCATAAATGATACTTAAGTTACGTTCATGAATTATTTGACGGATTATATATATATATTTGAGGTATTTTTAAGTCAGCTTTTACATGAATTGATATTAAGTCTATTGCTTTTTAGATTATGTCAATGTAATATTATATTTAGTCTTTAGTCGATTTTAAAAATTAAATTCTTTAAATCCACTATAATAGCTCATATCTAGTGTCACACAAAGAAAATAGAAAAGATTTTTGAAAATGAGATGGAATCCTTAACCTAGTGAATAAAAACACTTTTCTTACCGCTTAAAGTTTGAAAAGCCTCCTCACGAGTTCCTTAATTTGGAAGTCAAAATCATGTTAGGATAAGGGTTCTTTCATAACGTTTTGTTGCTTGGATAAACAAGTTTATAGGTAAGCAATTATCTATAGTGCCTCTATATTACCATATTTCTTGCAGAAGTTAGGCAAAACAAATGGCCAAAAAGCGGTCCATCTCTAGAATGGTCATGAACATGACAAATGTATTGAAACGCGTTGTCCTGATTGAGCTGGCCCCATTTTACAAGCCAACTCATGAACGAATTTAATGATCCAACATCATGGTTAAATGCTGATTTCCACGTTCACAAGATTCATTAGGGTTAGCGTTGCTAGAGATACATGTCAATCCAAAGCTTAAGTTTTGATGAGATTCAAAAATAGTTTTATATAACTTTTTAATTTTTAATCTTTCTTTAAGTAAAGTTTTTTTAAACTTCAACATTCTTTTATATTTAATTATTTAATTTTAATAAAAAAATTAAAATTGTAAGATTCGAATTCAAAATCATTTAATAACTTATATATCATGTCAAATAAATATTTTAACTCAAAAATTTAAATTTTGGATGATGTCTAAAAATAATTTTATATTCTTTTTTTATTTTTCAGGATATATTAAATTTAAAAAATTAGATTAATCTCTCGTTGTTTTATCGGATGCACAAAACAATAGTAATTATTTAAAAAAAAATTTGTACACATAAATATTCGAAATCAAAAAATCTATATTTATGTATAAGTGTCTTTTCATTTGGCATCTTACATGTAAAGGGCAGGTTTTTCAATTGTGAAGAAAAATATTGGGGGGGGGCGACTTAGATTTGTGACGAACCTTTCATTTGAATGAGTCGATTTTTGACGTTGTCAATCCATTTCTTTTTTTTTTTCTGAGGTTCAACAGCAAGGATATAATGAACCAGCTTTTGTACACTTTGACACTAATTTTTTTATTTTATTTTTGACATGACTAATAGACAGTATTGTTCCACAAATTTAGATATTCTAAAACTAAATTCTCAAAAGTAAGATAAAACTCTGAACCTAAATTATAAATTGGTGTTTGCTTACTTACATACTACAATATTATGGTTTCCATTCAGAGGCAAATTCACAGCCTCTGTTTGTCCCTTATGAAAACTTGCAATCAAAGCAATTATTTTTCATTTTCATTTCCAAATTCGGATGCTTTCTTCAATTATATATATATCTATATATATATATAGTGGTCATTATCCTAGAATTTTAATGAATTTGTGATACAAAAAGAAGGCTTAAACTTATATAGTTTATAGATTAAATATAACAAATCTCTCCTCAAGTTTCAATTATTTAAAAATCAGTTTCTCAAATTCTAATTTCGAGTTGAATATTCTTTCAATTATTTTTATTAGAAACTATGTTTTTGTATTAAGTTTCCATCAATTAGATACAACTTAACGTGAGTCTCACAATATATATATATATCTATATATATATAAACAAAGACAACAATTTTTAGTTGCTTTGTTATTTTCAAGTAAAGAGGGGGTTTTGGAAGTTTTGAAGGAAGGTTCAGCTCTGTTTCATGAAACGTATATTAGAGGACACACATTGACCTTTCGAAAAAGATTTCATCATTTTGCATGTCCTTTTCCAACCAACCATTTTGTGTCATGTAGTTTCCGATTAAATTTCTCCATCGAATTATATTGTAAAACGAAAATGAGAAAAAGGAAGTAATTAGCTTGAATTAAATGATGTTAATTTCACATTGGCAAAGAAGAAACTAAAGAAATTTCTTAAATATTTTTAGATGCATCATGTCAATACTAATGATGTGTTATTAAAGTCATTTAAAAATAATAATAATTTCGATTAATATATAAAATTGTCGATGATATTTTTACCGCCAAATAAAAAAATAATATTTTTACCAATATCGAATAAATAAATAAAACAATTATGTGGAGGCAGCTAACCCATTGATTGTGTCGTTTTGCTCTTAATGTCATGGGCTAGCTATGTTTGGACCAGCACCCCACTGTCTTGTACATGTTAATCATCATATCAAACTATAACACTGGATTAGCCCCAAACACAGTCCAAGCTTATCAACACAACCAAATAAAATTGATTTGTATTTTATGGCCTTTAATTAAATCTATGCAATTAAGGTGCTTTAAAATCTTATTTACAAAAACGAGGCACTTTAAATCTTAATTATTTTTCTGCATTTTACGAAAAAATAAATCTATTTCAAACAATTATAAAAAATAAATCTATTTCAAACAATTATAAAATACTTTTTTATTTATATACCGTAAATCTCTTTCTAAGAATCAATCTATCTTTCTAACTAGCTAGTAAAATAAACATCATCATTAAATTATTTTTCTGTTCCATTAACAAATCAATCCATCTTTCTAGATAACAAGATAAATACTGTCATTAAATTATTTTTTGTCCCAATACTTTCTGCTTCTCTTTCTCTTTTGCCCTCTCTCTCCATATATAGTTAGGGTTCTTGTCAAATTTCGAGTTATTAGATTTTTTTTTTAACTTCAAGAATTCTGACTTATTAATATTGCTTTAGGTAATTCATTATAATGTTAATGTAAATCTATCAATTAACCAGTGTTGAATGTATGAAGATTTTTTATTTTTTTTAATAAAAGACAGAGAAGTTATATAACATCAAGAAATGGAAGAAAAAAAAAGTATTCATTTTATTAAAGTTTATAACCTCTAGAGTTTTTATAATTTTGGATTGAGGTTTAAATTTTATAGCACCAAAAATGTTCTCTTTTCAAAATTTAGATTAGGGAATTATGATGTAGAGAAAGAGGTTTTATTGATTTCTTAATTATTTTTCACATGACATGGATATTATTTCGAAAAAAAAATGACATGGATTTTTCATCTGGATCTTACATGTCATAAAATGTATTATTTTGATCACAAATAAGATTAAAAATACTTGATTATTAGAAATAAGATTTGAAATTACATTAATGTGAGAAAAAAACTACTAAATTTAGTATACATGATATAATAATAACAACAATAAAATATCATTTATTATTACCACTTTTTTTCTTGACAGATTCAATGCCATGGCTATTCTGTTTTGTGATACATAAATTTCTCACTGTAATTCTACCGAGCTAATGGTTAAGAACTATAAATGATTTTGCGATATAAATGAGAATGCCGCTGCCCAGACACTAAAAGCAGGTTAGTCAATATTAATTCTTGTCTTGCCTATAAAATTCTAGTTTTTCGCTAACTAATTCAATAAACTAGATATGAAATTTTGAATTCTACATGATTATTTATTTATTATTTCCGAATATACCTGTATCTACATGATTAATTTATATTTGTGACGTGGATGGAGAGGAAATAATAGTTATGTAAAGAAAAGAAATAGAAATAATAATTTTGATAGTAAATTTAGTAACAACTTAAATATATTTAAAGTATTTTTTTAATTTCCTCCATTACCTTAAATATGTTTATGGAAACAACCCCATGTTTAATTGATATAAACTCTCCAAATAAAAATGCAATAGACACGATAATAATAATTAAAGGTTCGGGCAGTGTAAATCTTGTATTACATGATTTACTAATATATACAAAGCATGCCTTTTACATGATTTATGGCAGATTTCTATTTCATAAAATGTGCATTACCACTAAAAAAAAAAAAGATAAAGAAAAAGAAAAAGGCTGTTGGAGTGTTTTGTAAATATTGAAAATTTTTGAAAGGTAAACGTATCTATTTATCCTTATATAATACCTAATGTCTCACATCTGTTTCTAGATTTTCAATTGCATCACATATTTTTTTGAAATTTTTTAAAATGTTTAATCTGTCTTTTCGATCATAAATTTTTTAATCGAAATATCTTTTACTAAAATGCAAAAAAAAAAAAAAAATTAAAGTCACATGACTAAAATGTTCTATTTTTTAAGTCTTTAGAGTTTTTTTTTCACTTTAATCAGAATATTTCTGTCAAAAAAAAAATTATTTAGCTGAAAAATTAGATTTTAAAGACAGATTAAATATTTCAAACACATTCAAAAACAAATGAGATGTAATTAGAAACTTAAGAACAAATAAGAGACATTAGGCATTATATAAAGATAAATGAGTATGTTTACCTAATTTAAAATTATGTTAATTATTAAATTGGTTGTTACATATAAATTCTTGAAACTATATTGATTTCGTTCATGTGGCTATTATATATATACAGTTTGAAAAATTCCATGGCAGTTATAATCTTGGTTGAGTAAATGGTTTTTTAACAGTACTGCATATGGTTTTGACAAAAATGTAAAAAGCATCCAAAACGTTACAAACCTTTCAGGCATATATACTGTTCTGAAAAAAATAAAAAAGCAAACCGTTACATGGCCAAAATTATATAAAAAGGATTGCTACACAAAAAGATTTGATTTTAAATTCAAACTTTAGAGTCAATATCTAGAGAAATTTCTTATATTTTTCTGAACGCACCAGATTAAAATAAAAAATACTCCTTTAAAATTAATTTAAGAGAAATTTAATGTTGATTGATATAAAAACTAATTTAAAAATATTTTTTTTATTAAATAAAAAAAATTATGTGGAGACAAATAACTTATTGTGTCAATTTGCTTATTAAAGTTCATTGTTATTATTATTATTTTTTTTTTGAAAATATATAATATATTTGAATTAATTTATACGTGAATCAAAAATAAAGTTTTATATTTGATGCATGCTACATTAGCGGTGGTTTTTTTTCCCCTCTTTTTTTAATTGTAGTAGGACTTTTGTTTTATGATTTTTTTTTTTTTTTGGGGGTTATATTATTATTATCCACAAAATGGACATGGGTTATATGGGTTAGCCTGGACTTCTTGCTCTTTGTGTAATGGGCTAGCCATGCTTGGACCAGCACTCTACCATCCTGTACATGTTAATTATCAGCCCAAACACAGTCCAACCTCATTAAATCTATGCAATTTACAGATTTACAAGAGAAAGTGAGCTACTATTTGACTCTATCAAAATGAGTTTTTTTTTTTTTTTTTTTTTCAAACTAGTATATTTTGTATTTAATCGATAAAATATTATACATTCGAGGAAATAATATTTTTAATGAAATTAAAAAAGACTTAAATGTTATATTTCTTTCACTGTATTGTGTCCTAATAATTCATATGAATGAGTTTGAAGCAAAGTCACAAAAAATCTTGCAAGGCACTTCCTCAAGCCACAACACTCTTTCAAACTTAAAATATTCATAGCTATCATGTCAAATTCAGATTAATTAATTGAAAATGCATTCTAAGCTCTAAAACATTAATTTACTATTATTATTATTATTATTATTATTATTTTGCTAAGGTGGCACAACAAGATATGTGCTCCATGATCGTAAATCATGAGAGGAGAGTAGGATATTTATGGGTATAGCACAATGATCTTTAACTAAACTCATTATACATATAATTAATATAATAGTAATAATAATAAGTACTATCTAATTTTAACACCTTTTTTTTTCCTCCACATATTCTATGCCATGACTATCAATTTCTTGGACATATATATAGTTTTTAGACTGTGATTCTAATTAGATGATGGTTAAATGACAAAGATGAGGATGGAGCTACACAAACACTAAAAGTGGCCCATCAATTAATTCTATTATTGCCAACAAAATACTAGTTTTTCTGCTAATTCAATAATTTATGAATTAAATTTTAAATTCTACCTTATTTACAAAATTATTTTTCTTTTCTCTTTCCTAATATGCTTGGATTTAAATTGTGGAGTTTATTGTCCAAAATACTGACTCTTCAATTAAATGTTTTTTTATAAATTTGAGGTTGATAAAGAGGTTACAATAGTTATTTAAAAAGAATTATTCGAAAAAATAATTATTATATGAAATTTTGAAACTCGTTGAATATATCTTTAATATTTTTTTTAATTCCCTCCATTACCTCAATTATGTTTATGGTAACAACTTCTTATTTTTAATGGATAAAAACTCTTCAAACTTTTTTTTTCATTGTTTCAAATATATGTATGGAAATAATTAACTTTTAGTTGATAAAAACTCTCAAAATAAAAGTTAAAAATCATTGTTGTTTTTTTTTCCCTGAGAATATATAATATATTTGAATCAATTTATACGTCAATTGAAAATAAATTTTTATATTTGATGCATACTACCCTAGCTGTCGCTTTTCCCTTTTTTTTTTTTTTTTATTATAGGACTTTTGTTTTATGATTTATTATTATTATTATCATCCTCATGATGGACATGGGTTGTATGGGTTAGGCTGGACTTCTTGCTGCTTCTGTAATTGGACCAGGACTCTACTATCCCGTACATGTTTATTATCATATCAAACTATAAAACTGGATCAGCCCAAACACAGTCCAATGTAATTAACACAACCAAATAAAATTGATTTGCATTTTATTGGTCTTAATTATATCTATGTAATTTACAGATTTAATAGAGACAGTAAGCTACTTTTTATTATTATTATTATTATTATTATTATTATTATTATTAAGACCAATGATGGTAACCCTATCCATTATATAATAATTAAAGAAACTAGAGTTATCTGAACTGGAATCTTACTTTATTAGGAAAACTAATTAAGTACAAAATCGTAAGGTTAAATCTATTTGTATTAAGAAGATACCATTTGATTTTATCAAAGTAAGATATTCAATAAGATCAATCGATATAAAGTTAGACGAGTTTAAACATTGCCATGACTTAATATGCCAAAACAATTTATCAAAATAATTAAAAACAATTTCTTCAACGTCTCCATACTGTTTGTGATGTTCTGAATGGAATTCAATTCAAAGGTTTAAATCAATTCTCATATTTGGAATACTTTTTAGGTTATTGATTTGAATTTCAAATGGAATTCAATTTATTAAATCGATATATACCAAAAAAAAAAAAAAAAGAACTGAATTCAATTGAAAGATTTTGGTTCAATTAAAACAAGTGTTAATTTACAACAAAACTCTTTTAACAAAATCATGACAATATTTTTCTGTTTCTAATTAATATGGAGAATATATATATATATATATATATATATATACAAGGGGATTAAACGACATAGTATAGATATAATCAAGGGTCGTAGGGATTTTTGAAAAACCCTGAAGAAGTCATGGTCTTCTCATGATAATTCTGATACAGAGAGCTCGCATATAACTTCTGGAAGAGTTATGCAAAGAAAAAGGGTCTCCAAGATTTTTTATGTTCTAATTAAAATAGCAGGGAAAACAATGCATTCAATAGACAAGTGGAAATCCTGACGAACGGGAGTCGGTACGAGTAGATGGAAATTGCAGACAATTTTCAATCCATAGATTGGATGATATAAATTGACAAGTGGAATCAGTATGTGGCAGAATAAATTAAAGTTTAGAAAAGTTGAAGAAGCTCAATGGATATGATGGGTACACATGGTGTGTTTTAAAGATGTCTGCTTTTATATTAAAGGTCATGTTAAGTAAATTATAAATTAGTCCCTCTAGTTTTAAAAATTAATTAATTAATCTTTTTATTTTAAAAACTAATTTTTTAATCATAATCATGTTAATTTAATATTAATATTATTTTTTTTTACTCATCAATATTTTTATAATTAGTTTTTGAAAAATAATTAGTTCATTTCTCAAATAAAAAATTTATAATTTACTCCTTAAAAGTTGAAATTGTAATTTTGCTATATATATATATTAAAAAAGTACAAAATGTTCTATTTAAATAGTAACTTATAAATTAGTCTCTCTATTTGTAAAAAATAATAAATAATAAATAATTTTTTAAAAAAATTAATTATTTAATCTCTTTAATCATACTTAATTTAATATTATTTTATTTTATTTTATAAAAATTCATCTTATTCCATCAACTCTTTCCATATTTTACTTATTTTTATATATTTTCAATTTTTTACATTAAAAAATCAAATTAATTTGAAAAAGAACAACAATGTAATGCTACCAAAAAAAATAAAATATAAAGATTAAATAATTAATTTTTTTAAAAAAGAACTAATTAATTTATTGTTCAAAACTAGAGGGACCAATTTATAATTTACTCTCCATTTAATAATTAACATTACCAACTGAAGAAAGGTCCCAGGAACAAGAAGGGCAAAAACAACAATGCCAATAGCAAAACAAAAAGGATTAAAAGGAAAAGCTTCCTTTTTACCAGGGGTCAAAAAGTTAAAGCTCTTCATTCTTTAATAACAACAAACACCTTAGTTACAAAATCACCCCTCCACCACTAGCGTGGCCATCCCCTATTCTTGAAAAAAAAAACAAAAAAAGCCACTTAATTAATTATTAAAAAAACAGAAAAAAAAAAAAAATCAACCCCAAACCGCACGAGACTCACGTGCTCATCATCTAGCTCTTAACAATCAAACCTTAACCAGTCAACAGCAACAACCACAATATTGTTAACTCCGCCACCAAACTCCTCCCCAGCTGACGTCATTCTCCGGCAACACCAGCAAGAACATTCTAGAAACTTCTTCAGGACTAGGAAGAACTTTCCTTCTAGCCTAAACGGTGCAGCCACAGAAGAGAAAGAAGAAAGCCAACATGGAGACAAGAGCTACTGATTCAAAAGCAGTGACCAAGCTCCAAACCACATCGTCCAAAATCGAGAAGTCAAGCTCCGGCCACCTCAACAACCGTCGTGGGACCCACCATCTTGATGGGCTTGTCGATGTTAACTGTGACGGCCACCGGAGGACGGAGATTGAAGATGACCAGAGAGAAGAAGTGGCGTAAGCTATGTCGACACCTAGCCATTGCCGGAATGTTGACGTGGACCACCTCCCCGACATTATCGCTTTCTTGTCTTGATTGACCTCTCCTCCCCTCTCTCTCTCTCTAAGTCTAGAGTAGAGATATTTCTCTTTCTATAAAAGAGAGTAGGTGTGTGTATCATTCTAGCAGGTTGTAGTGGAGGGTGGGGCTTTTATAGTTATAATGGTGATTTAAGGGTGCGATGCTAAGATGCGGTCTTGATTACGTGAGATTGGTTTTTTTGGACCCACAAATTTTGTTGATCTTCATTTTTGTGATTAACTAAGAAGTTTATAAAGAAATATAACTCATGTGTTTCACAATCCTTACAATTTTTTTTCCCTCCCTATCTTGTTATATAATAAAATAATTTTTCAATATATTTTTATATTATTAATTAAATTAATTTTATTTTTAAACATATATGTTGAGCGTGTAATATGTTTTTATGATAAGATTTTTAAGTTAAACTATTGAAATTAATTACATGATTATTTGACTTGTTTATAAGAACATTTTGAAAATAAAAACTTGTAAAATACAATCATGTGAATAATTGTGATTGTTTGTCTTGCAAATCTTAACAAGAGACAAAAATTCCTCATCCTTGCCCCGTGCCTCGAACGGGGCAGAATTTGCTATCTCATCCCCGTCCTAAACGGGGACAAGAATCCCCATAGGGCAAACGAGGTCTCGTTTTATTGTTTGTGTCCGTCCTATTTTGCACCGTTTTGACAGATTTTATAATGAGCACATACAATTTGCATAATTTTGTTTCCTAAACAAGAGATCAAATCACTGGAACTCAAAGAGAAATAATAAAAAAACATATTCCAGCACATACTTAATTATAAATCACTATTAACGAGGCAAAACGGGATAGGGTAGGCAAATCCTATCCCCGTCCAAAAAAATTACGAGGCGGGCCCGGCGATTTCGGGTCAAGTCATTTTGTCATTCCTACAAAAATGTCTGTTAGTTTGAATTTTTGCATTGGAGGGAAATGTTTGAAACCCTAATCAAGGAACAAATTTTGAATTTTGCCTACAAGAAGAAAACAAAAATTATGGATTCTAATGGTTGCCAGCTTTTCCCCAAATACTACAAGACAATTAAAAAGAAATATTTGACTTTGAAATGAAAGACGACAATAGAAATACGGTGCATGTTATAGTTAACAGAGATTTAAATGTTAGGAAAAGCAAAATTCTAATTGTTATAAGAACAAGAATCAAAATACAAAGTTAATCGAAATAAATCAAAAGTTTTAAATAAAATTGATAAAATACATACATACACACACATATATATGAAATCTATCTTCTTTTTTTGCTTTTACCTCTAATTAGATAAAAAAAAAGTTGGGATATTAAGGTTGTTGTAGACTGTATACCACAGGTAAATTAATATGAGATATGTGCTGGATGTAAGTAGGGAGCACGTTGGATGAAGTAGGGAGCACGTTCGGTTTGATTTTTGTTTATTCGATTTTAATTAGATTTTTTGAAAAAATTGAATTATGAGAATAAAAATATATTGGTTTGGTGTTTGATTTTCAATTTTTTTCAAATAAAATCTTTCAATTTATTTTTTTTAATTTTCGGAAAATAAAAAAATTAAAAGAAAAAAGAAGTTAAGTTTTCAATTTATTCGGTTTTTAACCGAGTTGAAATGAAAATTGAATTACCAAACTAACCGAAATTATGTTCGGTCTGGTTCAGTTTTTCAATTGTGCTCGCTCTTAGGAATAATGATATAATAATATTTTACATGAGTAAAAATCTAATCTATACCAATTCATAATATTAAATGATATAATAATATATTACATGAGTAAAAATCTAATCAGTACCAATTCATAATATTTTTATAGATCAATAATTCATTTATAATATCTTCTAGTTATTTCAATCATCATTACTACTACTGTTATTTTTACCATCACTAGCATTCGATCATTTCCATGGATCGCCACTACTATCTACGTGATGTAGCCAATATTTTTTTCAACATGATCAATTAAGAATCATGCACCATCTTTTGAAAAATTACATCTATTGTTATTCTAATATAAATTTCTTTAATAGTAAAAAAAAGAAGAAAATATTCACAATTATTCCCAATTAGGATTGTAAATGGATCAAATCTTAATCGAATTCGACTCGAATATGATATAATTAAATGAATTTAGTAAATAATATTTTTTATCCGAGTCCTTTAATTCTTTTGTTAAATAAATTAAATTCGAATATATCTTAATTTGATCTAATAATAATCTGATCTGAATTTAAAAATAATATTTTTATAATAAATATTTTTTGTAAAATAGTAAAAATTCATATATGAAAAAAATATATAAATACGAAACTAGATTGAAATTTAATTTATTTATTATAAAGTTCAAATGACGCATACTCTTCAACGGTGATAATTAAATTTTCAAAAAAATCACATGTAAATTTTTTGTTATTTTCTGAATTCAATTTCGTGAAAAAAAATTATAAATTGATTCATATACATTTTCAAAACTTGGTATTATTATATTTATCTCATTCTATTCTTACTGCCATGTGGACAAGATATTTATTATTAAGATTATTTGATTTTATATTTTTGAATTGTGTGATGTTTTAAATTTTTTACAAAATCGATAAATAAAATATTATCATAATATATTTTATTATGCATATAGTGATTGAAATATATTTTATATTTGAATAATGTATGAAGCATAACAATCATAAGTTTTCTATAAAAATCAAATGAAAAATCTGATGGAACTCTAAATTCGATTCGAATTTATTAAAATCCGAATCCAATTTTATATTTTAAAACTCGATATAAATTTATAAGATTCAACCTTATTCGTTTTACTAAACAAATCAAATTTTAATCTGTTATAATCCAATTCAAATTTGACGGCCATATTTCCAATGACTCTTCATTTTAAAAAGAAGTTACATATCTATGGCGAAGTAGGAAGGTGAATATTAAGATGCTATTTTGTATAGAAAAATGCTTCTTTTTTTTTTAATCTTATTTTATAAGAAGATAACTGAGGCAAGTATTACGTGCAATAAAAAAAGATAAAAAACTAACTTCTCTATTATTGGTGTATAAAAAACGTGGAAGGCAAAAAAATAAAAAATAAACATGTAAAATTGTCTTCTTCTTTTTTAATTTCAATAGTCTTCACTCACCTTTCGTTGAAAATCACTAAAATGATCCTATTGTACGTAGTTAGTTTTTGCAACTTAACAAGAGGGTCATTTTAATGAAATAAAAAAAAAAAAAAGGTTTTATAATGTTCGTGGCTACCATCACCATCCCAACCATTCTCGTTCTACATTATTACTTATCAAATATCGTAACGTGTGTCTCATGCACAAAACAAACGCCACCTCACTTATAAAGGATTAATTTCTGATGTGGTTGATAATTTTTATTTTTATTTTATTTTTTTGAAATTTCATGTCATTGAAATGTCCGCATCTGGACATCAATGAACAATTGCTTGCAGATTATTCTATGAACAGTTGCTTAAGGAGAGACATAAATGCATCGAGTATATTATCATCCCTTTATTACGAACTACCCACATTAAAGTCTTGCCACAAATGTCACAACAAGTTGCTAAACCTATGAGCTGGCCTTTAAAATATCCCTTTATAACTAAAAAAAAACTTTGATTTATCCTTTCACAAATATAGTTTTTGAATTTCTCTCTTTCGTTAGGTTTTTTTTTTTGAGAAATCGATGGAAAATTTCATAAAAATCCTTCCAATTTCTATCATTTTCTCCACTAACATAGAAAAACATGTTTAGTATATAGAAAAGAGAGGATTTTAAGGGTTTTTTTTTTTTTTTTTTTTTTTTTTTTTGTAAAATTTTCAATGAAATCCAAGGGATAAATTAAAAAAAAAATCATATTGTTTATGAGATAAAATCAGGATTTTAAGGGATAAATTCAGAAAGATATTTGTTTTTATTCAAATTTAAAAGAGTATTTTATAATATAACTATTCTGACTTGCGTTTTGAATTTTTACAATCAACTTATCTATTATCTTGATTTGTATTTTAATAGCATTGTCGGCTTGTTTATCATATTTTTCGCTTCTTACATCCATTCAGCTTAATTACTTTTTTATTATCTTTATAAATTACAATAATAACTCTCTATATCTTAATCATCTATTTCTAGTTTGCTAACCCATGTGCAAATCGTTAAGAATCTATCTAGATGCTTTGACTAACATAATAACTTGAATAGTAAAAGGCTATACACAGTCAATATAAATCGGATTCTAAAATCGTATTCTTATTAACTCCTAAACAATTAATCAGGTTAGTTTAATTTTGAAAAGCTTGCATTCCATGCTTCTGGTTCAAGTCTTCAAACCTTCGTGCTAACAATCCAAAAGCTAGGTTTGGTCCATGAAATTTTTTCTTGGTTCAAAGAAAAAAAGAGAAACCAAAAAAAGTTTTGTAACTTATGAAAAGAAAAGAAAAAATAATTGTAGCGTAGAAAACTAAAATAACACTTTAGCATTTAAACTCGGTTAATAGCTCAATTTATTCTTATATAATAAAATAATTTTTTAATTATTTTTATATTTTTAATTAAACTAATTTTATCTTTAAATATACATTAAGTGTCAAATTTATTTTTCTAACAAAAATTTCAGGCTGAATTACTGAATCAATCACACAATTTTAATGTAAAAGTCTTTTATTTGATTGACTTGTAAGTGTATTTCGAAAAAAAATTAATCATATACAAGTTACGTGAATAATTTCGATAATTTGATTTGAAAATCTTTACAAAAGACTAGATTGAAAATTTAATATATATTTAAAAATAAAATAAACTCTATTGAAAATATAAATTTATATAAAAAAAATATATTTAGCTATTAACTTTTTAAAACCAGTCCAACAAGCATCCATGCACAAACACAGAGCCATGGAGTTGACCAGTACGCATTACTCGAACTTCGTTTGGCATTCTTTCTTCAACACCATATCAGGACATAAATATATGATGAATTAATCATATATTTAGTCCTTATATTTTTTATACTTTTTTAATATGACCCTTTTTCTTTTTTTAATTGGTTCTTTTATTCAAGATTTTTTTTATATTGTCTCTCTGTCTAATTTACCATTAATTCTTGACATGTGATCTAGCATAACGATAGATTATAAATTGAAAAGAGGTTGAGTGGTAGCCTGGTAGGACTATACTAAGAAATTTCTAAAATAAAAGGACCAACTAAATAAAAAAAGAATATAAGTGTCCCATTGTCATCAAGAATACATGAACCAAAATAAAAAATTAATCATATATGGGGGAAAAAAACAAAAAACAAAGCTGAGATGTGTAGAACTGTATTCAACATTAAACATGAAGAAAAATACATTTCAGACATTTTTTTATTTAGAGATATGAAAATTTAGTAATTGACAAGTCACTCATTTCTAGTACACAATTTAAATATTATATAAAATCACTATAAAAACATAAGACGGTAGTTTATTGATAAGTAAGTGTTGATTTGTAGGTTAGGTCTAGGATTTGATTCTTGTGATCAACGCTGAATTTATTCTCAAAATATTCGAAGCTGTGCGTTGGGGAGTGTTCCTTATTCACGTCCAAAAAGGAAATAGTCTTGATGTGTGCGAAACTTGATCCGAAGCAAAAAAAATCACTATGAAAAAAGTTTGCTGATCAATAAGTTGTAATGAAAAGGAAACAAAGCTGATGAACAAAAAATGAACATTTCTTAGACTTTTACAAACTTACAATTAGTACAAGCAGCCTTTGAAAGAGTGAAGAAAAGTATGTTGAGTAGCTTCATCCTCCCATTCTAGCCTTTTCCACCAATCTTCCCACCCCTGGATGACAATTCTATGTCCACTTGCACTGTTAGAGTTAAGTGGAAGCTTCTTCAGATTGGAGCAACCATCAACAAAGATTTCCTTCAGAGATGGAAAAGGCAGGGCATGAGGATAGATGACCTTTAATTTCAGTAGCGAAACTAATCGAAGAACTTCGAGTTTTTCGAACACTTTGAGATTCTTTTGACCCGATTTCTCCTGTCGAATGATCTCCTCCATGTTAGAACATCTTGATATCATAAGAAACTCAATGTTTGGAGCAAGAGTTAGCCATGTCAAGTCCTCCAATTTTGAGCAATTGACAATAGACACTCGCCGGAGGCTGTTGAAGCTTCGTTCGGTCGCGATCAATGAGTTGTCGATCTTCAGGTCTTCCAAGTTATTGCAATCAATGAATTCAAGGTCATCTAGACAGTTCATACCTTCTAGAAATGATATGTCAAGTGACCTCGAGTACTGAAACTGATGGAGGGACAATGCTTGGGTGGAGGTCTGGAACATGTTGAAGCTTGCAAATTCTCGCAGAGAGAACTCGCTTCTTATGGTGATCGTCAACAGATTCAAATGCCTCAGGCACTGCAAATCTTTTGCCAAGGATCCAGGTCCGCCAGTCTGAATACCATCTCCGACAACTCTATCGGAAGAAGCGCAATGAATCATTCTCAACACTATCAAGCTTGAGAAGTTAGATATCACTTTTATCGGAATCGTGCGAAGTTCGTAAGTATGCTCCAAGTTCAAACATTTTAGCTTCACCAAGTTCTTCAGCTCGACTGGCAGCTGTCGTATTCCTGTCCTTGATAGATTGAGATACTGCAGTGAAACTAACTTCAAAATTCCTGACGGCAATTCAGTTATTTCTCTATTTTCGGACAGGTCTAGGACTTTTAGAGAAGGCATGAGTTGAAAGAAAGCATGAGTAATCATCTTCAAATTATTTTTTCCGAGAAACAAAGTTACCAGATCATTGCATCTAGGTGCTTTTGATAGATTCTGAATGCGATTAACCATCAGAGACACCCTTCTCACCCCTTCCCATTTTCCAACCTCTGGTGCTTCAGGTAACTGAGTCCCGGCCCCGACCAAATGCTCAGGCTTCTCCTTCTGGAAATCACTTGCTATCCACAGAGCCATATCGCGAAGCATGTCATGCATTTTCACATCTCTACCTTCATCTTCCAGCAAGCTAGCTTGTGTAAGATTGTCAATGATGTTGTAACCTTCAGTTCGAGCCTCATGTACATCATTATATTCACGCAAGAATCCCTCCCCAATCCAATAATCAATCAGGTATGACTTATTTATGCGAAAATCTTCTGGGAACAAAGCACAATACAAGAAACAAGATCTAACCTTGTCACTGCGAAGACTATCATAACCAAACTTCAGCAGCGCTAAGTCCTGATGCGAGGTACCTGAAAATTCTGCGGTGGCCTTGCTTAAGGCCTCGATCGAACGGTGCCATTCAGGGAGTGTCTTTCTGAAAGCCATCGCCCGGCCAACAGTTATAATTGCAAGTGGCAGACCGTTGCACATTTTGGCAATAGTTTCTGCTAGCTTAGGGATGTCCGGATGAATGTTAAGCGTGTCTTCCCCGACCTTCTCTTGAAACAACTTCCAAGCTTTCTCCCATGTCAAACCACCCACTCGTATTTTCTCTTCCGCTCCCATGGCATTGCACAACTCCTCTGAACGAGTGGAGAATACTAGCTTGGAGCCATTTTCTCTGGAAGGAACTCCCACTTCAGCTAGATCAACTGGCTTCCATAAATCATCCAGCAGCAACACGAACTTCTTTTGGCTCAGAACATCAGAGACCTCCACAGCTTTCTCTTGAAAACTTTTACCCTTCCATCTATCTTCAAGAAATCCTATTTCCTTACCAATGTCACCTTGGATTCTTTCACCGTCAGGATCCTGAGATGCCACTACCCATATAACGAAATCGAATTGGAGCCGTGAATTGAGCAAGCTGTTGCCGACTTGAGTCAAGAGAGCAGTCTTGCCTACACCTCCTGGTCCATATATGCCAATAGTCGACTTCTCTCTTTCACATAGGCAACTCATAACCTTTTCAAATGATTCCACAGGAGGAGGCACCGAGTTGAAGTACCCTTCTCCTTTGGTATACTGATCAATCACAACTCTCAGCTTCTCATCAATTTTCTTCCCTATCTTGTATCTGGACCAGCAATTCTTGGGACAGCAGGTTCCAAAGCAGTTCTTCTGAATCTCTTGTGAGGCTTGATCTGTCAATTCATCAACTTCAGTTTTCATACCTTCAACCCTTGAAACCCACCCTGTCACTTGATGTAGCATGCCGTGCGCCTCGGCCATTTGCACCTTCCCTGTCAGGTCGGTCTTCAGATGCACCAACTCATCCATCTTCATTTCCAAGGTGCGAAGATTTTGTTCATAACCAATATAATCCACAGGTTCTTTGATCAAATTCCACAGGAAGGTGAGCACTTCCCCGATAGGAATATTGGCCATGGTTTCAAAAGACTTGAACTGTTTTAGGAAATTAAGGGCAGAAAATTTTTGGTAAGTTGGTAAAAAGAATGGACATTGTTGCTCTACGAAAAGAAGGAACTGCATGCCTCATTTTATAAGAAGATAAGACGTGAAACACATTGGAAAATCGAATTTAATTTTCAACAAGCAAGCTAAGGAAGTGCCTTGTACACGCAAGGTATCAAACTTTAGGCTGTTGCATGTGTTCATCGTGTACCGGAATCCTCTTTACTACTAAATGAAGAAACAGATCGATGGCTATTCTTTTCCAAAACAAAAAAGATGATGGCTAGCTAACCACTTGTAGGGCCTGAAAGGTTCCTTTACAGGCTGCAGTACTGAAATAAGTTCTTTGTTGATGCATGTTTTCTTTTCTTCCATCAAAATCTGGCAAGTTGCAACAAGCTAGCTAGATTTGCCAAAGCTATCTTTACTGAAGAAAAGGCTAGCAATATTCAAACTCATAGTGCATTTGAAGAGAATGCTACTTCCTTACTACTTTACACTGCTTTTTATAATAATTATAGGACTTAAAAGTCATATATTCTACTCACAATGAAGTGGGATTATGTAAATTGTAATGGTTTGTGAATTTAGTCTATCAGAAACCAAGTTTACCTAAAAAAAAAAAAATCATTTGCTCATTGTGCTTTTCCTTATCCTTTTCCTTTATTTGCCTTGCAAGTTTAGATGTTTCCAGCATGTTTCTGTGCAGGCTTTAAGAAAGTGATAGGAATGTTTATCCTTGCATGAAACTCTCTGCATGCAGATCTTTTTCTTTAACAGAGAGAACGAATCTTCCAATATGTTCTTTATTGTTCTTTCATTATTCTTATCCGATTTGCTTTTATCAGCAGACATGCATGCAGCTTTCCAATACTATCAAGCACTCTTCTTCTCATTTTCCATGTGATGTAATCTCTCTTATGAGTTTTCTTTCTCAAGTTGAAAGCAAAGTCGATCGAAAGGCTTGCTCGAAGCAGGAAAAAAATTCTGTTGTTTTATGCAAACACATTTGAGTGCTAATGTCCTCGATTTTTTTTTTGACTTTTATGACGAGAAATTCGAGTCCATATCTTTCAAATGCAGGTTAGATAAATTTCAGACAAATACGTAGCTAACTTATTATTATTGTCAATTGAAACCGGATCCAATTTATACATTATTCTCTGCTTTCATCCTATCAAACAAAGTAAACGCTTCATGGAAGTGGTTGGTCTGAACATAAGCCGCCATCATGGCATTCCAAGAAGCAGAATTTTTCTCAGGCATGAGTTGGAAGATGGTAAAAGCCTCATCAATTAATCTCCACCTTTAATACCCAGGAATCAAACTAGTCCAGGAGACAGAAACAGGGTGAGGTCTGGTATGGAAGACCCTCCTGGCTTCCTCCAATGCTTGAAAGGTGACATACATATGAATCAAACTGTTGAGACAGACCTTATGAGCTCCAAAACCGAATTTGAAAAGGTGGGCATGGATTTGCTTCCGTGCTGGATGTTGCTGGAGGCTCTGAGAACAGAAGGGAAAGTGAAGCTGTTGGATAAAACGAGTTTCGCAACATGTGAGAGTAGAAAAGAAGGATGAACTTAGCGGGCAGTAATTGGGAATGAAGGAATCCTCTGAGGATGGAGTTGTAAAGAAAAGCATCTGGTTGGGGAATTGAATCGAACAGTTTCAGAGCAAAGGTGTTGTCAGAGACAGCACAGAAGCTGAGGAGTGGGGTCCAAAATATAAAAAAGGGAGACTAGAGGGGTATATCATGTAAACACCAAGAGAGAGAGAGTTATAGTTGTCCTTTCTTTCTTTCTTCAGGCGATCTCGTCTTTTCATCAACTTGATTGGATTGGATCTGAAATTGGAAACCCAACAGGAAGAAGAAGGTTTCTTTCTTCTCTCCATCAAGGTAACCTTCCTTCATTTTTGCAGAAAAATATTAGTCTTTCTTTAATGTTCTAGGTTTTGAGCACTGTGATTTGATTGACTGATTTTACTGCTACTATCATGATAATAATAATAATAATCAATGTCAATCCCAATCCCAATCTCTCAACGATGAGTGATCGATCACTTGAGGCTAACTCCTAACTGTAACTAAGAAAATGTATTGTTTGTTGCCTTTTCTTATAATATTTCCTCGTCTATAGATTTAGATTTCCGTCATCATTTCTACAGCATTGCATTGGAAGCAGCTTACTGATTCTTTTATTTGGTTGGGAATCAAAAGCTGCAATCTTTTCATACTAAATTAACCCCATGAATACTGCAACATCACTTCCGTTTTTTGTTTAAAACCTTTTCATTATCAACAAATCTCATCCATTTAGCAGACATTAATTCCAATTTTCATTTAGCAATAATTGTTTGACTTTAATCCTCTCATATATGTATGTTTTGAGAAATATTTTGTTTCTTTTGTCTTTTGGTTCAGTCTTTGGTGACTTTAATCCTCTCAACACTCTTTAACTCACTCACTTGTTCCAATAATTGTTGCTTTAACAACCTTTATTACCTTTCATGAGATCTTCCTGTACTCTCCGTTCTTCTTTTTTAGAATAATACTGCAACAAGAAAATTAAACAAAAATGATTCTAACTCAATTTTTTTACATGATTAATTCAATTTTCTAGAATTGGTGCCTTAATTTACAGTGCCATACATGTTTTTTAATATGTTTTTAATTAGAATAGCAACAATTCATTACCTACCTACTTACCCAATGTTGTATATTTCCTTCAAAGTTAGAGACAAAGATAACTTGTATTTGTTATTGCTCCAAATGTCTCTGTCGTTTGTTTTTGTTTTTTGTTTTTTTGTTTTTTTTTTTGAACAAATTGAAGCTATATATCTATGCGGTCAATTTCATCTATAGCAAAAATTAGGAAAATGGCAACGCCAATGGGATTGGCTCCAGGACTTTCTCGGAAGCTGAAGAAGGTGCTGGAATGTCGGACAGACAGTCCGGATCTGGTGGCTTCCCTCAATACTCTGTCCACTTTCTACAACGAAAACACCCCTCAGTCACGACGCAACCTCAGATCCACCATCGAGGATCGCTCTCTCCACCTCAATCAAGAATTTGTTCGAGCCTCCCACACTGCCCAGCAAGTAAATTATACATTAAAACTCCGAATCCTTCTATTCATTCTTCTATTTCTATTTAATTCTCTTAGGAATTGAATTTTATTATTATTAGGCTTTGGATCGTGTTGAGGAGGAGGTTAATGCCCTAGCTGAATGCTGCAACAAGTAATTTTCTATCCTTTCTTCATCTATTGATTTATTATTTAAATTTAGTTTTCAATGTAAAAAAAATCCTTTCTTGTCAGCATTGCAAAGGCTTTGAGCAGTTGTAGTGCAAGCACGGGTGATATTATCAGCACCACAGAGAGGCTCAAAGAGGAACTCGAAATCACCACTCAGAGACAAGACATTGTCTCCTGCTTCCTTCATGATTATCAGCTCTCTAACCAAGAGATCAATGCTCTTCGGAATGAGGACCTCAATGATAACTTCTTCAAGGCTCTTTCCCATGTGCAACAAATCCACGCCAACTGCAAGGTCCTGCTGCGTACACACCATCAGCGTGCTGGTTTGGAGCTCATGGATATGATGGCTGTCTACCAAGAAGGAGCCTATGAGCGCCTTTGCAGGTAAACCCACCAGCCCTCATTTTATTTATAACCGCTTGTTTCATTTTAATTTGAGGAATGCATGCTTTCTGTTTCTTTGTTTTCTCATTTCTTCAAACATTTCCTGTCTTGTATGGCTTAATTTAAAAGATGTCGTTCCTTTATGTATATATATAATTATGTAGGTGGGTTCAGGCAGAGTGTAGGAAATTGGGTGACACTGATAATCCTGAAGTTGGTGAGCTTTTGAAAACAGCTGTCCGTTGCCTCAAGGAAAGGCCTGTTCTTTTTAAGTACTGTGCAGAAGAGGTGATTCTCATGTGGCAGCGCTTAATGACGAAAAGCTTAATGGTCAAATGCTATTTTTTTCTTCTCATTTTTCATAATTATTTACACAGGTAGCAAATATGAGACATAATGCATTGTTTAGAAGATTTATAAGCGCTCTTACACGTGGAGGACCTGGTGGAATGCCAAGACCTATTGAGGTTCATGCTCATGATCCATTAAGATATGTAGGTGACATGCTAGGATGGTTACATCAGGTATGACTTGGAGTCCTCTCTGATTGTGTTTTACTTCTGCTTTTCTGCTTTAGCTGAGTTCTGTGCACATATTAATTTCAGTTTCATTTTTTAATAATTTTGTATCAATTCATTTCCCGTGCAGGCATTGGCATCTGAACGAGAACTTGTTCTTGTCCTACTTGACCCAGATGCGGTCGTAGATACTGGATTGACCATCAACCAATTCTCCAAGAGTTTGGAGAATGGCACAGGAAAGACAGAATCTGACCTAACCTTTGTTCTGGATAGAATTTTCGAAGGAGTTTGCCGGCCATTTAAAGTTAGAGTTGAACAAGTTTTGCAGTCACAACCTAGTCTCATCATTGCATGTAAACTCAGTAATACACTGGAGTTTTACAGCTACACTGTTAGTTTACCTCATCTTTGTTTCCTGCACCCCACTTTTTTGTTTCTCCTTTTTGGTGACCCTAACTGTAGCCTCTGCTGAACCTCAGATCTCTGATCTACTTGGGACAGATACAGTTCTCTGTAATACACTTTGGGCACTAAGGGATGCTGCTCAGAAAACATTTTTCGACATTCTGAAAAGTCGAGGAGAGAAGCTTTTGCGATATCCTCCTCTTGTTGCTGTTGATCTTTCCCCTCCACAATCAGTGAGGGAAGGAGTCTCAGTTTTGCTTGAAATAATTGAGACCCATAACAGCATGATGTTTCCTGCTTCAGGGAAGAAGCCTGATTTTGATCCGGTGATCTCTGCTATACTTGACCCTATCATTCAGGTGTGCTTGCCTTTGATGTTAGTCGTGGAATAGCATTATTCTTGGCGGACATGCTCTTGGTTGCATAATTTCAGCATGAAATAGAATAAGTGGACAAATTGTATTAAACTTGGAGGATATGCTGAATAACTTTAACGTTAAAATTGAATTGTGCATGGTGACCTGTAACAATCACTGCGTGTGGAGTTTGGAAATTTATCTACATTCAAAGATACTTAGGTTCTAATGTAAGCCATGCGATGTAAAGTTGTGCTGGAGCAAACATCTGTGATTGCGTTTGAAACAGAGAATGGCAATTGGTCTTACATTGTAACTCCTGATGATTTATGTTCTGAGTTTGTTATGAATTACTTTCGGCACAATGAAACTGAGTTGATGTTTTTTCAAACATACTAGCATTGCTTCTATTGTAGAACTAGTTCTTCTCTGTTAAGAATTTATAGTCCATCAAGTTTTTTGGGCAACATGTTATGTATGATTTCCATCTAATTTCTTTCAATCATTGCAGATGTGTGAGCAAGCTGCAGAGGCACACAAGTCCAAGGGTGTTGGCTATGCATCAAGAAGAAGAACGAGTTCTGACTCAGGCCAAATTAATAAATCATCAGTCGATGCTCTCTTGTCAAATAGCAGCTCTGCGACATCGTCTAAGGTTTTACCTGTTCAATATTTTCTCCATGCATTTCTTGTTGTCGGAGTTCAAACATTTCCTTTTTTCAGTCCTAAAGTTTCACTTCTCTTCTGTCACACTTCTGAGTGGGTATGTGGTATGCTTTTATGGACATTTCGAGCCATTTTATGGTCGAAGGCTTGATACGTACAAATATTCCCCTGATTTTGTATACTGGTGCATTGGGCTGGCATATAGGACCATTAAAATTGGCTACCTTTGAATATTTGTTATGACAAAATTTCCAGGTCACAACATACTTTTGTTCAGCATTAAGGAACGCTAAGAACATAAACTGAACTATTACCAACTTAGTATTCAGTTATAGCATGTCAGGATTGAGCATTATCCCTTTATATATATATATTAAGATGTATATGGATCCATTGTCTTAATGACCTGACCATATGCCTCACTGTCTCTATTGTCCATGCATTCTTTATAAATTCTGAGCATTCAATACCATATCTCATGGTTATTGTTGTGCTGATTACAAAGAATTAGGCAATTATAATCCTGCTCATGCTTTGAATTCATGAATTACACCTGGTCTTTTTTATGATGAACATCTTATGCCCCAAAAGAGCTTGAAAGGGTGATGGAGGATAATAAAAGATTTGGTACTCTGTATGGGTTTCAATTGTGTTGTATTGTTCAAAATAGCTTTTGCATCCTAATTTCTAATATCATGGATTCATGAATCCGTGCAGAATAGTGAAACCCCTTCCAAAATATTCCTCATCAATTGTTTATGCGCCATCCAACAACCGCTAGACAGACACGAGGTTGCAGCTGGCTACGTAAAGAAACTGGGAGCAATGATAGACAATCACATGCACTCACTTGTGGAAAAGGAAGTTGAGGCCATTCTAAGTAGATGTGGCTTGTTGCAAAAGATGCACTACTTCCAGAAGTCACTGAACAGGGAGGAGGGCAGTACAGCAGCTGGTGCCCCGCTGGTGGAAATCGAAGACACATCTCCGGTGTCCCTTTCAGAATGTTTGAGGGCATACTTTGGGATTGTTTTAGGGAGTGAGAGTTCCCTTCCTGAGTTTGAGCAGATGCAGGTTCCGAAGTTGCGTTCTGAAGCTGGTATCCAGGTGGCTCAGTCTCTTGCTGAAGCTTATGAGCTTATTTACAGCGCTATAATGGATCCCAAGAATGGCTATGCAGAGCCCAAATCACTGGCAAGACACCCTCCAGATCAGATAAGGACAATTTTAGGCATATGAAGAAGCTCTGCAAGTTAAATTCTATTTTATATTTGATCTTTTGGGTTTAACCGATGAGGAGGTGGTCCAAATTTTGAATTTGATTTTTTTTTCCTCCTGTTGATAAATATTCTGGATTTGGATTTTCCTTTGATTCGATAATTAGGTATAGATGTTGAGATGATTTGGATGAACCTGAGGGTTCATGCATCCAATTGTTAGAACATTAATTAGCTGCATGCTATTTTTTTTTTTTTTCAAGTGAGTTAAACTAATGTATTCATGATAATAATAATTTAAAAAATAACAATTTAAGTAATTTTTTAAAACTTCCTTAACTATGAAGTAAATCTTCTTGGGTTTTTCAATTTTAATGGAAATGAAACTTTAAGAAGAAAAAAGGCAATGACTAATCAGACCAATGTCTTGGGCTTTAGTACAGCCTATTCTTTTTCAAAAAGCATGGACCAAAGCTTCAAAAAACCACAATAATGGACACTAAATAGTTACTAGAGCCCAAGAAACCAAAAGCAAAACAAGCTCCAAATTCCATAGCCAAACACCATTGTAGTTTCAAAACGAAAAGACGCAAACACAGTCACTGATTTTGACTCTCTCTCTTTCTTGCTTCTCTCATTGAGACATTTCGTCGAACAGAGAACATCACTCTTTCTTTTACCCTAAAACTTGTAAAAACAACAATGTCGCTGCGACCTGGTACACGAACAGAGGTGAGGAAGAAGTCATACAAGACGGGAGTGGATGCAGATGAAGCAAGGAGGAGGAGAGAGGACAATTTAGTGGAGATCAGAAAGAATAAAAGAGAAGATAATCTTTTGAAGAAAAGAAGAGAAGGTCTTTTGTTTCAGTCTCAAAGTCAGCCTTTGCTTGATGCTGCTCAACATGCTGCCAATATCGAGAAAAAGGTACTTTTTGAAATACCCATTTTGTTTTTTGCTTTAATTGATTTTTGTTAGTTTTGTGGGTTTTTTATTTTTCTTTTAAAATTGTAAAAGTTTCATGTTCACTGGGTTTAATGTGTAATATAAATTGGATAATGATAACACTTTTGAGATTTTTGCTCATTGGGATTGGTTTGTGGTTATATATATACTGATTTTGGATGGTTTTTGTAAAGTTAGAAACTTAAATCTGAAATGGGTTTTAGTGTTTAATGAGTATATAATTAATTAGCTTAGTTTTCGGGAATTTTATGAATTAATAAATTGAAAGATCTATTCAGAAAGGGGATTTTTTTTTTGGTTCACTATAGTGCTTTGTGGTTCATAGAATTCTATTGCAAATGTGAATAGGAGACTCATTTCTCTTGTTAAATGTTTTTGATGGACGAGATTAGTAGAAGTATTGTTTGTTTTTTACAGAATTGTGGGGAAAGGATATGATTTAGAGTTTTGGTCCGGTTTTCAATTGAAGCTGGAATCTTTATGGAAATAAATCTTGGGTCTTATTTGAGTTCCTTTTTCAAGTGAGAATTTTTGTGAGATAAAGTAATTAATGATGATATTCTTAAGAAGAGAGATGGGATTTTGCTTTTGTGTCAGTAAGTGGCTGCTCAAAGAAGGATACGCATGTCACCCTTTATTTAGTTCTTCAATTGATATTAATTTTGTTTTGATTTCTGAGATGGAAATGGCATTTGATTGTTGGGCTTGTTTAGTCTCGGTGTGTTGAAATTAGAATATTGAACATGTGGCGTAGTGGCAAGTTAATCAGAATATGGATCTCAACTCAACTACTTAGCTCAGGTTTTTTTTGTAAAGTTTTCTTAAGTAGATAAGAGAGGGGTCCTGCACTGGGATCAACAATTGGTTAATGCTTGTAGCTAAGACTGGAATCACAAGTTAATCTATTATGGTGTTTATGTAGTTAGGGTTTATTTTTGTTTCATTATTATGTAATGCTATCACAATTTGGGCTTACACGAGACGAGTGTCTTTTTAATGCTTTAGACACATCATTAATCTTTCCAAGATGTTCCTAATTTAGCTTCTTATATTCAAAACTTTTTTAATGCTTCGTTGACCTCTGCTGCCATTGGAAAATGTCTCCTCTCCAAGCCTTTAGTTTGATGTATCAATTTATTTTGTCATCATTTGTCTTTTTTCTTCTCAATATAGAAATCTGCCCATTTATCAGAAATTAACTATTTAAATTTAGCTTACTGTTTTCCTTTTTCATGCTATCCAATCACAGATTGCATGTTTTGTGTCTAATTGTTGTATTGTTTGACAGTTGGAGAGTCTTCCAGTGATGGTCCAAGGAGTGTGGTCCGATGATCCTCCTTCACAGTTGGAAGCAACTACTCAGTTTAGAAAGCTTCTATCCATTGGTATGTATAGGACTTATATACAGAACATAGCATTATTTATGAAGCTATGCACCTACTGAATGCTGACATGTCTTTCCTTATTTTCCACGTCACTGAGCAGAGCGCAGTCCTCCAATAGATGATGTAATTAAAGCAGGTGTAGTCCCACGGTTTGTGGAGTTCCTTGGAAGGCATGATCTGCCCCAACTACAAGTAGGGATTGCTTGCACCAATCCTCTTTTTCTTCAAGAAAAATGACTTGTTTGTTATTTATCTTACAAGAGTTGACTTTGTTTTCATGTGCAGTTTGAAGCTGCTTGGGCTTTGACTAATGTTGCTTCTGGAACATCAGAGCATACACGAGTTGTTATTGACCATGGTGCTGTTCCTATGTTTGTGCAGCTTCTTAGTTCTGGAAGTGATGATGTCAGAGAGCAGGTTGACACTTGCTTCATCTTTTCTAAACTTTGTTTGTCACTTAAGCGTGTTTTGAACAATATTTTCTTGTTTTCAAGATAAACTTTAAACAGCTCTACCTGTCTTCTAATTTGCTTGACAAGGCAGCATAAATGCCTTGTATTCTGACCAAAACATTTCTCAACGCCTCCCTGAAATACATTTAGTTAATTACTTGCTCTTTTGTATTCCCAGCTTGACCATATTTGTCCAGTGTAAGTCTTATTCTGTGCCTTTGAAAATATACTGAATTCTACCCTTACTGTTTCTTGATTAGGCGGTATGGGCCTTGGGCAATGTTGCTGGTGACTCCCCAAGTTGCAGGGATCTTGTTCTTGGTAATGGTGCTCTGATGCCATTACTAGCTCAGCTAAATGAGAATTCAAAATTATCTATGCTTAGGAATGCTACCTGGACATTATCCAATTTTTGTCGTGGCAAGCCACCAACACCATTTGATCAGGTATGAACTGGGAGATAAACTTACATATGGCTTCCAAATACTAACATTTGTTTTAATATATTCTGCATCTTTATTTGGTTCCATATGGTTGAGTTTTTATCATGTACTGCAGTTATAATGTTTATTCTTGGATTCTATCAGGTGAAGCCTGCCTTGCCAGTTCTCCAGCAACTTATCCACTTGAATGACGAAGAAGTTCTAACAGATGCTTGCTGGGCACTCTCCTATCTTTCAGATGGTCCAAATGACAAAATTCAGGCTGTGATCGATGCAGGTGTTTGTCGACGACTAGTTGAGCTTCTCCTGTAAGTTTCTGTATCACTATGCACTTTGTACCATATTTATTTAGCATTGTGGATTTCTGCTATCAAGTCAACCTTTATTCCCACCTTTATCTGTTCTGTTTGTATTTTGTTCAGTTTTTATGGCAGTTTAACTACTTGTGCTGATTACATGTGTTTCTTTTAGTCATCCATCACCTACAGTTCTCATTCCTGCACTTCGAACAGTTGGAAACATTGTTACAGGCGATGATGGTCAGACTCAGGTGTTTCCCATACTTATGTTTGTACTATTTCGTTTTTTAGGGCTTGATAGCTTGTTCTAGTTTTAGCACTGTCAACTCTTTACAATTTGACTAAATTTGGAGAACAGTAATTTTATTGCCCTTGTCCTTTAAAGTCTTAGATAAAAAAATTTTTCCATGCACCTAGGCTTATATTAATTGAAACAATTACTTGAAATCTCTCTTTTGCTTGCTGGTGTGTGCTTGCATATTTCCATTGAAATTGTTGTGCTTTCTTTCCTTTGATCATTCTTTAAATTGTTGTTTTTTTCTTTCAGTTTGTAATAGAGAATCAAGTTCTTCCTTGTCTCTACCAACTTCTCTTGCAAAATCACAAAAAAAGTATCAAGAAAGAAGCTTGTTGGACAATCTCTAATATCACAGCTGGAAATAGAACTCAAATACAGGTAATCATTACATTTAAAATTTTTGCTTCAGATGAACTGAATTTGGAACAATGGACTTGGATGTTAAACATGCATGTCATGTTTTTATAACTTTCAAATTACTAAAGAAATGATAAATCAGACTATTTTTTGTGTCGGTATAAAGTTTCCATCAGCACTGGGCAGGGGGTGGCGCCAATAATATATCTGGGAAAAGCCTGGTTCCTTCCTTTGTGAAAAGATGCCTTTTGTTTCTTAAAGCGCACATAATAGTTTTTGGCTGTGTTTCTGTAAAAACAGGCTGTCATCGAGGCCAATATTATTCTTCCACTTGTAAACCTTCTGCAACATGCAGAGTTTGACATTAAGAAGGAGGCTGCCTGGGCTATCTCAAATGCCACCTCTGGAGGATCTCGTGAACAAATACAGTATGTTTCCTTTCATCTTACTGTTTGGTTTGCTTTTCTGCTTTTTTCCCCCCAGTCTAAATAATAGACAAATGCAAATATAAACTAATTGATTGCTCCATATTGTGTTGTTTTATGCTGCAGCCTTTCCCAATTTCTCCCTCATTTGATTTGCTACCTTGCAAATAGAATTTTGTAAAAGCACCATAACTTGTATTTTCATAATGTGGCTATTTATCTGAAAACTTTACATTTTATTTTGAGTTGAAAATTAAGCAAGCAGCAGTCAATTGGAATGTTTATGGACTCCTAATCATAACCACAACAGTCTGGCTGTAATCTCGATGTGGTAACAAATACTTTTGGTGGATCCTTGGTCTTATTAACGATATATTCTGATTTGTTAAAATATATATATATATATATATATATATATTGTGAAGATTTAACCTCTCCACTTCACTGCAATCATGTGACTCACTCAGTCTCATATTTTGCAATACAATGCTTATTAGTCAAATCTTAACATGGAATGGTGTGTTATTCTTGCAGATTTCTGGTGAGCCAGGGTTGCATTAAACCACTCTGTGATCTTCTTATCTGCCCAGACCCCCGGATTGTGACAGTCTGCCTTGAGGGGCTGGAGAACATTCTGAAGGTGGGTGAGGCTGACAAGGAAATGGACTTGAACGGTGGAGTCAATCTGTATGCACAAATGGTTGATGAATGTGATGGATTGGATAAGATTGAGAATCTGCAAACCCACGACAACAATGAGATTTATGAGAAGGCGGTGAAGATTTTGGAGAGATACTGGGCTGAGGAAGAAGATGGAGAGCCAATTGTCCAAGATGGTGGTGATGGAAATCAGCAAGGTTTTGCTTTTGGAACCAACCAGCCTAGTGTTCCTCAAGGTGGCTTCAAGTTTGGGTGACACCGTTGCTACCGCTCTCGGTTTTTTCGCTTGCATTGAAATTTTCGACTTAATATGTTCGTCGCTGCCAAGGGTCTGAATTTTTGGTCTGGCACATAGGATTTCATTCATCGATGGAATTTGTCAAAAATGTTAAAAACCATAGAGACTCCACCTTGGAATTTGTCTGAGTTGAATTGCAAAACTGTCGTAGGAAAATGTTCTTTCTGATTGTCTTGATATGGAATTAGCATTGTGCAATTGATATAATGGATTCTTAGATATCGAGATTTGGCCGGTTTCTGATGAAGCTGCTGAAAATTTAGCTGTAATGGATCATGCATCTTTCTAGCCTACATTTCGAATGGATCACATTTTTTGAGCCTGCAATATGAAATGCCGGAGCTTTGTGGCAGTAGCACCGAAATGCGCCATCAGAGCACGAAGCCAGTGGTTAATCATGGTTATCAAGAGTAAATTACAAATTAGTCCTTCTAGTTTTTCAAAAAGAATTAAATGGTCTTTCTAGTTTAATAGCTAATCGATTAGTTCCTATAGTTTTAAATCTATGTAACTTGTTCCCAATTTATTTTGTTTTTGTTTTTAATAAATAGAAAAAGAAATAAATAAGTAAAAAAATGCGAAAAGATTGATGAAAAAAGTTATATTTTTTTAAATTTAATAATATGTTAAAAAATAATTAATTAATTTTTAAAACAAGAAAAACTATTTAATTCATTTTGTAAAAATAGAAGGACTAATTATATTTTACTCTGGCTATCGGTTCGCACTTGTGTAGGCATCGATGGTAATTAAGTTGTAAGTATTGGCACAGCCACAGCCCAAACTTATCATCTGAAAATCGTTCCACTAAATAGGAGTAACCTCATTTTGGTCCCCAATCTCTACGTTTTTCTCAACTAGCTCTTCAAGCTATATTTTTAATTAATTAGGTCCACAACATATAGAAGAATCCCAAGTTGGATTCTTTCCGATAGCAAATGTGCTGAAGATAATTCTCAAGTGAACCCTGTAGAAGAAGATGGGAATATTTGTCAAAAGATTAAACGAAGGATCAACTTGAGGATTTATAATATATTGGAGACCCAATTGGTAAAATAGATTGTCTTTGGGGACTCATTTAAGAAAGGGATTATAAGTTGGGAACTCATGAGACATTTTCCTAAAAAAGTAAATAAAGGGTCCAGTTTTTGAAAATTAAGATTTTAGGGCTTTGTGTTTTAGGCCTTGAGAACTCAAAATTGTAGTAGCTCAGAGCTGCATAGCTTAACAATGGCGGACAACACCACTAATCAGCAAGACAAAGGCAAAGAGCAAGAGCAAGAGCAATACGGTGTACTTCTTTACTACAAATACTCTGAAATCCTTGATCTCAATTCCCTCCTCTCCTTCTACAACTCCAACTGCACCTCCCTCTCTCTTCTGGGCCGTGTCCGCCTCTCTCCCCATGGTGTCAATGTCACTGTACTGCACCTAACTCAATAACCCCGTCTTCAGTCTAAATCTTAAAGTTTGAATCATTTTGGTCATTAAAATCTTGGGTTTCCTTTGTTTTCTTCAATCAAGTCACAATCTTATCGAAAAGTTATGATGCTTAGAATTTTGGGTTTAGTAAAGTTTGGAACTTTTTGCTTATTTGAGTATTGCGTTTCTTTTGCTTTTTGGGTTTAGGTTGGTGGCAAGTTGTCTTCATTGGAGAAGCATATTGAAGCTGTGAAAGCTATTAGTTTCTTTGAAGGGACTGATTTCAAGCTTGCTTCTTGTCATTTTCCATTGAATGATAAGGTTGCTCATGAATGTGGCTTCACTTCTCTCTCCATTCGCATTGTCAAGGTATGAATCATTGTTTTTTAGCTATCTGGTATTGTATAACTTTGCTTTTTATTGCATTTGCTTGTTTGGTCTGACATTTTGATGCCTTTCGGTGTGGCTAGGAATTAGTTACTTTTAGTCCTTATCCTGTTTCGAAAGCACCGGATGTTTCAAATGCTGGTAGGCATTTGTCCGCTGTTGAGTTCCATTCTGTTCTTCAAAATGCTGGTGAGTTGTGATTTCCTTTTTGAATTGCTTTACTTTTTGTTTTCTTTCGTTCTATGGGCTATATTTATTCTTTTTTGTTATATTTTGTTCTCCAAATTTGGTTGTGTTGTTTTGTTATGGAAGGGATTGAATGGTAATGGTAACCATGTGTTGGGTGATTTTGTTTATGTTCTCAGGTAAGCTTGCAGATAAAGAAAGTCTAGCTGATGATAAAGGTGTCGTTTTATTAGATGCAAGAAACCTGTATGAGACAAGAATCGGGAAGTTTGACACGCCAAATGTGGACACTTTGGATCCAGGAATCAGGCAGTATAGTGATCTGCCATCCTGGATAGATGATAATTCTGAAAATTTGCGAGGAAAGAATGTCCTGATGTAAGTGTTCATCCAAAATTGATGTTTTTTTGGGTGTTTTCTGGAACTTCACTTTTTGTTTCCCTTCTGTTTTGGAAAACCATGATGTCATGGTTGAAATTCTATGCAACTATTGCTTCAACATGTTCATTGTTCCATTCTTCTTAATATGGTTTGTTCTGGTGTTGTATAGGTATTGCACTGGAGGAATCAGGTGTGAGATGGCATCGGCCTATATTAGGTCGAAAGGTGCTGGATTTGAAAATGTATTTCAGGTAAGCTCTGGCATCCAGCATAAGCTAGTGTTATGCTTACCTTGATCATAAGATCCTGAGGAAGTTAGGTCCTGATTGTTGATTGTGATGATGATATATTTTGCAATGCTGGCTTTGTTGCAGTTGTTTGGTGGAATACAGCGTTATTTAGAACAATTTCCAGATGGTGGTTTTTTCAAAGGAAAGAATTTTGTTTTTGATCACCGGTATGGCTGCTCAAAGTAACTATGGTTCTATTGATTTTAAAGTTCTTTCCTTTTCAATCGGGTGAATGCATAACGATCTGGCTTTTATTGAACTTTCTGCTGACCAATGAAAAAGAACTATCATGTCAATTTTGACCATTAATTATGTATTTTGACTGTAGGATTTCTGTTGGGAGCTCAGATGCAAATATCTTGGGAACCTGCCTTCTCTGTGGCTTGTCCTTTGACGATTACTCTTCGCGATGTAGATGCTCATATTGTAGAATGCTTGTTTTGGTCTGTGATAGTTGTCGAGTGAGTATTGATGACTAGAATCCTTCTACTGTTGAATGTTAATATGCTTGACCATTTAGGTATGTCTATCGTAGTTTGGCTAGTTCCACCTCTGTCCAGTGAATAATCTAGGAACCTTAAGCAATGTTTCTCAACTTTCATCTGAAGGGAAACTGAAAATAATTTCTTTTCAGATTTTGTTTTTGCCTTCAAAAAACTATAATTGCCTGATTTGTGTATTTTGATGAACTATTTATTCAGCTTCCATTCCACTTGTTGGTTTCTGTATTTTGTTGGTTCTTATTTGTTAATTTTTGTGGGTGAGCAGAAGGAGGAAGCTGTTTATGTTTGTGAGCTATGCATGAAACATGGAAAGGGAGTTGAGTCAATTGTTATTGAAAATGGCAAACCACAAGACATATTGCCAAAAGTTGAGCTCAAAACCATTTCTTCAGATGCTATCCTCTTGCCTCAACTGCATGGGGGACAGGGTAAGGTCTGTGTCCTTATCACTTGGATCCTTCTGGTTCCATGTTTACCAAGTTAACACTCAGTACAATGCCAGTTCTCTGTGCTAATACTGAACATCGTCTCTGTATTTTTTTCCTGTTGCATCTGTACATTTTGTTTTCTTCTACATGAACTTCTTGGTCTGAATGTAATTGTTCATCCAATAAAACAGGTGCTAGGCCTCCAAGAAAGCTAAGAATCTTGTGCTTGCATGGGTTTCGGCAGAATGCCTCTGGTTTTAAAGGAAGAACTGGATCATTAGCCAAGAAACTTAGAAGCATTGCTGAGCTTGTCTTTGTTGATGCACCTCATGAGTTGCCTTTCATATACCAGCCTGCGGTCTCAGAACTAGAGTGCAGAGATGAATCATCGTTTTCATCACAGCAAATTCTTCCCCCAACAGTAACTTGCAGGGGAAAGTTTGCATGGTTGATAGCACCCGATTCCGAAGGAAGGAATGCAACTGATTGGAAAAAGGCAGATAGTCCATTTGATCCCCTCCAGTATCAGCGGCAAACTGAAGGGTTTAATGTATCGCTATCGTATTTGAAGACGGTATTCTCTCAGGATGGGCCATTTGATGGGATACTGGGATTTTCACAAGGAGCAGCGATGGCTGCTTTACTTTGTGCACAAAAAGAAAGGCTAAAGGGTGAAATTGATTTCAGATTTGCAATTTTGTGTTCTGGGTTTGCTCTTCCACTTGCAGAGATTGAACGTGGATTGATTAACTGCCCTTCTCTCCATATATATGGTAGTGTTCCAAGCAAGGACAGGCAGATTGAAAACAAAACCAGCAGAGAACTTGCTTCATTATTCGAAGATGGCTGCTCAGTTATCATTGAGCATGATTGTGGTCATATAATTCCTACTCGGACTCCATACATTGATGAGATTAAAGGCTTCCTTCAACGCTTTCTCTAGTAAAATCCTTCTGTTAACCAATATTGTTACTATAAGATGGCCTCTCAGTTATTTTACCGAGCACGATATCGAGACTGAGCCACCATTACAGATTACTCCATCTTTCTACAAATGATTTTGGCATTCAATTATTTGTATCAGAAACTAGAATGCTGGCAATTCTGGGAATCATGTATTTCATTGAAATGTGGTAATACGCATGTTGCTCTTTTTTCAAGCTTATGCATTTGTGCTTCAGCTCACCAAGTTTCAGGCCAACCTTTTACTCGCCAATCTTCCATGTAACATGTGTAATATGGAAGATTATGGATACATAATGATAAGATCATGTTCTGATTCAAAGCAAGTAGCTTTCCAACATTGAGGAGTAAATTTATAAATTAGTTCATCTAGTTTTGATAAATAAATTATTAGTTCTCATAAATAAATTATTAGTTCTCGTTTCAAAAGCTAATTATTGGTCTTTTTGTATATTTTATGTTCTCTTTTCTGATTTGTTTTTTTTTTAAATAAAAATAAAACATATATATATTTATAAAGATTAATGAGAAAATAAAATATTTTTAGAATAAAATAATATTGAATTAAGTATAATCAATATTGATTAAATAATTAATTGTTAAAACAAGAAAGATTAATTAATTTCTTTCTCAAAACTAGGAGAACTTTATACTTTACTCCAACATCTAGCCATCTAATTCCACAAACTTTCTTATTCACTTTTGACCTTTTGATTTGATGCTTAGGTGGAATTTTGGATAAGTTTTCAAATGTAATTGATTAAATTAATCTTTAGTTCATAATCACGGAATTAAACCCTAGCATACGGGATGGAAAATAAACCCATTTCACCGGTTAGAATTAAAAAAAAAATATTAAAAAAAAATCTTTTTACTAAACTTGAAAAAAGAAAATATAAACCAATAAAAAAAAACGAAAAAGGTATCCTTAAACGCACCGTTTAGGCATCGGGGACCGGTTGAACTGTAGAAGACATCAAGACAAGACCGGACAACAAAAAACAGATTTCAAAGTCTTAAACCCTAAACTGAGAATTTAGGATTTGTCCACCGTACAGACTGTAACAGAACAGAACAAAAAAAAAAAAAAACAGCCATACTTCTGTTTCGTACAGGACCAGACAACAAAAAACAGAGGTTCTGAAACTGAGAACTAAGAGCCAACAAAAATGCAGATTATTGTACGGAAGTTACTGCAGAGAACTACTTCATTCAAACAAGTACAGTACTTTTCTTTCAAAACCTGTTCTCATCTCATGATTCAATCTTTTTGGTGCTTTTGTTTGAGTTTTTGGACTAAAATATAAAGTGTGTTCTTATCAGATAGTGTAAAAAGACTGTTACTTTACCATCTAAATTTGTAATTTTTGGTCTTACGGGTGTTTGTTTTTATGCTCTTCTTTTGTCTTGCCCAATTTTGAATTTTAGGTTTTGTTCAGGTCTGTTCGATTCTTTGAGCTTGGGTGCACCTGGTGTTACATTTTTTCAGTTTGTGCAAGTTTAGTTCTTGTTATTGCATTCATATTCTCAATGAGAAGTGTAGTGATAGTTCTTTTTTGAATAATTGCATGTGATAGTTTATTATGATATGTTGTTACTGAAGCTATTATGCAATCCAATGTTGCAAATTTGAGTTTTGATGTTGGCTAAGATGTATAGTTTTTCTGTTATGTTGTAAATGAGGTCACTGTTTTACTCTATTAGTGTTTCTTAACCAGTTCCCATAGGGTTCATTAATTGTAGTCGGCTGGCTGTGCAAATTAGTCCACTGATATCTTTTGTAATGGCATTATGCACCCCCTCAAGAATTAGCTGTTTTTAATGTGAATATTGGTGAATTTGGTTTTCAGGGTATTGGTCGCTGCGCTTATTCTACAAATAAGGTCCATGATATTGGACAGCCAACTCCTGCAACTCATCCTCAGGTGCTGCTGCTTAACACACACTTACACGAGAGCCCTGTATTAGGTGCATGCCTTGTGGCTGTCACGTTACAATCATATGGAAAAAAAAAAAAAAGGTTTTGACAATTTGAATGATGAAATTTCATGTACCAACGCTCGAAATAAGTGGAGTTATGCATACCTTTTTAAGTTTTGCTTGGATTCATTCTAGATTATACTTATTTCTCTTTCTAAAGTTGGAGAACCTATTTCTGTTTGCCTCTGCAGTTGCTAAAGGAAGGGGAGATCACACCAGGCATAACTACTGAGGAGTACATCTCAAGAAGGAAAAGGTTGTTGGAGCTTCTTCCGGAGAAGAGTTTGGCTATCATTGCAGCTGCTCCTGTAAAGATGATGACCGATGTTGTACCTTACACATTTCGACAAGATGCTGACTACTTGTATATCACTGGCTGCCAACAACCTGGTGGTGTGGCTGTTTTGGGTCATGAATGTGGTTTATGCATGTTCATGCCAGAAGCGACACGTCATGTATGCCCCATCTTCCACTATATAGGTTTCATGATAGCTACTGATTGTTGTTACATTTTCCTTACTTTGTTCAGAATGACTTAAATCCTGCAAGGTTTGGTCCATTGGATTTGCTGTTTAGAACAGATTATCTAAATAGTTTACCATTCACATACAACTAATTTCTTTGAGTCTTTTGGTTTCTTAAATGAAATTGCTTGGAAATCATTGGGAAGAGCTTGTTATGTCAATCTGTGTAGGTAGACTCTGAGTGGCACTGCTCCATTTTGTAGATTAATAATGTAGGTGTTGGAGTGGCAAACAATTTATTTATTTATTGTGTGTTCAGGATGTTATTTGGCAAGGGGAAGTTGCAGGTGTAGATGCAGCAGTAGAGACATTCAAGGCAGAGAAAGCATATCCGATGAGAAAATTATGTGATGTGAGAAGAATACTTTGGTGATGTTGGAAATTATTATAAATGTATCAATGATGCAATAATTGTAAGTTGGATGGATGAATTTTCTTTTCACCAATGAAAATGCTGCAGATACTTCCAGATATGATAAAGGGATCCTCAAAGTTGTTTCACAACATGCAGACGGCCACACCAACATATACAGAATTGGATGTTTTTCAAAAGGCAGCTCTGACTGGCAAAGTGAAAGACCTTTCTAGTCTCACCCATGAGCTGCGGTGGATAAAATCACCTGCTGAGCTTAAGTTAATGAGAGAAGCTGCATCAATTGTTTGCCAGGTACCTTCAATCTTAGATTTTAGCTAACTAGTTTTTATATTAACTTTTGCTTGATTATTATCCTTTTTTTTTTTTTTTTTATTGAATGATTCGATAAAACCACACTGCTTTCTGTGATAATTAAAGAGATCTGCATTATGGGTAACACTTGAATACAGGAAAAAAAAATTCAACTCTTATATAATATCTAAATATATTCATTAGAAGTTAGAATGCCTTCCTTTTTGGCTATACATTAAAATGGGCCTACTGATTGATAGCAAAGCACTTGTCAGCCATCTGTCTCACATTTGTCACAGGTAGAACTTTCAGAATTTGAACACTGTCAGAAACTTTCATTTGGAGAGTTAGAGAGTCTACCTCTATCCAGTTTTTTCATTTGTTGCTCTTTGAACTAACTTCTGTTGAATAAATTTTACTGTACCTGGTGGATTGACTTTTTTATCGATGCTAATGAGACTAATTCCCTGTGTAGTACTAAAATTAGTGCCATTTTCTATAGGGTCTTTTGCAGACAGTGTTACATTCCAAGATGTATCCTCATGAGGGCATGTTAGCAGCAAAAATTGAATATGAAAGCAAGATGAGAGGTGCCCAGAGGATGGCGTAAGCTTTTTCATCTCTTATGATCTGATTGAATTGTTCTTGTATTCAATTTACATGGCTATTCTTATGCCTAAGAATTGAATTCTACTTTTTAAACATGCTTCATTTCTGTTTTGATGATAATTTCTGGATATTGTCTCCTTCACCAGATTCAATCCTGTGGTTGGTGGTGGCTCTAATGGTAGTGTTATACATTATTCTCGAAATGATAAAAAGGTATGTTCCTCATGGAAACTGAGTATTCTTTGTCCTAAAATAGACTGATAAATGTAATTGACGAATTTGTATGATTCTTGTTTATAAGTGTTTCTCTCCTTTGATTTTGCAGATTAAAAATGGGGATCTTGTTTTGATGGATGTTGGATGTGAGTTACATGGTTACGTCAGTGATCTCACACGTACCTGGCCACCCTGTGGTAGCTTTTCTTCAGTACAAGTAAGTGATATTAAATGTTGTTTCATGTTCTTATCTAGCAATAGTGTTACAGAGTACTTAGTAGTCTAGTTTTGGAATTATGCAGTGGCACTGGGAAGTTTGCACTTGTCTTAATCCTCAGTAAAGTAGCTAATATAGAGAAATTCAAATTAATCATCAAGAATTTTTTTTTGTCATACCAATTCATGAAAAATGTTATCATCCTGAAATCTTGCATGTGTCCTTGTTGGAAGTTGCAAACTGCAAGATTGTGAAACCTGTGGACTGTCAGTAACATTGTTCCTGTATGCAAACTACTGAATTCCAGCAACTTGTTTGGTGATATGCATTTGTTTTCATGCTTGGGATATATGTTCATCCTCAAACCTGCAAATTGTAGACATAGTTGGGTTAAGATAGAGTAAAAAAGTAAAAAACTGTTGGATGTGCGTGCATGGAAACAAAAGCAATAAAAGATATTTCCTTTTTGAGGGGTTTAATGGTGGCTGGTTCAAGTTTGACCTTCTAGCGGAAGGTGACTGTGCTTGTGTATTCATTTCTTCACATGTGTAATATGTGCTTGTGTATGCATTTCTTCATATGTGTGATATCAATCTTTTTATGTATGATAACACTGCATGATTTTAATTTACACATGCATTCTAGATTTTTAGTCAAATGAGAAATGATCTTCTCACCCTCTGTACTGTAGTAAGAAATAAGCATGCACACAACCTTCAGCTTGCTTTATTGGAATCCTCAAGTATTTATATTGTTAATTCTTTACTTCAGCCAAATGAGCCTAATAACAGAACTGATGGTTTGAATATGCATTTCTCAGGAAGAGCTTTACAATCTTATACTTGAAACAAACAAGGAAAGCATGACGCTTTGCCGACCTGGTGTTAGCCTTCGGCAACTACACGACTTTTCGGTAGGACCTTCGAATCTAGATTTTCTTTGCTTCCAGATGTTGAAAAACTGAAGGATGGAATGAGTTATTTAGTTTGTGAATTTCGGATTGTGTTGATTAGGAGTTTGAATGCACTTGTAGGCCTAAATTTGTATCTCGGGTTATAAATTCATATTATTCCTGCAATTTTCTGATGCTCGAATCTATTATTAGCTCAGTTGACTAGCTTTGCTGTTTTGGTCAATCTTGCCTACTACCATGATTTTTATGTTCTGCAAATTTTTGCACTTGTTATTTCACTCTTCCATTATTCTGGACAGTATTATGAGTATGCCAATCGTAACTTCTGGCATTTATCCTATCTTGTAAATTAGATGATACTCTGTTCTATATTTATGAACCTGAACCCCCTGGTAACAATCATACAACGTTGGGATGAACATGGGCTTGGGTGGCCTCAAATTCAAGTCTTAGGATAAAAAAATAAACTGTCCAAGAACTTAATTGGTGTGAGAATTACATAAATTAGTCATCTTATTCCCATGATGGAGTGTATATTTGTTGTATGTACTTGTATGCTTTAGCGAACAAAGCTCATTTATAAGGAAACATTTCCATTTTCCAATAATGTTGTATGCCTGGATAGGTTGAGATGCTGCGTAAAGGATTTAAGGAGATTGGAATTTTGAAAGATGGTGGAAGCAGTTCCTACCATCAGCTGAACCCAACTTCAATAGGTTTGTCTCATCTTATTTTGGTTATTACGGTGATTTTCTGATATCGCCTTTTCTCTTTCAGTTTCTAATTTTAGTTATGGCAATAAATAGATCCAGCTTCCAAATTGGCTTTGGCATTAATCTCATCTTTGGATTTACTTTATTTTGTCTAGGTCATTATCTAGGGATGGATGTCCATGATAGCTCTAACATCAGCTACGATCGTCTATTGAAGCCAGGTGTTGTAAGTACTCTCCATCATTGAATAATGATTTGATCTTTCAACTGACTAATAATAATTCCTTCGTCTTCACATGTAGTATTGGTAGTGTTCCTTTTCTTTTTCTTATTTTCCTTTTTTTTTTTTTTACCCTTGTTGAGTTGAGATTTTCTTCAACTCAAAACTGAGATGTTATTGTAAATAAGTACAGTAAAGAATATCGAGTGTTAACTGAGAACTATTGTACATCGTTTTGAGCTCTGAGCTTCATGCCCTCAACACTCTAAGTTGCACGATCAAAACAAGCATTTAGATTTATAAAACTACAAAGGTCTTGGGGGATATTCCAAGTATGCAACTATTTGTGTTGGTAGTTTGTCTATTTATGCACATGGAAAGAAGCTTCAGACTCATGTTTCCTCTCACTTATTTACTAATGCAAGCAATCGTGACATGCTCTGTTTAGGGCAAAGTCTACAATTAATGAAATAGGTTCCTTTTGTGTGTTTTTTAAGTTGTATTGTTGAAATGTGCCTTGTTAGCGAAAAGAAAGAAAATTCTCAAGACATGACTTGATTGGTTAAATATAAAAAAGTCTGGGGTCCATAAGGTTAACTATTTATTAAAGCACCAAGCCTATTTCAAAGAATCTTATAGCAAAAGTTTTTTTTTTCTGTTCAGAAAAAGTTCCAAGATCCTTTGTTTTATACGTAGTATGAATTTGACAGATTTTTCGTTTTTTTCTTTGGCAGGTTATAACAATTGAACCAGGAGTCTACATCCCATCCACTTTTGATGGTCCTGATAGGTACTTGTCACCATAAAGGAATTCTAGCTTCCTGCAAAAGCCATTAGGATACTTCATGCCATGAATAAGCTAGCTGCTTTGCAGCTTGCAAAGTACATATAAACCCTTGGAAGCTACTTGAATATTCTTCACATTGAACCACTTCAACAAGGAAAGTTTAAATATGAAAACATCTAGTGAGCCAAGTATCTATATAGAGTTAGTTAGTCAGTCAGTCTAATTCATTGGTAAATTTGTAAAATTTGAAGCTGAACCCAATTCCTTACTAACTAAATACTTTATAAGAAGGTACTTATAACTCGATCCTTGCACTCGAGGATGTAAAACGAGGACTAGCAGGATGAACGCATTGCCTTGATTTTGAATTTTTATGTTTGGTATGTGTTTGTTAGATACTTTGGTTTTTTATACAGTTATGATGTTTGTATTTTTTACCCATCTGGCTAACTGTTCCTAAATTCTTTGACAATGATTGTCCCAAATTTCATGTATCGGTTTTATACAGATCCCACTTGTGCTTCAGTCTAGCAATATCTGATAAGCAATGCTTCGCTGTTAATTTTTGATTTTGTATTATTTCCCATCTAGTGTAGTTCTTATTCTTTAGTCTCCATTCTGGAGATTGTGATGTAAATGTGAAAACAAATAATAACTGACAATATTCATAGACTCTTCCTAATTCAATTATACTCACTGCAGGTATAGAGGTATCGGGATAAGGATCGAGGATGAAGTCCTAATTACTGAAACTGGTTATGAGGTAAAAACCAAAATTAATTTCTCAATGCTGGTTGAATTTTGAGTCTCTGACAGCTAGATATTAGTGGTTTTTTTAATTCCTTAACAGCCCTTCTGTTAAGTTCTAGATATTTTAGGCATGCTTCGAGAGTTTTTATTCTTTTGATGACAAGAGTAGAACTGGAATCAAGACGTGACTCATCTCCCTTTGACAAAGTATCGTTGAGCTAACCAAATTGGTGACAAATTATGCACAGATAATTCTTATAGCAGCCATTATAACATCTGTTATTTTAGTTGCTGTATACGTTCCCTTTATTAGTTTCAACATTTCTTCAAAAATTAATGTGACTTCTCCAAAGACCTTTCGAACAATTAAAATCAGAGAAAGTAACAAGATGCAGATCCTATCATCATATTAACATTGCTTGAAACAATTATGTTTGGCAATCCTTGAATTTTCCTAAGCTTTCTGGTGCTGCCATTAGGTCCTCACTGGCTCCATGCCAAAAGAAGTTAGACACATAGAATCCTTGCTAAACAATTACAGCCGTGGAATGGGAATGGAGGCTCAAAATAATACGGAAGCTGCTTCCAGTTGATCCATTTAAAAATGCGTTATGGGAGTAGACAATGTCCCATTGGCCTAAAAGTTTTAACTCCGAAATCGTTTTAAACACATCGGGCCCTTGGTACAAAGCTAAAGTGATGGGATTGGAATGCTAAGCCAGAGTAACATTGAAGCTGCTTCCAGTTGACAATTCCTTGAAATGTTGAAGAGGCAAGACACCGGCTTATCGGCTCATTTCACTGCACGGGTATTTTCAGACACATCCTTTTCATGTTGAAGATACAGGACAATACCTTAGTTGTCATCCTTTGAGTTTTTTTCCTCATGTATGTACCCCTTATTCTTGTGTAACAAATTTTGTTTGCACTCCATTACAGCCATTTTGTTTCTGGTGCCTTCATTTTATCATGTAATCCCAATACACTCGAAGCCTCTATTTACTGATGCTTATCCTTTCGTTTCCCTAAGGAGACATGTTACAATGCATGGTTTCAAGGATTGACACTCGACAGGTAATGAAATAAACCAAACAATATTGTTACAGATTAGGTAGACATTCATTCTTGTTTGGTAATAAAATGAAAGCATTCCATCATCTTGGGAACATGTAGGGTTGGGAACCTAAATGATGCATTTGGATTGTTAGTTGTGTGAAGCCTCGCTTTTGATTTTCCATGTTTATGTTGTTCCTTATCTACTTCCGAACACTGGACTGATCTTACCTCCATCGTTTTAAACCGTGGATGCAATTTCAAAAAAAGGCAACGGTTATCGTGATAGTAAAATAACAATCGTAGTAACCAATATCATAAATATATTAGCAACTATCAATAAATTTATTCTAATTTCTATATTTTTATTAGTTTTGCTAGTTAAATATACTAATAACAATATCAGTTGGATTGTTAGTTGTGTGATACTTATTCTTTGATTATGTTCCTTTATGCAATAAATTTTTTCGGTAAGTCGCCTATGAATAAATTATCCCTGCTCTTATCATGCATCCTGGAAAAACACTCTTTTTTGTTTCAACAATTAAAATCTTGAGTACCAAAATCATTGTGGTTTTGTGGTGATTTGTCTCAATTTCATCGGTTCTGTCCCCTAAGATCAGGAAGTTGATATGGTGGGCTATATGATCAAGTATAATATAGCAATCTACAGGTGCAGAGGGAAAAAAAAAATTAGTAAAATTAAATTTCCTTTGTTTGGATGAAAGAAGGCGGGAATTAAGTTTTTCATTGCTTGGATATATAGAGGGAAGTTAAAAGAAAATAAGTAATTTTACATTTTTGTTTAAAGGAACATAATCAAACAATAAGTATCAGACAACTGGATACAAGCATATTAGTTAAATATGCAGTTGGATTGTTAGTTGTGTGAAACCTCGCTTTTGATTTTCCATGTTTATGTTGTTCCTTACCTACTTCTGAACACCGGACTGATCTTACCTCCGTGGTTTTAAACCGTGGATGCAATTTAAAAAAAGAGTAACGGTTATCGCGATAGTAAAATAATAATCGTACTAACTAATGTTATAAATATATTAGTAATTATTATTAAATTTATTCTAATTTATATATTTTTATTAGTTTTACTAGTTAAGTATACTAATAACATTTTGCTGATCGGCTGCAAAGTGTAAGCGCTAAATTTTCTTTTTTTAGTATAATGCTTTTATATAATGGCAAATTATGGTATTATATAATGATAATACTGTTATTTACATGAAACGGCAACAGAACATCTATAATGCTGAATAATGGTAACAAAGTATTATGAAATCGTTATATAAATGTCCTTTATTTGAATCTATGTTTACCTACTCTTCAATGAGAGTCTGCTTTTTGGTATATGATGAACAGATGATAACACCAATTTCTGTTTTCTTTTATTGCTGAGAGAAACAGATAACTAAAACCCTAAGTTGAGTCATCGTTGGTTTATTAGTCTATTTAAAAGATTAGGTCAAGATTCCAACTCAAAACTAATGCCAAACGAGCATAGTTGGGAAGCTGTGGGAAAGTTCCATCATAAGTTTCTGTTGCAAGGACAAGACGCCATTAAGAAATTTCATGTCAGGTAGTTGTTCTTTTATTTATGTTCTCCTACAACCTTGTAGTTATCAGAGTAAATTATAAATTAGTCTTTCTATTTTCGAGAAATAAATAAATTAATTTTTTTGTTGTAAAGATTAATTATTTAGTCATTTAATTAGTATTGATTGCATTTAATTTAATAATATTTTTTTTAAAAAAAATGTCAGTTTTTCTCATTGATCCTTTCATATTGTTTTACGTATTTTTTCTTCTTTTTTTTTTTGTTTCTTAAAATAAAAAAATAAAAAAGTTAAGTTATAAGAAAATTTAAAAATATAGAGACTAAATAATTAGCTTTCAAAACAAGACAGGTTAATTAATTTGTTTATGAAAAATAGAGGGATTAATTTATAATTTATAGTTATTGTCATTCTTCTTGCTTTTAGCATGAAATCCTTTTATCTTTTTTAATGGATTGGACAAGTTAGGATCGATTTTATTCTAATTTCTTAACCACATGGTTTAGTCTTGAAGAGATTATTTTATGAGCCTATTTCATCGTAAACTAAATTATAAAATAGTCTTTCTAGTTTTAAGAAATAAATTAACTAATCCTCTTCGTTTCAAAAATTATTATTTAGTTCTTCAATCAGTGTTGATCATGTTTAATTTAATATTATTTTTATTTCACAAAATCTCTTATTTTTTCATCAATCTTTTCATATTTTTTATTTTTTATTTTTTTAAATCAAAATATATTAAAAATGAGCAGAAAAAGACTCAAGTACAAGTAGATTCAAAATATGAAGATTAAATGATTAGTCCTTGAAACAAGAGGGACTGATTAATTCTTTTCTCGAAATGAAAGGGACTAATCATAATTTACTCCTTCTTCATTTTACACTTGCCAAGTGTTGGGTCCATAACGACCATATGGTTTAATCATGAAAAACTCATTACATGAGAGTCCAATCCATCATGGTTCCCACTTACAAAATGTTGGGTCCCATATTGATTTCGTGACGGATTTCACACAATTTATGTGCTGAGTAAATTATAAATTAGTCCTTTTATTATTGATAAATTAGTTAATTAGCTCTTCTTGTTTTTAAAATTAATTATTTGATCATTTGATCAATATTGAACACACTTCATGTAACCAGGTGTATATATATATATATATATATTAAATGTCTATTCTATTTTTTTGACAAATTTTTTAACTTAAACCATCAAAATTAGTTGTAATCTTTTATTTGATTAGTTTGCAGAGGTTTTTTAAAAATAAAAATTAATCCTATGTAAATAATGTGAATATTAAAAACTTAACGTATATTAAAAATAAAACTAACTGAATTAAAAATATAAAAATTTATCGAAGGATTATCTGCTCGTATAAAGATAAAAAATAGATTGAGTTATTAACTGTCGGTATTTTTCATGTATGGAAGAACATCACAGGCAAACACCAAGGCCCTTCTGCACATTTATCTCTAGCGGTTAAAGCAATGGATTCACACAGTCTTCAAACTTTTTTAGACACTTTTGCATTTTTTTTATATCCAATTTTTTGTGAGTAAATTATAAATTAGTTCCTCTTGTTTTATGAAAAAAAATTAGTTAGTCCTTTTCTTTTTAAAAAACTAGTCATTTAGTCTTTTTGTTTTTAAATTTACTTGTAACATAGTCTTTTTTGTTCCTTTTCAATTTATTTTGATTTTTTGCGTTAGAAAATATGAAAAAATTGATAAGAAAAGAAGACATTCTGTGAAATAAAAAAATATTAAATTAAGAATGCTCAATTTTTTTTTAACTCACACACCCACGGTTTCTAGCAGTTAGTCTCGCTAGAATTTGAACTCGTGACTTCTTATTGCAAAAAACCACTATTACTGACTTATAAATTCTTTGGTATATTCAATACTGATTAAATGATTAAATAATAATTTTTAAAATGAGAAAGCTTAATTAATTTATTTCTTAAAATTAGAGGGACGATCTTATAATTTACTCAATTTCTTGTCCAAGTCCCTTTTGTTCTTTCATTGGCAAAATCTTACAAAAAAAAAAAACAAGAAACCTAGATGGGTATTATTATTAAAATACAATCTGCTACCCCTTTAATTCATTTTGCACGTCACCGCCCCTAAATAGGTTTTCCCCTCCCAACTGTGCAACACAGATGTTTCATCCTTATTGGCAACTGTCTCCAACCCACCGCTTCTCCTTTAATTTTGCCATAAATTCTTCAACCATCTCATAAATGCACGAATCCAATCTTGAAAACCCTTCTGGTACACCTAAATTACAATGTTTATGGATTTGGATTTGGATTTGGCCCAAGAAATACATACACTTGACCATTTAAGTCACAGAAAGTTTTAGCTAAACAAACTCAGATAACTTTCAGCCTTGAAAATGACTCGTGGATGACATTTAGGGCACACCCAAATGGTGTTTTGGCAAATTTTTGTTCACACAAGGGTAGATGCCAAACTTGGTTGCTATATAAGGACAATTGCTTTCCATCCTTTTCTACAGAAGGTAAGCTCCAACAGAAGTTGAAGCAACCTAATCAAGTTTCTGGAGGAAAATGTCTCTCGTCACAGAAGAGATCAAGGCCAAAGCAGAGGTCTACTATGGAGATGAAATGGGAAAAGAGAAATCACAGGAATTGCTCAAGGAAGTGGGCTTGCCAAACGGTCTTTTGCCCTTGCATGACATTGAAGAGTGTGGGATTGTGAGGGAGACAGGGTTTGTGTGGCTCAAGCAGAAGAAGAGCATAACTCATAAGTTCGAGAAGATCGGCAAGCTTGTTTCCTATGCAACTGAAGTCACAGCTTATGTCGAGCCCAACAAGATCAAGAAACTGACCGGTGTGAAGACCAAAGAGCTCTTGCTTTGGATCACACTGAGTGACATCTATTTGGATGATCCACCGACTGGGAGGATCACCTTCAAGACCCCTACTGGGCTCTTCAGGTCTTTCCCTGTGTCGGCTTTTGTGGTTGAAGAAAAAGGTAAAGAAACGGCAGCTAAGGATGCCAAGAAAGAGGAGGAGGGTACTGATGTCAAGCAAAAGAACAAGGAAGTGAATGGAGCTGTGGAGGTGAAGGAGGTCTAAGGTTCTTAGTTTTCAGGCATAAGGGGACTTCATCTGCTGTCATCCTCTCAATTTCAATGTATTACCTGTTGCTAGTATTTACTGGTAATAAAGTACATTAGCTTTTAAATTTTCAATCATGTTACAGACAAGATCTTAGCATGGACAATGGAGTGGTCTACATGTCTGTTTGTTCTTTACTTTATCATAACAAAAAAGAGTGAAATGAATCAAATTAAGTTTCGAATTTGAACATTGTATGATGTTTGTGGGTTTCATGATAATTATGAATTTTTCACTTGCAATGTCTGGCAGGTGAAAATTTGAGAAGGTTGCTGGAATTTAATGGAGATTAGTTGTTTCCTTGTTGTTTTGCCTTAATTTTGGTCCAAGCATTGAAGCTCACTGTTCTTGTCTTGGTCCAAGAATTGAAGCTCACTGTTTTTGTCTTGGTCCAAGAACTGCATAAAAATTTACCCCTTTTCAGTACCCGAAGCATGAAACTTGTTTGTCTCAGTAAACCTATTTGGTAAGATTCACTTTCACAGCAGTGAACATCTAAAATCTATTTTAGCTAAATATTCCGAACTTTCCCTTAATTATTTAATAATCAGCTTCTCAATATATATATATATATTTTTTGAACTTTTAAGTCATTTAATGATCATCAGTTTCTCAACTTCTATTTTAAAATTGGATCTATTTTTTTAACTATTTTTCATTTAAAATTAAATCCTTCTTGTCAGGTTTGAGTTAATTGTGATGATACAAATATACCTAACTTACACATAGTTTGACTTTGACTTTTTTCCTAGCTAAAAATATACCAAAATTTATGAGTGTTTTACCTTTTCTTTTGAAACTTGCTTCCTTCCATTCTAAAATGTCATTTAGTAGCTAACCTTCTGGCATTTGGAACTAAAAAAACAAGTTTTTTTTTAAGAAAAAGCAAAACATTCAAAAACTTTTTAATGCTTTTAGTTGTTGAAGAGCTATATTTGCATATTAAAATTGACAAAAAGCCAATAGAAAAACTCAATTTCTAATAAAAAATAACAGAAGAAAAGTTCAAATCGAAATTAAAAATTAAAAAATTGATTCTTAAAGGACTTAAAATTCATGAAAGGGTTGTAAGATTTGGCCATCTATTTTGATACTTTCATAACGGTGACCATATAAAAGCTCCCAAATCCTGTCCTAGGCCAAGGACCATAAAAGACCAATAGTAAAAAGGAGGGTGCAAATGATGCATGTTGCAGAAAGATGCAAAGGTTGCCAAATTTTGGCCACACATGTCGGTGGCCCATCTAAGATAGCAGATGGCAGAACAATATTAAAGAACCACATGCAAGTGGCAGTGACCAGAAAACCCTCATAAATGCGATTAGCAAACAAGTGCAGAGAAGCAACAGAGGATTCAGCTCTGATATGTAGAAAGGAACTTCAAATGGCGTCAAGAAATGATGCATTACAGTTGTCTTTCGTTTTGATGAGCTAAGTTTAAGGTTGCACTAGAGAGGTTTCATGTACAATGGGACTAATAGACATCTCTGAAAATGAACAGTAGCAGTAATTCAGCCGCAGAATCTACAACCCTTGTCGAGTAAGAAACCTCAAGATATTCTATTACTCCTACCATAGGCCAGGAAATGGAGATTGATATCATATACATACACAACGCCGCAGGTTCTCTCACAAAGCTCTACTAGTTTCTCCAGCAATCACAGCTTCAAAGCCTAAAAATATGTGGAGGTAACAAGCAAATGTTATCATCTATGGCAGTACCAGAAAACATAAAAATAATATCAGACTCCCAAAAATCATCCAAACCTCTAGTGCATGTGTGAGGTGTTCAGAATCATGGAGAAAAAAAAATCTTTAGAAAAAAAGACAAAAACAGTTGAAGGATGGAAGTCATACATGTGAAGGAGTGACCCATTTGCCATTGATCCAGTCCTGATGTGGCCTTAAGTCAGAGTGCTGAAACTCTAATTCCTCACTGGAATCCTTGAAGTAGACCACATACTTTGGGTAGGTATTTACCTTAGTAACTACACCCACCCACCAGGCATCATTGTACAAAGCATCAACTTCTTCCAGCTTCTTGAATCGATCAACAATAATAGTTTCTGGTGGAGCGGGCCTGATGTGCAAAATGTCAACCACTTCCCTCAGAAAATCACTATCGTCTTCTGTTCTCAAGCTTTTGTACTCGATAAGGAACGTGTCCTTCCCCACTGGTTCAACAATAGTTGCGGCAAACCAAGCACCTTTAAAACCGTCTTCATCACTGCTAACCTCAACAAGCATTCCCTTGCTGAACGTCACATCTTTCGGTGATTCAATGGGCTTCACTTGTGCGGTATTGGCCACTTTCTGCAATTCCAGATTCAAGAAGTTGTTGAAGTTAAATTGGAGAACATACCCGCAAAAGACAAAACACACAGAATAAGTTAAAAGGATCGTTGAATACAGAATAGCAACTCACTGTAGACAATCAAAAACCATAGACAAACAGAAGGATGTTCCACAAAGTTTTCTATCCATTTGACACTTATATGTAGGCACCCATTGTAAATCCATGGTAAAACTACAACACAACAATCAGCCACTGAAATTGCATCAAGCTTCCCAATTATACATTTGCAATTTCATAGTAAGCTCACTTCCAGATGTCCAACAGGAAATGAATCGTATAGATTTCTAGCATTAAAATACCGATCATCAACAGATCAAATGAATAATACAGAAGTAGCAACAAAAAATACAAGTTTGAAATTTCTCTTTCAATTCTGTAAGCATCTGTTTAGCTTCCTTATCCAGGATATAATCCTTCATTGAAGTTCCATTGCTTGCAGAAAGTGTTGAGAAAACAGCATCCAATCAGACATGGTTCTAAACATGTGAAAAGGCTGGAAAATTCTCCTTTTGACCAAAAAATAACTAAGTTGATGAGGCCAAAAGTAAATAAACATGGATCAAGTGACTATCAATCAGACAATCTCCACATACTATCCATATAGCACAGCATATCCAACAATAGCTCATCCTAGAAAGTTTTTCCACTAATTTTATGTACTCTCTCTCTCTCTCTCTCTCTCTCTCTCTCTCTCACTCACACACACACACACACACACACACCCCCCATAAAGTGTACCCAAATGCACATTTCTTCTTTTTTATTTCCATTTCCTTTGGGCCTGTGTGTAAGTTACTGCCCGCGAAAAGGATAAAAAAGCTTCATACAAAACTTCAGGTTGTACCGCATGCAAATTTTTTTTTTTTTTTTTTTTTTTTATAAAGAAAAAAACAGAAAAGCCAAAAATCTTGCTCACTTAGAAAGGATTTTCCAGCAATACCAACAGTGTACAAAAGAAAATCCCTCTCCCAATCCCACTGAGCTCCCTTCACAAGGGGCAAAAGATAGCCACCATAGAACAGCAATTATCTTTTTCTTACTGGAAATACTTTTTATCAGAAAAAGATAAGGCATTCACATACTAAAATAAACAGACAGAGATCATGGGGATGGTAAAAATGAAAGGCCAAGCTTCCATCTCATCATCCAGGGTCAAGTTTCCTTAGACCCACAAGCTATTCTATAGTTAACCCCTATCCCCAGACCCTTTGTTCGTCAATAAAACCCAAAAACCACTCAAACCCATTAACCAAAATCATCAACTACCAAATGAAATTTCACAACAGAACACATTAACCAAAATTGACATAATAGAAAAAGATAATCATAAGGAATCTATACTATTAACCAGAATTTACATAAAGAGCACAATTTTTTCAAAATCGAAACCCACCTTATTAACCCTCCTTTCCACCGCTTTCGTCGCTTCTTTCTCCTCTCCTTCAAAGAGTTTCTTTCTCTTTTTAGAACCCTGCTTTTCAAAAAACCCAAAAGCAACACACCACAGATTCAAAGTCTAAACCAATAATTAAAAAAACAAACACACCAACTAAGTTTTAACAAAATAACAACAAAATAAGCAAAATAAACTGAAGACATTACCCATGATAGACCTGATAAAAACAAAACTATCAACAAATCTATCAAAAGTTAACAAGATTAACATAAGAGCCATACATTATTTATACAAAATAAAACTCATTAACCAAAATTAACATAAAACGACTTGTCAAAAAAACCAACCAAAACCCACCTCATTTCCTTTCTCTTTCACCTCTTTCACCTCCTGTTTCTCTTCATTCTCTTCTTCTCGTTCCATTGGTGGTTTCCACTCCCCATTAACCCACTCTCTATGCAATCTCAAATCCTCCTCGACAAACTCAATCTGCTCCTTAGTACTCCTAAAAAACACAGCAAACTTCCCATTTTCATTCACCTCAGTTATCACACCTTCCCACCACCCATCATTATGATAAGCGTCAACTTCTTCACTAAGCTTGAACTCCCTCTTCTTCTCTCTTGGTGCTATTGGCCTTATTTGGAACTCATTAACTGTTTCTTTCAAGGGTTTTTTCCCTTCTTCGTCTTCAAACATTTTGTCATATTGGACTGTGAACTTAGGCGTTCTTGTTGCCTTCACTATTGTTCCTGTGTAGAATGAGCCTCTAAATCCTACGTCGTCTGACATGATTTCCACTTTTGAGCCTGGTTTGAAATGCGGGTCTTGGTTGGATTTCGATTTCGATTTGGGCGTTGATTTTGGCGGCATTTTTATGGTGTTTTAGGGTTAGGGTTTAGGTTTGTTCAAGAATGTTCAGGAGATTTTGGCGCGCTAGAGAGAGAGAGAGAGAGAGAGGGAATGGAAGGGGGAGGAAATGAATCTGTTGGGGTTGATTGTGAACAAGGGAAAGGGAAGAAATGTTTGGGGTTGAAAACGTAAAAAGGTATAAAATGAGAGCAAATTATAAACTAGTCCTTATAGTTTTGGAAAACTAATCAATTAGACTTTTTTTTTAAAACATGATATTTAGTCCTTATATTTAAAATCTCTCTCTATATATATAGATATATATGAAGTATGAAATATGAAAAGTAAAAAAAAAAATGAAATGATTGATAAGAAAAAATGAGATTTCTTAAAACAAAAGAATATTAAATTAAGTATGTTCAATATTAGTTATACAATTAAATAATTAATTTTAGAAATAAGAAAAATTAATTAATTATTTTTTAAAAAATAGAGATACTAATTTATAATTTATCCTGCAAAATGATGGGAGGAATTGGGAAATTTTTGGAAGGGGTATCCATTAAAGTGTATATTGAATTAAAAAAATAAAAAATTGTTGTGAAATATATATATCCCAAATTAGTATTTCGAATAATATCAAATTTTAATGAAAACATGCTTTAAATTAAAATATTAAAATGTAAATAAAATTGCAGACATAATTATAAAAAAACCTTTGTTCGTAAATAAAGAATGAAAGATCCATCAAATTTGTGCATTTCATGCAATTGATGCACTTCTTGTTGTTGATATCAATTGGCAAGTATTAAAAAGAAAAATTAGGTTGTGCTTCTATTAAAGGATATTTTGGTCTATAACAAAAATACTGTAAGTTAGGAGGGTAACTTTTAGATAATTTGGCAAGAAAAAAGTTATTTTGAATTTGAGAGATTAAAAAATGTATTGTCGAATTGTTAAAAATACAAGATATTTTAGAAGGGTTTTCTGGTAATTTTTTCCAATTAAGGAGCAATGTGGTTTTGGTTTTGCATACATTTTGTTTTTTATTTCTCATATTTAGTTTTTAATATAACACCAATGGATTGAGTTGTAATAAATAAGCAAAATTTTAAAATTTAAATTCTAAACTAGTAAATAAAATTATTCTTTTTTTTTTCATTTTTGTATTTAAAAACATTACTAGGAAAAATTACATTACAAAATTAAAAAAAATGTAGATTACATGATTAATCATTCACACAGATTTCATGATCGATCTAAAATCTTATGTGATCTATGCTAATATATTATAATTTGTTAATAGATTCTTTACTATATTTTCATTCTAATTTCTTTTTATAATAAATGTATTTTTTTAAGATGTTGGAAGAAACGAAAGACTTTTTTGCAGTGTTGAATTGTTTTGGTTTTTGCTGCAAACCAGTCTTCGATTTTGTTATCTTTGATACAACTTGTTTCAATCGCCAACAAAATAAGTATAAGTTGAAAAATAAATTAAAATTTGAAATAATTTACTAATAATGGTTATTTGCAGACAATTATGGTTATGGAGTAATTGACTTTTCAAATTGTATGAGCTGTGAGTAGTTATGTCAGGATGACATGATGTTTTGTTGGAAAAGATAAACTCATACTAGTAGGGGTTTGGTGGCTGTTTGATTGGGAGGAATTTTGATGGGAATTGCATAAAGATTTTTTTTTTAAAAAAAAAACTTAATTCGTGTAATTAGAATATGAAGATGACAAGTTTAATAAAATATTTATAAATTATATAAAAAAAAATTTACTAAATACATCTTGTTGCAATAATTGACCAGATATATTTTAATGGTTTTCCTAAAACAATTAATAGTTACTAAAATAAAAAAGCCTCATGTATAGAACATTAAAAATATGATTTGTAACCTAAATGAGAAAACAATTTACCAATTTAAAAAGAAATATCAAGGACAAGTGAGAGTAGAAAACCCAAAATTAAATAGGAATGACATTAACTTTGTAACATCTTCTATGATTTAAAAAAATTTTGCTTTTATAAACATGTTCTTATTTAAGAATATGCCTTTTAACCATTGATTATGTTGAAAAAAATAACTACTTTTCTTTTGGCAAATATATTAATTTGTTTTTATATAATAGTATGAGTTTTTAATTGTATTTAGTACGCACTTGAATAATTTTTAAATTTTAAATTTGTTTTTTCGATCAATTTGTTCGTAATTTTTTCGATTACGAACAAATTTTTTAACCGATATACCTCTTACTAAAATGGCAAAAAAAAATAATAATAATAAAATAAAATAATGAAACATTAAGATCATGTGACTTGAAGTGATTTTTTTTTTCAGACAAAAGCATTTCGATAAAAAAATTTGCTTTATGGTTGAAAAAACCAGTCAAAATAATAGATTAAAGACTAAAATATTATCGAATGATATAACAAATGTAATTAGAAATATAGGAGTAAATTGGAGATTCAAGTTACTATATAAGGACAAATTGAATCCTTTATCCCATGTTTATATGTAACTTGAAAATACTAATTCCATATTTCATGTAACTGATGTATCTTTTGTTGTTCTACATTGTATGATCAATTGGCAGAAGTTTTAAAAAAGGAAAATTGTTTGTGATTCTATTAAAGGATATTTTAATCAATAACTAAAATAAATAAGTTAGGAGGGTAACTTTGTGATAATTTGGCGAGGAAAAAAATATTTTGGATTTGAGAGATTCAAAAATATATTATTGGGTTTTAAAAATATAAGATCTTTTTAGAAGGTTTTTCTAGTAATTATTCTAATTACGGAGCAATGCGGTTTTGATTTTGCATATATTTTGTTTATTATTTCCCATATTCATTTTTTAATTTAACACTAGTGGATTGAGTTGTAGTGAATGATTAAGATTTTAAAATTCAAATTCTAAACTTGTAAATAAATTTATTCAATTTTTTAATAGATTATAACTTAATAGATTCTTGTTTAACTGCTATGCTAGTTATATATATATATTTTTTTATTTTATTTTATTTTATTTTATTTTATTTTCAAACTCCTTCACTGCATTTTCATTCTATCTCGAGAAATTTTTATAATAAATGTATTTTTTTTTTTTAAGATGTTGGAAGAAACAAAAGACTTAGCAATGTTAATTTTTGATTTTGTTATCTTTGATACAGTTTATTATCAATCACCAATAAAATAAACCCGATTTGAAAAATAAAATAAAATTTCAAATAATTTACTAATAATGGTTATTTGCTTGTCAGGATAATTATGGCTATGGATTAACTGCCTTTTCAAATTGTGTGAGTTGTCAATAGTTATGTTAGGAGGATGAACAACAGATCGATGTAGATGTTATGTTCGAAACGATAAACTCGTAATAGCAGGTGATGAATTTGATGAGTATTTGATAGGGAGGAATTTGATGGGAATTGTATTGTTTTTCAAAACTTGAAATCATGTAATTAAAATCTGGAGATGACAAGTCTAATAAAATATTTATAAATTATATAAAAAAATTACCAAATACATTTTATTGCAAAAATTTACCAAATGTATTTTATTGTTTTCCTAAAACAATTAATAGTTACTAAAATAAAAAAGCCTCAACTTTAGAAATTAACAAAATCAAAAATATTATTTGTAACCTAAATGAGAAAATAATTTACCAAGTTAAAAAGAAATATTAATTAAAGACAATCCAGAGTAGAAAACCCAAAATAAAATAGGAATGACATTAAATTTGTTACATCTTCTGTGATTTTTTTTTTTAATTCCTTTCATAAACATATTCTTATATAATTAAGAATATATGTTTTAACCGTTGAGGAGAGCCGAGATTAGAAAATTAAAGATCAATTGACAAGATGATAAAGTCATAGTAGCATGCCTAGTATGATTCTTTTTTACCAACAAATGATGTGAAAAGTGAAACCAAGTGGTAAAAGTGACAAAGTCTAGGTGGCATTCCTAAGGTGATCTCGATGAATGATTAAGTGATTTTAAGTTTTTATACCATCAAACACCTTTTAAGCCCTTTATATCTTTTCGTTCTTAAGCCACAAATGAGAAAAAGAAAATGTTTTTAAATAAAACTTGACTTGTGTGTATTACAAAGCATCATTTTTTACATTGAATCATGATTTTTCATCAAATAACTCGAGTCAAGAAAGAAATGAATCTACTCTTTCTAAGAAAAAATACCCATTTAAACTAAACATCCTTCAAAACTCTTTGAGTCCAGGAAATCTATTTTAACATGTTGCTCTTTGTGAGATAATTTCTAACAAATCACCTTTTAAATGAGATCTGTTTCTTTTCAAAAATATTATGTGATCCAAATATATTTTGCTCGTCTAGTCTAAAAAAGATTACCTTGTGGATTTTGCATCGCGACATTTGTATGATATGTTTTGACTTTTGACCAAATGAATCAAATATCTTCTTGAATGAGATTACATTCTTGTGAATATCTATATGATTTCTTTCGGATAATTCAACTTGCTTTGGTGAAATTTTTTTAAAATAGATGACTTAGCTTATGAAAGTAAAAACAGATGAAAATGATTTTCTAAAGATTCAAAAAGTCTCAAAGACAAGTTCACATAATTAAGCACAAATGTCAAACGAAGACGAACAAGTATAAGTAATAACAATGAAAGCTAGATGATAAATGGATGATCACTACCAATAAGTCAAGAGTTGTTATGATTAAATTGATCACAAAGCCGTATCGGTACTAGAAGACCAAGCATTTCAACTCCACTCCTATACGGAGTAACAAAGAGATAATCCGAGTTATGAAAAATCTACTTTCTTTTTTTTGATAAATAACTCAATTTGTCTTTATATAATAGTCTAAGTTTTCATTTATCTTTACATTTCTAATTGCATGTAGTATATCTTTGAATAATGTTTAAATTTTTAATTTGTCTTTCGAATCAATTTTTTTTACTATAAATAATTTTTGACCAATATACCCTTAACTAAAATGTAAAAAAAAAAAATCTAAAAACTTTGAAAATGAAACATTAAAGTCATGTGACTTTAAATTTTTTTTTTTTTCAATTTGGAGCATTTCGATCAAAAAAATTGTCCAATGGTTGAAAAAATCGATCGGACAAATTGAAAACTAAAACAATATTTAATAATATAACAAACGTAATTAAAATGTAAGAATAAATTGAAGATTTAAGCAACTACATAAAGACAAATTGACTCATTTACCCCATATTTATATGTACTTTTACCTTGAAAATACTAATCCAATAGCTAAAACACTATATATGTAATTGCTTGCAGCAGCCATCCCTTGAAAAAACCAAAAAGAAAAAAAAACTGAATTAATTAAGAGCCTCCATTTTCTTTATATAGCATTGAACATGAGTTATTAGTAGATTCAAAGTCTGACCATTTGAATTGACTCAAAATTAGACATGATTTGACATTAATCTAGCCTTAAAAATAGTGAATTTAGTCTTGATTGACGCTGTTAGAATATCCCACTAATTATAATATTAATATAAATAAATAAAATAAAGAGTTACAAATTTGAAACAATTCCGTGACTAAAAAATAATCTCAAATCTCAAAATATATAGTTATAGTAGGATCCACAAAAAAGATATTCATCTCACCTTTTTCTATCTATAAATGTGCATTTTTTTTTCCATTTTATTCTATAAAAATGTAAATATTAGCAATATATATATATGTATAGACCATAAACATTTGGCTGAAGGTACAACATCACGAATAAACACATGAGCATATTTCAATGGCAGCTTATCTCCTGGGTTGTTGCAGCCACAGTCCCAACATCAAACTGCGTCATTCCACAATTTCCATGCTTCCTTTTCCATATCACCATCTTGCCTCTTAGGATAACAATCGCAGCTCCTTACTACCTTCCAAATTCTCTTTATCTACGCTTTCAACGTCATCAATAAGAACTCTAAGATATGGAAAATAAAACAAAAGAACTACTTGCTAGGTACTACATGACAGCGACAATAAAATACTAGTATTAATCTACTTTCGACAGTGGTGGTAAACTGAAAATGAATAGACATGCTGTTTTATTCATACACATTCATCAACAATCTCCTATCCTAGCATGCAGCAGCTGCATAACATGTACTACCCTGGCCCCTGCACCCATCCTTTCTGAAATGAAACCGGAAGCACAGCAGAACTGGCGGCTGACAAAGGGGGCAGTGGGGCATCACTTCCAAATACAGCATATCTTTGGCCACACACATTGCATGTTTCCAGTCTCCTGTCAGCTGAGCATCAGTGACCAATATCTGATCTGACATCAGTTCATTAGAAATGAGAAGTGAGATAACTTGAATTAAACCGCGGGGATGCGAACCATTCAGGTTATAAATGCAAGCTTCACATTGACATTAACTTGAAACGCCTCCATTATATGATGCGGAAGGAAAGGACAGAGGCTGCAAGAGCGAAATTATCATAAAAGGTAAATTCATATTTCAGTTAAAAATAAGATGAGCCTGAGATCCAGAATAGTGATACTAGACATAAATGAATCAGTTCTGTTTGAAGACAATGCATAAGTTATGTTACTGCATTTTCAAAGCTAAAACAATTTGTTTTTAATAGTATATGAGGTAGAGTGGTAGACATTAGAAGAACAGGTGATTTATGCCACAGCAAAATCAAATCATTTGTTTACTTTTCGAAATTCAATCAAACAGCCACACGATTTTCATCAACATACATATGAAGGAGCAAATATGTACAGTTTAAAAAAAAAGGGACTAAATATGTGGGGAAAAAACTTTAGATTTTTACGTGTTGCATGTCTGGAAGTAAAAATTCCGTATCTCATTGAGATATAGATAGAGTATAAGAAATCGAACTTACTTCAGTAAGCCTCAATTCTGACCTCAATTCTGAACTGCTTGGAGTTGGCAACATGAATAATCCTTTTCCGCAGTTTAGGCTGCGAATGCCATCAAAGTTGGCCCAAGAATGGAGCAAATTATCCATATGTCATATGAACATCATAAAGACATATAAGCTGAATCATGACCAGGTCTGTAACCTTCATCCCTCATATGTTTTCTTAATCTCCATATTGCTCCTTTTATCTCTCCAATCTGTGGATGTATCTGATCTCCCACGACAAACACATGAACATGACTCTTGAGCTCAATCCAGCTACATCCAGGTTCCTTTCTCACTCCTCGAACTTTCATCATCTTCCTGACCCGTACCACATCTTGTAACCTGCCCATGGCAGTATAAATACTCGACAATAAAACGTAAGCTGATGATTCTTGTGAGCCCAGCTCCATTAATTTTTCACCAGCACAGGCTCCCAATTCATAATTATGGTGGTTCCGGCAGGCAGGCAGTAAAATGCGCCATAAGCACATACCATGATCTATGGGAGCTGATTCAATAAATTCCTTAGCTTCATTGAGCTTCCCTGCACGACTCAGGACATCAACCATGCAGGCGTAATGCTCTACTCTTGGAACTAAACCAAATTCATCAAACATCATATTGAAATATGCCCAACCTCTCTCCACCAATCCCATGTGGCTACAAGCAGAGAGCACGTTCACAAACGTGATATGGTTTGGCTTTGTGTCCTCTAGAAGCATCACCTCAAAGAGTTCTAGAGCTTCCTTACCAAGCCCATTTTGGGATAATCCAGATATCATTGCATTCCAGGAGATTATGTCTGTAAGCGGCATCCTCTTAAAAACAAGGAATCCCTCTTCTTGACTCCCACATTTTGCATACATAGTTGAAAGAGCACTTCCGATTGAAAGTTCTGGACCTAATCCATACTTAATGGTACGGGCATGCATTTGCTTTCCTTGTTCTAAAGCAGCGAGGCTAGAACATGCTTTCAAGACACTGGCCATGGTTAGCTCGTTTGGCAAAATTCCTTGCATCTGCATTCTACCATACATGCTTAGAGCCTCTTCATTTTTCTCATTTTGTACATACCCCGCTATGATGGATGTCCAAAGAACAAGATCAGGTTCTTGTAAAAAATCAAACCCTTTCCGAGCATCTCCAGTAAAACCACACTTTGCATACATATCAACCACAGCTGTCGCTATATAGATTTGAGGCTCATATCCCAACTTCAATAAATAGCCATGCGTTTGCTTTCCTTCTTCAACGGCAGCAATACCACTGCAAGCATTAAGAACCCCAACAAGGGTAAATCCACTAGGTACAATCCCAGCGTAATGCATCTTGGAGAACAGCTTCAAGGCCTCAAGAGAATCCCCAGCTTGAGCATAACCAGTGATCAAGGCGGACCACGTTATAGCATTCTTATCACTGCACATCTCAAATAGCTGAAGAGAATCATCTAAAATTCCACATTTAGCATACATAGTAACAAGCGCATTTAGTGCCGAAACAAATCCCAACACCCCATTTTTAACTACAACACAATGCACCTGCTTTCCACTACCAACAAATTCAGGATTCACCAAGGCGCTAAGCACACTAGTAAAGACATACTCATTCAAATCCTCGTCTTCTAACCTCATCAATCCAAAAATCCCCAAAGCTTCCTCAGCCATCGATTCATTCGCATACCCAGAAATCATCGTAGTCCAAGAAACCAAATTCCTCTCAGGCATTCTATCAAACAATTTACGAGCCTCGAAAACGCGACCCACTTTACAGTAGAAATTGAGGAGTGAACTCCCAACAAAGACGTCTTTAAAACTTGCGGTTTTAATACCAAGCACGTGAGCTTGTCTGGCATCAAAATTACAGCCCAAATTCAATGCGGCAGCGGTGAAAACACCAGGAAAAGTGTGTGCATCTGGTAATATATTATTAGCTATCATTCGGCGAAAAAGTTCCAAGATAAAGGTAGCACCTTTTGAGCCATTTTGAGAGAACGCATTAATGAGACAATTATAAGAAACAACATTTTTGTTTTTAATGTTTTCGAATACGAGCTTTGATCTATCTAAATGGCCGCATTTAGCATAGAGTTTTATTAGATTATTGGCAAGGTAATTACAGGAACATAAATGTGGGGTTTTTATGATGTGGGCGTGAAGGTTTTTGCCTTTTTTAAGAGATTTTTGGTCTGTGTATTGAATGAGTAAATTGTAAAAGGAGAGATTTTGTGGAGGGTGAGGCATCAGTACGAGGTTTCTGCTAGGAGGGAACTCCCTGCTTCATTTAAAATTTAATGGCGCAAAGCTGAGGACTTTAGAAACTAAAAAGGTGTAAAAGTCCCTCAAGTTTTTTGACATTGACATAACTAACCCTCGTACCTTAGTTTTGTCCACGTAAATACTTACTTTTGGGTTAATTGCATATTTAGTCCATGTACTTTTAATATTTCTTAATTTGCCTTCTCTACTTTTTTTTTTATTTGGTCCATTTATTTAAGATATATTTTTTTTAATATGGTCTTTTTAATAGGATTCCATTCAATTTTCTAGCACCAAGTTACTGATGGGCTGCCATCTCAGATGATAGTGGTACACGTAAAAAAAATTAATTTCAAAAAATAAAAAAAATTAACAAAGTGAATCTAAAAACAAGAATTTTTTTTTTAACACGTATCATTAAGTCTATTTATCACTTGTTATTGAAAAAATTGATCAAAATCTTATCGAAAAGAATGCATTAAAAAAATGTTTAGAATATAATAAAAAATTATTCCCTTCGTTTTCAATTTGTCGTCAATGTGGACATGTGGTTACTCCATAGTCCATACAATTGATGTTCATTATATATATATAATGTGAAATTTTAAATGCAAAAATTTATAGTACAAGGAACGATTTAATTAATTTTTAATGCTTAAAGACCATACAATGAATCTAGCCTTTAAAAAGGTTGATTTAATTGCAATGCGAGCTCTTATTGTTTGATAATGGAATCCTTATGGTTACATATAAATCAATTGAGTCTTTATTATAGGAGAATTAAGTCAAATTTAAGGATGGTTATGGATAATTATGGATTGGAGTTTCTAGCATATTCATATCTTATTTATCACCCATCAAATGAAAACTTTAAAATCAAATAATTTATTTTGTTGTTATATTCAGATTTAATTATGGCTTTACAGTCCAATAAATTGATTAATGTTCGATAAAACTTTGATTATAAAGCTAATATTGTAGGCCCAATATATAGTGACATGTAAATGAAGTAATCACTCCATGTGTTCTCGAGAAAGGTAGCCAATGGTAGGTTATATGTGCACACATTGTAGAAATAATGATTTCTAACTTGTTAAAAAATTTATATACTAATTTTATATATAACACGTGAGACTCGATAATTTTAAATTAGTAAGAAATTAACACATAATTAGTGTATGTGGAATAATAAAAAATTATTAATTGTTTTTAGATTAACTTAGATGTTATGCAAATATCATATAAGTTAACTTAAACAAGTTTCCATGGAAATGAGTGGAGCAATGGAATTTAACTTGGGATTACAATTTTAATTCAAATTAAGGATGCATTTGTCCTATTTCAATCCAGGAGGTCCATTGTTGTAGTATTATAAACTACAGGAACCTGTCTTTAAGACAAAAGAATACAGAAAGTAAGAACAAAATGGATTTAAGCTGTAAAATAGCATGCGTGGAAACTCTCTGCTGCTGTTTCATGGCTAAAAGACAGAACACAGAGTTCAGTTCCAGTTTTTATTACGATGAAATTTCCCAAACTAAACGGTCTTTCAAAACCCTTCAAGTTTCCAACTTTCACTTTCAATCCAAACCTAACTCTTCCAATCTTAGAAACCCAGTTGCAAAAATGCCAAACCATCAAGCAGTTCAATCAAATCCTCTCTCAAATGATACTCTCTGGCTTATTCAAAGACAACTTTGCAGCAAGTAGACTACTTAAGTTCTCCACTGAATTACCATTCATTAACATCAACCAATCCTATCAAATATTTTCACACATTGAGAACCCAAATGGGTTCATTTGTAACACCATGATGAAGGGATATGTACAAAGAAATAGCCCGTGTAAAGCTATCTGGGTTTATAAGTTGATGCTTGAAAAAAATTTAGCAGCTGATAATTATACTTATCCAATTTTGATTCAGTCCTGTTCCGTTAGATTAGCTGAATTTGATGGGAAATGTATTCAAGATCATGTTTTGAAGGTGGGTTTTGATTCTGATGTTTATGTACGGAATACTTTGATAAAGATGTATGTTGTTTGTGGGAATTTACATGATGCACGTAAGATGTTTGATGAAAGTCCTGTTTTGGACTTGGTTTCATGGAATTCGATGCTAGGAGGGTATGTTTTGGTAGGGAATGTGGACGAGGCTAAGTATGTGTATGATAGGATGCCTGAAAGGAATGTAATTGCTTCGAATTCGATGATTGTTTTGTTTGGTAAGAAAGGTAATGTTGTAGATGCTTGCAGGTTTTTTAATGAAATGAAGGAGAAAGATTTAGTATCGTGGAGTGCGTTGATTTCGTGTTATGAGCAGAATGAGATGTACGAGGAGGCTTTGACTTTGTTCAAGGAAATGAATGCTAATGGAATTATGGCGGATGAGGTTGTGGTGCTTAGTGTTCTTTCAGCATGTGCTTGCTTGTTGGTGGTTATGATAGGGAAGTTGGTTCATGGTATGGTTGTGAAAATTGGGATTGAGACTTATGTTAACCTTCAAAATGCTTTGATTCACATGTATTCAAGTTGTGGAGAAGTGGTGGCTGCTCAAAAATTATTTAGTGGGAGTTGTTGGTTGGACCAAATATCATGGAATTCTATGATCTCTGGCTACTTGAAATGTGGAGAATTTGAAAAGGCGAGGGCTTTATTCGATTCAATGCCTGAAAAAGATAACGTGTCGTGGAGTGCAATGATATCAGGTTATGCTCAACAGTACAGATTTGTTGAGACTTTAGAGCTGTTCCGGGAGCTGCAGATCGATGGAATTATGCCGGATGAGACAACTTTGGTTAGTGTGATCTCGGCTTGTACTCACATGGCTGCCCTTGACCAAGGCAAGTGGATTCATGCTTATATAAGGAAGAATGGCCTAAAGATTAATATCATTTTGGGTACAACCCTTATAAACATGTATATGAAACTAGGGTGCATTGAAGATGCTCTGAAGGTTTTCAGTGGGTTGGAGGAGAAGGGAGTTTCTACTTGGAACGCTCTCATTCTTGGTTTGGCGATGAATGGATTAGTAGACAAGTCACTCAAAACATTTTCAGAGATGAAGGAACATGGTGTAATACCTAATGAGATAACCTTTGTAGCAGTTCTTGGGGCTTGCAGACACATGGGCTTAGTAGATGAGGGACGCTGTCATTTTAATTCCATGATTAAGGAGCACAAGATTGAACCCAATGTCAAGCATTATGGATGCATGGTTGATCTTCTAGGACGTGTAGGTATGCTAAAAGAAGCAGAGGAACTCATTGAGAGTATGCCAATGGCACCAGATGTTTCCACTTGGGGTGCCTTGCTTGGAGCTTGTAGGAAATATGGTGACAATGAAACAGGGGAGAGGATAGGAAGAAAGCTCGTAGAACTTCATCCTGACCATGATGGGTTCAATGTATTGCTTTCAAATATATATGCTTCAAAGGGCAGTTGGGATGGTGTTCTTGAAGTTCGGAAAATGATGATGCAACATGGGGTGGTGAAGACCCCAGGCTGTAGCATGATTGAAGCACATGGTAAAGTTCATGAGTTCCTTGCTGGAGATAAGACACATCCTCAGATTAAAGATATTGAACATATGTTAGATGAAGTGGCTATGAAATTAAAGACAGAAGGTTATGCACCAGACACACGTGAGGTTTCTCTTGATATTGATGAAGAAGAAAAGGAAACTACTTTGTTTAGACATAGTGAGAAGCTTGCAATTGCCTTTGGGCTTATTGCCATTGATCCACCAACACCGATAAGGATAGTGAAGAATTTGCGAATATGCAATGATTGTCACACTGCAGCAAAGTTGATTTCGAAAGCTTTTAATCGTGAAATTGTGGTGAGGGATCGGCATCGCTTTCACCACTTCAAGCAGGGTTCTTGTTCATGCATCGATTATTGGTAGAAATTGTATAGCCTAATTAGTTTCTGCATTTATTCTTGTTAAGCTTGTCCAGCTCTGCCATGGTAGAATGTATTTTTTTTTTAACTGGATGATGCCTGGGGTACAATTAAAAGGGCTGGTTACTGTCAAAATGAAAAAGTAACCATGTCTTACAAAAAACATCAACCCACAATGTCCGGTTAAATTCTCCAACTGGTTAATTGATTTGCTTTGCATTTGCAGTTGAATTTCTGGCTTGTATTATGTTTGTTATTTTAATGAAATTTTGGATTTGGTTTTCTGGATTGATGGCAGCATAACAGGAGTACAAAAGGAGAGCATACCTCTGAATCACAATTAGAAGAATGTAAGATGTCTTTCTCTTCCTTTAAAAAAAATTAAAAAATTAAAAAATTGTTTGATTTTCTCAAGGATCTGCTTTTCAATGAACATGCTTATCGATTTCATTACTGACTTACTTTGTCTTAAAAAGCAGAGCAGAGATGAGCAAGAGACCGAGGTGCAATTTTATACATCATTCTTCTATTTCTACTGGTGCTTCAAATTTCTCTTTCGCTATAATTTAATTTATTTTGCTGTGAAGAATATAAACATCCAGTTGACAAAGATGTTGCCATTTTTCAATTTAATTGCCAGCAATTCATCAACCCAAATTCTCTCTATTTTTGAAAATTTCCCTATTTTGTGCCTTAAATTTTGTTGGAATTTGTTGTCAGTACATGAGATTTAATATTCAGTTTATCCTTGTGAATGCCTTTTCTTTTCTTTTTGGGTCTTATTTAACACAATTTGAAATTGCCTCGAATCTAGCCAAAGCATAGACCAAAGCTATTTTCTAATGATTTTTCTTCTTTTTTAAAACCATTATTGGCATAGAAATTATATGAAATTAATTGTGGATTGTATTCTATTGCTAATTTCTGTATGTGGGGTTGATTCGGTGTTTGTTATAAGTGATTTCTATATATGGCTTTTTGTTTTTTTACTGGCATATCAGGAGGGGTCCGATTTCTGCAATTCTGAGCTGTACAGCTTTCACCACCAATGACATGATGGAAGAGCCTTGGACTTTCACCATCAGGAAGCTCACACCTTCATTCAGGTAAAAGTTGCCTCCGTAGATAACCTAAGCCATGTTGTTCAGTGCGGTCGTATAGATAACAAGCTAAATTCCTTTTTGCAAGAGGTAACGCGTTTGCATAGATAGCAAGCTGAATTCCTTTCTACAAGAGGTAACCTGACACCATTGCAGCGCCAGTCCTAACGAAGACTTATGTCGCTTATGTGAGCTGCCTTTACTGTTTATACCTACTATGTCGATTCTATTTTCCTGTCATGCTTATTAATCTAAATTTCTGAATTGTTGCTGTTGCTGTAGAGTTGTGCCTAAATGAAACAAGTCATCATAGACTTTATGGTAATATTTAAGAATGCGCACAATTTTTTTAATCGAGCAGTCATGTGATTCACATGTTATTATAGTGTTGAAAATATAATCCTCGCATTAGTACAAAGTTTATATTTTCTCAATTAAAAAAAAATTATATATAGCTAGCATTTTTCCTTTCATATTTTCTCCTTGTAAGCAAAATGTAGTTGTTATGCACTATTGGATAGTGTAAAGTAAAAATATTTTACTCAGCAAGTGTGGCAGTTTCCACCGCTTGGTTTGTGAGTCCATCTTCAGGCTGATTACATGTAAAGATTATAGAAAGCACAATATTAGTGAAGTTCCTTTGAAACTTTGGTTTGAGATAACAGTGTATGTATTTCTGCATTTAAACAGTACAAGAAAATTGAAGTACAAAGACCAAGTGGTCACAGATTTCAGCTCCTATTTGATTCAGCTCAAATTAATATCAGTAATGATAGATAAGAATGAATTTATCAAATTTACAAAAAATTACATGCACCTGTGTTGCTTGATGTCTTCCATATGTAGGGGTATAGGTCATTTATTCTTTCTAGTAAAACAGAATGAACTCCTGAGAGAGACTGAACTTTTCTTAATCCATCCCATTTTCCTTTTTCTTCCGATTTTCTCCAACTTAGTGTCATGTTTATCAAAACAGTTTAATTTCACATAGCCCTTAAATTCATCTTCTCATCATTTCTCAACTTCAAATCAAGTGCCATCTTCTTGGTCGTGTATTAAGCAATCAAGTTCGGGCACATAGCCAGCCTCTTTCATATGCCGTCCAGGTAATTCCAAAACTTCGTTAACCCACTCTATGTGAGAACCCTTCTTATTTCCAACAACAAAACTGTAAACCTGGTTTTGTACCTCAATCCAACTCCTCCCAGCCTCTTTTTTACACCCTGCTCTCTTCATCATCTTCCTCATTCTTGCAGCTTCTCCCCATTCGCCTTCTGCAGCATAAATATTTGACAGCATCACATAAGTCTCAACCATATTTGGTCTCAACGCCAATGCCTTCTTAGCTGCCAACTTGCCCAGCTTCGAAAGGTTATGTGCCTTGCAAGCACCAAGAAGTGCACCCCAAACAGACTCATCGGCCATAAATGGCATGCTTCGTATTAGTTGATATGCCTCCTCAACTCTCCCAGCTCTGCCTAGCAAATCTACAACACAACCATAAATCTCCTGATTTGGCTTGATGTGATAATCATCCATCATGCAGTTGAAGTACCTCAAGCCTTGATCAACTAGTCCAGCATGACTACAAGCACTTAGAACTGCCATAAACACTACCCGATCAGGTCTGATGCCTGACCTGACCATCTCGTCAAACAACTCAACAGCCTCTTTACCATATCCATGAGCCCCATATCCAATCATCATAGAAGTCCAAGAGACCAAATTTCTACAAGACATTTCACTATAAATTTTGTGAGAATCAAATATATTACCACACTTTGCATACATATCAATCAAGGCATTAGACAATTCCAGGTTCCCATTAAGTCCTCTGCAAAAAATTCCTCCATGAACCTGCTGTCCGCAGTGCAAAGCTGCTAAGTTTGCACAGGCTGCTATTAGACTGGTAAAAGTGAAGCAATTTGGACTAAAACCATCTGATTCCATTTGTAAAAATATAAAGAGAGCCTCAATAGAATCTGATCTTTCATACCCTGCTATTAATGTATTCCATGTGATCAAATCTTTTTCACTCATCTCATTAAAGTACTTCTTTGCCTCGGATAAACAACCACATCTACAATACATATCAAGTATAGAATTCATGACGGGAAGATCGGACTCAAATCCCTGTTTGATCACTGCATTATGTATTTGTCTGCCAAGATTCTCTGAGCCAATTGAAGCACAAGCTCTAACAGCAATAGATATGCTATGTGGGTTCATTTCTGCTCCCTCCTGCTTGCCATAGAATGCAAGAAAATCACATATCACTACAATATGTATAGTAAACAGTTCGTGCAAGTTCAAATTACATAACAAAGTAAGGCCATGGTGTGCTATATAATGGTTAAAGTCCTGCTTTTGATGCATCAAGTCTTTCTGTAATCTTTAAAGTCGTATGTTCATCCACTTACCAGTAACATTTCCCGGAAGATTTGAAGTGCGCGACTGCTATTACCTCTGTGAGTGTAACCAGCAATCAAGGTAGTCCAAGACACAACATTCTTCTCTTTAATATCATGAAAGACTACGCAAGCATCCCTCATACTTACACCACAAGTAGCATAGATATCCATGAGAGCATTATCTACATAAATAAACCCCTCCACAAGCCTTCTTTTAATAGCCAATGCATGAACCAAACCCCCACAAAAGACGCTCTTCATGCCTTTACAAGCCTTTAGAACACTCGATATTGTGAACGCATTTGGTGGTTCATTTTCACTCTTCACCATATCAACAAAAACACACCATGCATGAGTGTATTCACTGCAATACGTGTATCCTGAAATCATAGTTGTCCATGCAACAACATCTCTCTCAGGCATTTCATCAAACAAGTTTCGCGCTTGTCTGATCAGGCCTTTTTCAAAATATGATTTTAAGAGGTCTGTAGCTAAAATGGCGGCACCCTTTTGGTTAAAATGGGTGCTTGATTTCTGGGTTGGTTTGTTTTCGGCCCACTGTAGGTAGTTTTTTATCATGGGTGGGAAAGGATGGAAGTTATTGGTGGATAGTAGTCTTTTTGTGCTCATGTCTAGTGTACATGGTCATAGACTGTATTTTGGGTTCTAGTTTAAAGCTCGATAGAAAATGGAGGGAACAAGGTTTCATATAGTGTACATGGTCATAGACTGTATGTGGGTGTCGGCTTTGAGATCACAAAGACAAGATGTGTAATGCCACTGAATCTAGCATTTGTCCCCGTTTTTACAAGACAAGCAGAGGACTTTAAGCTCTTTTTGTTCGGTCCAAAAGACATGGGCTTAACTTACGGTGTTTTTGCTGCAAAAGATCATGACTTGATACAACTTCAAATACACCATTTCCAGTCGTGAAATTCATATTTTTAAATTGCGCATTTGACTGTAATAACGATCGTTGATTGTGGATCACCATTTATTATGTTACTAAAAAAATATTGTGATTCGAATCACGATTTATTATCTTATTAAAAAAATATTGTAATTGCAGATCTTAATTTATTATCTTACTAAAAAAATTATTATAATAATTAATGTTATGAATGTATTATCTGATGTTAATAAATTTAGTTTAAAACATAAAACAAAAAAAATCTTATTTTTTTAATAATAATAATATAGCCGAGCCGTTATTTACTAAATAACAATAATAACAATTGTTATCATTATATGATGTCATTATTCTCATTATGTGGGTGAAACATCGTTAGATTCCTTATAAAACCATATAACGAAAACAAGCATGCTCTATTAAATACTATTGTTATTTGAAACCATCAGAAATCTGGGATTTCAAAAAGACGAAAAAAAAAAAATGAAGGTGTTGATGTATATTACACAAGGCTAAATGCAAGGCAATTATCAGCCTCATTTGTTGAAAGGTTGATCTGATGATTAAGAGTGTATACTTTCTCCTTCCTAAATTCTCACGAATTCCCTAATTTTTTGTTTTGACCGGACTAGAGAGATCGCCTGTGTCGCCAAGCAAAATATCTAACCAGAAAATACCACCTTATTGTAAAAGTTCGAACCCTACAAGTCACCTGTCTCAGCTCTCAACCTTCTCTCATGCCAAGAGCATATGAACCCTAAAAAGTCACCTGGTTTATATACAAGCCATGACTCGGAACATGCATTGCATGTCCATCAAAGATGCACTGTGATCCATTCAGTCAAAAAAGGAAAGGACAATAAACGTGAAGAAATTCCAAGAAAACCCTAGTTTGATAAATAGCGTATATACAAACTGCGTATGACAATGGGAAGAACCATAAAAGCTTTCCTCCCACAAGTAATTGAAAAACACTGATACCGATCAGCTTAGCTAATTAATCGGCTAATTAACATATGATAATTGACTGGATCTATGATCTAATAGAGTCAAGATGCTGCTGCTAGTATACCTTGTATCTTTTGTGGTAGAAAATCAGTGTTTTATTAGTCTATACTAAATGGCATAGCTGTACAGTAACAGACAAATTCAGCCTTTAAAAGAATGGCATCATCCTAGACAAGAATCTGAGACTTAGCTGCGAATCGAGAACACCTCTTCCGGCCACTTGAGCTAAGCCCACAAACACAGATCTCAAGAAGCTCATAATCCTCATCCCAGAATAATAAGGATGCCCTCTCTGGATTCTCCAAGAGAACTTTCGATGTTAGGAACCCAGCAACTGTCCATGTTTGATAAAGTCGGGCTTGCTTTCCAATAAATTTCCCAGTTCGGGTGTCATAATACTCCGGCCAATGGTCAGCATGAAGTCTCTTCTCAGCCAAAGCAACAGCCTTCTGAGCTAGTTCCATTCGGCCCATCTTCATGCATGCCAATGTGAACTGAAAGCAAAATGAAACAATTCAGAGGGCAGAGATAAATCAAGAGATTCAAGGGCAAAAGAAACAGCCATTACATGGTAGGTCCAAACACCATAACCATACATCTTTGAACCACCATCATTGATGTTACTTCTGAAAAAAGTGACATTTTGGGGTCCCCCCCCCCCAACATAACTCTTCCATTAGTATGACCAACCAGAAACCTTCAGAAACCAGATTCCATTTATCGCTTAAACCAACCAAACTAGGAAGAAGGTTTGTTGAGTATGAATCAGGGTTTCATGCTAGTCTGCTGGTCCCAAATCAAAATTGTTAATCCTTAGCAAAACATACATAGTGCAAATGAAGTCAAGCGTACCTGCCACAGAAGAGTTGGCCACGACCCACCATTATGATAGGACCAAGGGCTGCAATGTACAATCAAACAAAGAAATTCTAGATTAAAAAGAAAAAAAAAAATCTAAATTGAACGTTGCATGCACATGCACGGATACCTTAAGTAAAAAATTTAGAAACTCACGTGTTCTTTGGGTCACTGCCAGTGATTATACGCCAATCCTCAGACTCCAGAGCAGGGTAACATATCTTAAGAGGCATATTTCCCACAAGATCATCCCATTTGGCTTCAATCAGATTTAGAATAGCTTCATTTTGTTTCGGGGTACCCAAAGATGAAACAACAGACCAAAGATTTCCAAGAGTGAAAAACCTAAAATCCATGTGAGCTGGCTGCAGATTGCCAATCAGATACCCACCTTCCTCAGGTACCCAATCCATGAGCCATGATGGAATTTGTTCAGGATAAATATTGAATTTGTTGGTGGCTTCTGTAGAATACTCTTCGGTCTTATACCGGTATATCTCATTGATCTTTTTCATATCCACCCAATAGTATTCCCTAATGTGGAATGACAGTGCACTGAGTCTGTTGTTGACAGCCCTCACTAAATTCTTTGATCCATCGTTTACAACTAGCATCTCACGGGAGGACCGTAGAGCAGAGTAAAACAAGGCCTGCAGAAACAGACTTGTGGTTGTAAGGTAAACCATAGATGAGGAAGCATATAAAAAAAGTGAAAGAACAAAGCTTGTGCATAAAACAGGGTGATTACAGACTGACATTCTGTACTCATGAAACGAAGAGAAGGGGGAAGAAAAAGAAAAAGGAGTGTCAGAGCAATGTTTAAAAGGTTGTTGGAGAAATGAAAAATATATAACAGACCGAAGGCACATGCAAAAGGTGAAAGTTGAGTTTTCCATATCATTAAACTTGCTTACCTCACAGCTGCATCTTATAAAGCTTTAAATCATTACATTTGCAGAAAGTCGGAAAGTTATTCATAAACCAGACTCCATTTCCACATATAACAATTAAAAGCAATGCAGGGATACTTAGGTTATGGCACCTCCAAACTCATATACAACAGAGCCACAAATTTCCAACTGGAAAAACTCCACATCACTTGAGTACAACTCAAAAAAGCATATTACCAAGGACTTAAAGAAATCACAGTAACAATATGTTCAAGTATATTCCATTGTGGAGGAAACAGAAATGCAGTGACAACATAAATAGCCCAGGTCCAATTACCAACCAGCACGCTCCAAAAGGACAAGGTAAGGAAAAAACTCACTTGGATCTCAAGGGGGTGACCATGGATCCCCATCCGCCGATCTATCATGCAGGAGCCATCAGTGACTAGTAGAGAAGGAAACATATCGAACCCATCAGCTAAGCACAAGTTTAAGATCAGTTTTATGCCAGTCTGAACATCCACCCTTTCTTGTAAGGCATAGTCACCAGTGAGTTTCCCATATGCCCTTAATAAAATAATCCACCACAACCCTATTAAAAAAGAAAAGAAGAAACATGGATGTTATCAATCAACAAGAATCAGTAAAACTACTGGGATCAAGTGTTGTCTCCTGGAATATATTGTTACAGCTACAGAAGTTGGACTTTCACAATTAAACATATGGGACCGCCAAGGAAGGATAAATAAACATCCTTACTAGAATCAAATCAAAGAACCATGTCAATTTTTAAAATTGAAATGTTCAGAGGTGCAATGTACTAACCAGAATCCACTGGTGCGACACGGCCAATAGCTGATTCACCAAAGTCAGGATCTAAAACTTCTTCAAATTTATCGTCATCAAGAGGCACCGTTCTGACTTTAAAACTGGCAGGCATCAGCCCCTGGCCTGGACTATAGCAGTCCACTGTTTTCTCCCAACTCTAAAATAAAACAAAAACAACTTTTTTGTGATTTCCAGAACATCAAATATATAAACTTTGCTACACATGCACGGACATGGCTAGCCAATGTGAACAATAGGCGGAAACCTTAAAGGATAACAAGGATAAAAAACCAGTTCTTGAGAAATAGCAAATTTAGTAGCAGATGGCATTTGAATGCTCGGATCATCATTAGAAAGTTTACCAAGGTTTGAAGCTGACATTTATACTAAAATTTGTAAACAATAATGGTCAACAAGGAATATTGGAGAATTTTATGACTTAAATGAATCCTCATTAATAACTCGTCATACATAAATCAGGCATTTTAATACTTCTCAAAATAGAACAATGATATAAATAAATAAATAAAATATCATATGGAACAATGAAAGGCTGGATCAAGCAAACATACAAAAGCTGGAATTTTACCTGCAACTGCAAGGTATGAAGCAAGAAATTCTTCACAATCTCCCCTTCTCCTCTCAGCAAAAACGCAAGAGCTGAAGGCACGAAATCACGAATAAACACCTGATCATAATTCAATGGCATCTTATCCCCTGGATCATTAGCAGCCACGGTCCCCACAGGACTCCCACAATACATAACAACAGCATTATTCAACAACTTCCATGCTTCCTTTTCCATATCACTCTCTTCCCTCTTAGGACTAATAATCTTAACTCCTAGGCCACCATCCAAATTCTCTCTGTTTACACTTTCACCATCATCAACAAGAACCCCTAACCTAGACTCTTCAGCCCCTAAAACATTCTCATCTTTATCAATCCTCTCAACCACCAAAGGCTTAACATTAATCCCATTTTGCACATAAATTCTCTCAAAATTCTTATCGTTCACTCTTGTCTCAACAGATGTTGAAAACTCCCTAATTTGTGATGCACAACTAGCAACAACAGAAACCCCCCTACCATCTCTTGTTGTAAGTCTAGATTGGCCTAAACTACTATTGGGAACACAAAAAGATTTCTGGGCTTCATTGAAAATGGTTCTAAACCCCAAATTTCTAAAAGGGCAGGCCAAAAACTGCTTGTTTTTATCAAAACTAAACTGATTCCCAGATAAATTGCTTGTTAAACTATGATGGTGCTTGAAAAATACTGGATTTTTCTTAGATATAAGGAATCTACAAGAGGGTTTCATTGTTGAATTTCCAATAAAAATAATTTTATTCATAGAATCAATAACCAAAAAAGAAAGAAAAAAATTGTGTTTAAGAATTTGTATGCGAAGAAATGAGGAAAAAAGTTCGTATCCTTTTTGTATTTCCAAGCAACAAAAGATGGAAAGTTGAAGGATTAAAAGGGAAATTAGTGTTTGTTTCGAACTTACAGAGAGAGATTGGTAACCTATGACAACAGATTTTGGTGTCTGAACAAGGAGGAGAGGAACAGGAAAATGTCCTTTTATATAGGCAGTTCTGAAGAAGGGAAAGATGTTGTCTTGGCCCTTGTGGGTATTAAGGATCAAGCGTGTGGAATTTAACTTTAAAGTTTCAAATGACCATAATACCCCTGCCAAGAGTTATTTTTAGTCCTTATAATTTGTGTGATGTTATAGAGTAGTCTCTGTGTTTGAAAATACTTAACTTAGCTCTTTGAGTCTTTGACTCTTCTTGACCGTTGGCTTGTTAAAACATGTTGATTGTTTCTTTAAACCCGCACTATGTTGGATTTTCTTTAAGAATAAAGGACGCATTTGAAAATTTAGGAACAAAACAACAACAATGTTTTGATAAAATCGGATCAACAAGAGTTAACGGTTTGAGTTGTGGATTTCGAAAACTAAAGATTAATTTATTATTACATTAAAAAGCCAAGGACTATAGAATAATTGACCCATTTCTTTGGTTTTTGATTTTCTTATTTCCTATTTTTAAAGCTTGATTGTCAAAGAGGTAAGAAAATCTAATTTGAGATAATTAAGAAAAATCTAACTATCTAACAAAAAATTGTTCATTTTTAATGTCCAAAAAAAAAAATTGGAAAGAGAGGCTAAAAGGTATTAAAGAAAATCTAAAAACTGCACATTAATTATCGGATTAGTATCGATTTTGCTTCAAATAATTTTTTATCGATATTCTCTCGAAACTTACTGATGAAACGTTATTTCTTTTTTAACAAAAAGTATATAATTCGGATGAAATTTGTAATCAAACATGGATGAAAAGACTTAGTTTAGAATTTTTAAAACTTGGAGGATGAAAATGAGAATACCAATATATAGTTTCAGGGTATTTTGAAGTTTCCCAAAATATTATCCTTTCGTTCACCGAAGCAAAGAAGAGTAGCCCATTTCCCCATATTTTCCCTAGTTGCGTGTTTAGCCAATGGTTGCTCCTGAATTTATCTTCAATTTTGGCTTTAACCAAAGCCTACCCACGTTTTTTGGAAGTATTTGTTTTTGGCGTTAGGTTTTTGAGGTCTCATGTTCATGGGCCATGGCTCATGAATTTCACAGAGCAAAAAGGGAAGATAAGTGCTAATGATGTGTCTAGAGATTGCCCTTCAATTCCTTTCATCTCTCTCCATCTAAAACTAGCAGCCATGAATATTCTCCACCATTGAAAACGTTCCTTGTGTCACGAATGATGAATTGGATTGCACTTTTCTGAACTTTTTGGCCCTTTATTTTTTTTCTCCTTTGCATCCCAAAATCCAAATATTGGTTTTTGATTGTCTTAATGGAAAACGTGCACCAAAAGGTTGGAAAAGCCAATGGTATTTGAGCTTATCCACACCATTTTCCAATGATATGGAAATTGACAGCTGAACCATGACCAATTTTACAAAAAACAAATGGTTTTTTACGTTGGAATTGGGCTTGGAGAAATATATATCCCATCCATTCCACAATGGACAAGGTCAAATCGACTTGTTGGGGTATGGCAATGAAACTAGGGAAAGCCATGTAAATTGGTCCTAGTCTTATCCCCATATTGAGTGCACCAAGGGTAATCATCCTTGAAATGGTGCAAGAGGATATCTCCTAGCTTTAGGACCTTTTCTTGGGCTTTCTATACCCCAAGTTCTGGATTAGTAGAACCATCTTTAGTTTTAAGGAGTAAATTATAAATTAGTCCCTCTTGTTGTTTTTTTTAAAGAATTAATTAGTCATCTTATTTAAAAAACTAAATATTTAGTCCTTTTATCCATTTTACTTGAATAAATAAACAACTGAATCTGTCTTTATATAATAGTCTGAATTTTTAATTTGTTTCAACATTTCTAATTATATCTATTATATTTCTGTAAAATGTTTAAGCCTATCATTTCGATCAATTTATTTGACTATATATGAATTTTTTTAATTAAAATGTCCTAACTAAAACACCAAAAAAAAAAAAAACACTTAAAGAACATGGCCAGTATGTTTTATTTTTATGGTCTTAAATTTTTAATTTTTATTTGTTATATTTCAATTATGGACATATCGATTACAAATTTTGCTCTTGATCGGAAAAATCGATTCGAAAAACAGATTAGAGACTTAAATGTTATTTAGAAAAATAATAGATGTAATTAAAAATGTAAGGATGAATTAAAGATTCACACTATTACATAAGAAAAAAATGAAATATTTATCTTTTTATTTTATTTCTAGTTTGTTTTTTCTTTTGTTTTAAAAAATAGAAAACTGAAAAAATAAGTGCATATATGAAAATATTGATGAAAAAATAAGATATTTTTTAAAATAAAATAATATTAAAATATTATTATTATTCAATAAAGATAAAAAAAATTAAATTATTTTTTTTAAAAAAGGATTAATTAATTCGTTTCCTAAAACTAGAGGGCTAATTTATAATTTACTCGTAAATCAATAAACAAAGCAATGGGCTCTAGCCTAAAAAATTCTCAATGCTTTGTTTTGGGTCAAGTCTAAACATCAAGGCCCATGGAATTCCTTGTAAGAAAGGTAACTCAGTCCTCCAATAAAATTCAAACACGTGTTCTTGGACCCCACTCCATCTCATCCTCTCACCTTTCTATCTTCTCTCACCATGACACGAACACTAGCTTGTGTGTTTCAAGCTCATCAAGAAATGGCAAGAATTCTTGACTCGTTTCTTCCTCCAATTCAACTCACTCATGCAACTCGTTCTCGCTCTACTTGGCTCAGTTACTCAATGCCCTTCTCACCACAATCCATTTGCTGCAGCTCTATATCTCACAGCAACCAACTGGTATGTCTTGTCTTTCAAAAAATTATAATTTCTCATTCAGACAGTTCCTTTTCTTTATGTTTCTGGCTTTTCCTTTCTATGGTTAGTTCTTTGTTCTTGATATGAAATGGGAATGTGGTTTAATTTTCATGGTTAAATTTCCATTCGTGGCTAGGAATCCAAATGTAAAATATGAAAAAAGGAGTAAGAATAGAATGAATATTTTGAATTTATGGGATTATTAAAAATGATTTGAGCAGCATGATCTTTCTAGTATCATTAATTTTTAAGAAATATTCAGCTATATGGTTGATTTAGCCACTAACTTGGTCTAAATTTAAGGTAGTCCAGTGATATTACAGCAACATGATCTTTGTCTCCCATGACCAAGTATATCTGAAACAACCTAGTTACCTAAGCCAGTAGGAGCTGTTAGATGTCAAGCTGATATGGCAGAATGTATGATTCCAATGGGTTGGAAACTGAGATTTCTAGGATTCCTATGTTTGGTTGGCATGGAGTCTTTTATGTGATTTCCCTCCTTTACAAATAGGAATCTGACTTCCACAGGCATCACTTTCTTGAAGGGGGAGTCTAGAATGCCGATGCTCAAAGTATAGGCACCATGCCCATGTCCATTAGGGCCATTGGATTTGAAAGAAATAGTAAAAAGGGACCAACTAGATTCAAATCGAATGGCTTAATGGCCATTGGCATGGTGCTGATGCGCAAGCATCGGCTTTGTAGGAATCCCAGCTTCCAAACACATGCTAGCGTAAAGGGTTTTGATCCCATGACGATGTTACCTTTAGTCTTCTAATTAAGTAGCTTTGTGTTATGAAATGATTTATGTGTTTTTTAAGTTGCTGTACCCTGAATTTGGATGATGAAATGTCCCCATTTTCTTAACTGATATGCAGCTTCTTGTCTTCTGTATCATTAAGCCATTTCAAATTGCTTCTCACAACATGATTTTTCATGTAAACATAATCAGACTAAAGCTTTTGCAGTTCCAAGGAGAAATGCAATGGCATTGATCTTGTCAAGTTACATTTTCTCAGAAGCTGGTTTCGACAATATTGCATTTGCTCAACAGTCTGTTGGGTTCAGGGAATACATCGATCAATTTGATGGGTATTCATTGAAGTACCCTCAGAATTGGATTCAAGTTCGAGGTGCAGGAGCTGATATATTCTTCAGGGATCCTTTCGTTCTCGATGAAAATGTCTCGGTGGAGATGTCATCTCCTTCCTCTTCAAAGTACAAGAGTGTTGAAGACTTGGGTCCTCCAGAAGAAGCTGCAAAAAAAGTACTTAAGCAGTATTTAACAGAGTTCATGTCTACTAGACTTGGCGTCAGACGGGAATCAAATATTCTTTCAACATCCTCAAGAGTTGCTGATGACGGAAAGCTTTATTACCAAGTTGAGGTAAGTTGTTGTGTGTCCAAAGACGCCATTCATGTACTCGACAGAGCTTATTAGCTAGTGATTATTGTCGTTCTTAAGTGCATAGAAGTTTTTTCTAATCGGACCATCATGTCATCAGGTAAACATCAAGTCCTACGCAAGTAACAATGAACTTGCTGTTATGCCTGAAGAACGAGTAGTTCGTTTGGAATGGAATCGGCGGTACCTGTCAGTTCTTGGAGTTGAAAACAACAGGCTGTATGAGTTGAGATTACAAACACCAGAAAATGTATTTGTAGAAGAGGAGAATGATCTTCGCGAAGTTATGGATTCCTTCCGAGTGAATAAAGTGATTGCTTGATTAGTTGAGTTTTTATAGATTTATCCAACATTTTGTAGGTTGGGATTCAAAATTCTCTTTTTTCCTTTGCTGCTTTCTTTATTTTTCATTTGGAAGTATCAATTTGATAGCTTCATCCATATTCAATGTCAGTTTTGTTTTCCAGTATGGTTTTCTTCGTTGCATCAGTCCTCTGGTTTTTCGGTAGTGTTACCAAGTTGACACACAAAATCAACGTTTAATTACCCTGAGTTTGTCCACAAGGGCACTGCAGGGCATTTTGTGACTGGAACGCAACTTCTTGAAACAGAGCAAGAGCAATTAGTGAGAATGAGAGCCAACACATTCGTTGGTGAAAAAATTGATCACAATCACAATTAATTTTGTTAAAAAATGGAAATTCTGGAAGTATCATCTAGGTTAACTGGCATGCATTCCAGAGAATAAAATAATCACACGAAGCAACGAAACAAATTGGAAATTTATCTCGGTACAACATAAAATCTATGACCTAACTTCATATAGTCCTGATCTTGTAAGAGCTCGAAAGCCTTTATAAAGACGGCTTGGTACAACCCTTAGATCCAGTTTATCTAATTGCACTCCAGAAAGAGCAACACCCTGGATCCTGAAACCCACTCGAAATGTGGGAAATACATGAAGGCGTTCTAATCCTGTCTCAAGCATTAGTGTTCCAGACAATGCAGGGGCTCTATCTTTTGGTATTCGATCAATTGACCAAGTACATGTCTGCATATGCATGTTAGCAAACTAACCAATCAAACTCAGAAACATACAAAAAAATAAAAAATAAAAAAAATTCCAGCCTGAAAAGAATTTTCCCTTTTCATTTTCAATTAAAAAGGAAATGTACAGCCCTTCTTTATTACTCAGCCGCTACCCACTATTTGTCAAGTAAAAATATAAATGTTCACAAGTGAGGCACTGAACTAGCATTTTAGTCATTTTTCCAAACAAAGAGACATGGAGCATGCTTTTTTTTTTTTTTTTTTTTTTCATAACATAACAAAACGCATCAAGATAATTTTTCTCACCAAACACTGAAGGTACCAAGATAAGTTCAGCACAGATACCTTGTTTGAGAAGATGGTCACTGCACCATGATTTGCAGTCAGATCAGCTGATAAAACACATGAAGGCAGTTGAAATTGCACTGTTATTGAGTCAATTATCTTTGCAGGGTCATTTCGTATCCCAACCATCACATTGATGCGGCATGTCCCAGCATCAGATGTAATCTGTGGCTTTACATATATCGGGGTACTTTTCAACTTTCTAACCCTGGATAAGGGAGCAAGGTTATTTAATAAGAAAACCTACAGCATACAATGTGACCAAAGGAACTAAGAAGTAAGAGGCATAAGACTATAAGCATTGTCCACATCTTTCCCAAACAGATCCATCTTGAAGATATATTTCATAATAGCAATGCCTCAGATTAGTCAGCTAAATGATCACAAACTGGCACTAAAGAACAAAAACATTTAGGATAGGTTAGACACTACGAACCTGTAACTCATGAGCTTAAACAGTCCATCAGGAGGCACAAATGATAGAATATGATGGGATTCCCAAGGCCGAAACCGAACACAGGGATGAAATCTGACATCATCCATAATAGACGGGTTTGTAAATGACAGAGTCAAGTCAGGAAGACCTGTTATATGGGAGTTTACTTGAACTTCACCATAAATCTCACACTTTACCAAGACCCCATCCCTGAAAAATGCATTTGAAAGAGAAAATTGCTTAGCCACTTCAAGTGTGAAACCACACAGGATAAATATATTAAATATTCGATAATAACAACCAAAGCAGCAAATTTCTTAGATCTTTAACCTGACATGGAATTTCTGAGAGCCTCTAAAGTTAAATAGTTCATATGGAAGTAAAAAATCAAATATAATATGCACAACAACAAATAATGGTAAGTGACACTCCAGATCTGCGTTCAATACAAGAAACATATTGAGGCAGTCAGGCAGTTAATGATACTCCTGAGATGGTCCCATTCCCCATTTGTTATGTGCTAGTAGGAAATATTTGTACTGGAGACTCTTCAATCATATGTGAAAGTATCTATAAGAAGATTCCAAATTACACATGTTGTATTATAATCATGAAGGAGAAGACATTCAAATAACCAGTTGATGGGAGATGCACCTAATACAAGTTCCTAGAAAATTTAACAACATAGCCATACCTATTTATAATTGCATCCATTTCTTCAACAAGATCAACGTAAACTTCATTATTAGCATATTTTATGTCTGTTGTTCTCCATGGAACGCAAGATGCTGTTGCACCTGGAAGAGTGTCGCTCACATTTGAGCTGCTACCAGTCACAACACTCAGCATTTTGCTCACAATATTTGGTGGAGCTATCATCTCCCTCAGGATATTAGATTCTGTGGTCAGGGGGAAGCCATTGTCTATCATCTCGTCCAAAAGCTGCAAATTTTAATTAAAATGCTGGTTTGTGAACACAAAATAGGGGGGAAATCAGGGAAAGGAGGAAAATATTGAACCAGAGGAGAGCTTTTAGATTTTCAATTTATCCCTTTTAATCTCAACCAATGAAATAAAAACGAAAGAAAAGAACCTTTTATTTTTAATATTTTTTGCAAAATTTCTGGTACAGTGAAAATTGTATATAGAAAAAAAGCTACAAACACAGTTTTTCTATTGTTGATATTATCTCATATAAGGTGAAATATACCATCTTTTGGTTTTAAAACCATATAATATAGTGAGGTCACTTAAAAAAATAACGTAGTCACTAGTAATTAGACAGAATGTGTTGAAAGACTGACTTATTATTTTCAAACAAATTAAGGTTGATTCTCGAGGCATAGCCTTGAAACCTTTCTCTGAAGTCCCAAAACAACAGTCTAATTACTAGTAATGGATCCTATACATGAGTAGTGACCACTTCTCAGACCAGGCATTTCCACGCAATCCCAAAATATACCAAGAAATTATGCTATTATAATAATTCAAAACAAGAAACTAAAATAACAACCAAATGTAAAATATTATGGAGAAAAGCACCTCGTACACAATGATGAAGTTATCCTTTATCACATCTTCATTCAACCCTTCAAGGTAATCTGAGAGGACATCAGCTACTCTGCAAAGAAACTGAAAATCTGGTAGGTAAAAGTCAAGGACTTGAATAACATCAACACATGCATAATCACACTCCAATCACAAAGCACATAAAGCTAACAATATCTACCTCAATGCCCATCAAAGGGGGCATTTCCACTTGGGTGCAAGCTAAAAAAGTGATTCCCTCGCGGACAATTTGGAACAAGTAGTGCGTTGGTGATGCAATAACCGATTGTTGCTATCAAAACAACAGCAAAGAAAATGAAAAATACAACACAATGACAAAAGCAACAACAACAGAGAACATACTAAAAAGAACTCAAAAATTCAATTGGATAAAAAAAAGATCAAAGCTTTAAAATACACAAGGCAAAAACAGTTAAAACAAACATGAATCATTGAAAAAACCCTAAGATTGAAATCAGACCCAGAAGTTAAAATTCCAAAATGAGGTTACAGAATATTGTTAAAAGCCATAAAGATAACAAAATGAAACCCAAAAAGATCCTAGCTTGAGAGTAAACAAGCCAAAACAGCTAACATTAACCTCAATTACCCAAAAAATAAGAATACAAATAGACCCAGAAGCTAAAACCTCCAAATTGAAGCTAAAAAACATTGTCAAAAGCCATAGAGCTACCAAATCAAACCCAGAAAAGATCAAAGCTTGAAACTACAAGCCAAAAACAGCTAACATAAACATGAATTACACACAAAATTCAGATTAAAACCAAACCCAGATTCCAAAATTGCAAAACAAATCCAGCAAACAATGTTAAGGTTTCAAAAGTACCTTAAAGGAATCACCTTGAGAAATGACTTGATCCCAAAACCAAGCACAAATGGATCTATCTACTTTATGCCCAGTTAGCTGTTTCTCTAGCATTACCTCCCTGTTACAGAATATCACACAAAACGCACAAAATTCAGTTGGTGATATTAATCAGATCAAATAAAGATGCAGTCTTTATTGTTTTTGGATTTGAAAGATTTGTTTTTGATGGATTTTGAGACTAACCCAGAATCTGAAAGAAGAAATATACACTGCAACATCTCTCCGTGCTGCTGTTTATTTTGCTTGTTTCTTTGGAGGATAAAGGTGGAGAAGAGAAGTAGAGGGAGCAGACAAAAAGTTCGTAGAGAACGGTTTTGAGTTCGGTAAATACAATAAGAGAAAACATCAAATAAGTCCAATTCTTATATAATAAATCTTATTTAGTCCTTAAACAATTTTTTTCTCAATCAGGTCTTTTTAGTATTTAGAAATTCTCAATTGAGTTTTTTTTTTAAAAAAAAATTAAACATGCAAAATATGATCAATTTAGAATTTTCTAGAATAAAAATATAATTAAATCAAAAAATTGTTTGGGAGCTCAATTGAGAAACCTTAAATATTTAGGAGATTTACTTGAGATTTAACCAAATTAATTATAAGAAGCCTTTTTATTTTTTACACAAATAAAATTTTAGACTGAAAAAATTAGTGCATCTTTTTTTTAAAAAAAGGAAAAAGGATTGAGTGAGGAAATCAATTTATTATCAAGCACATTTACTGAATCTAATTAAAAAGGGTCTTTCAATCAACCATAGGAATTTGTTTTGTAAGTAATTCAAGTCATCGGATCATCATCCACCATTAATCCCCATCGTTCTATCAGCCAAAAAAAAAAAAAAAAAACCACGTCATCAACATACATCATCCTAAGTTCATAGCCTCGTCAATTGCCAATGCTGAGCTTCTTACTTCTTGTGATAGTTGGTTGCTTTTGTCTTTGTATGATCAAGAAAATGAGAGACTATTGCTTCTGTATCCAATCACCAGAGAGTACAAGGAGTTTCCATGTTTTGAGTATGGATCTTTGCAAGGAACATACATAAACAATTTTCCATTTTTTTTAAACTAATTCATGGAGGAGCATCTCCATTCCTAATTGGTATAGTACTGTTTACTGCCATGGGGACTCCTTGACTGGAACTCTGCATTGGGTTTTCATGGAAGAAGAAGTCCTTAATTTTTCAAAGATGCTAGCACGTCAAGAAAGGAAACCTCCTGAAGAACATATATATCAAAGCACTAAACAAAAGAAGAAATAAAAAGCTTTTGTCTTTTCAAGTTTCACAATAGTTTTGTTTCTATTTAATTTGTTCATAATTTATGCTAACATTACTCATAGACTAGACCTATAGCATACACCCAACAAATAACAACCAACAAGAAGTTTTTTCATCTACAATGCCGAAGAATAATACTACTTTTTCAGATGAAGCCTGCATCTCGACCTGCCTTTTCGAATCAGTTTTTATAGGACTATGGGAGAACTGCAATTTTCTATGCAGCTGTTGGCCTCATTCCCCGCAATGAATTAGTTATCTACAACGTGGATGATAAATCATCTAGTGGACTTTTATGGGATTCAAAGAAGTGAAGGATTTGAGCAGGGAAACATATATATGTAGATAGTTCAATCCCTCTTAATGGTCACTGCTGGCGTAATAGAGGCTACATCCCCTCCTCCATTAATCATTGTAAAGAGATGAAAAATGAAGAATAAATTAGATTGTCAGCAGTATCTTCAATGGTACGGTATCAGTATCATTTCTTTAAGACCTGTTAATTACAACTCAAACGTTTTTGCTCAAATTAGTACTAAACTGAATTAGTACATTTTTTTGTTCTTTGTCTGGACAGGACATGGATGGGTGAAGTTTTTGCTAAAATTCTCAGTCCTTATTTAAAAATAACTTGGTCCTCTAATTTTTGATATATGCAATTCAGTCCTTGAATCAGAATTTATTTATTTATTTTTTCAATTAAGCCTTTACATGTAAAAATTCATTTTAATAAAATATAGGTAATTTTTTTCAAACTTTAGTCAACTAATTAAATTAAAAAAATAAATGAGTGATAAATAGATAATAAATAAGGATAATTATCGGAAAAACCTTATAAAAAAATCTTATATCTAAAAAACTCACAAATTTATTTTTAAATCTCCTAAGCCCAAAATAAAATTTTTCTTACCAAAACAACCAATAGTTAACACTAGTGTTAACTATTGGTTGTTTTGGTAAGAAAAATTTTATTTTGGGCTTGTGAGATTTAAAAATATTATTTTGTGTTTGGGATATTTAAAAATAAAATAGTGAATTTTTTAAATAGAAGATTTTTTAGAAGGTATTTTGGTAACTATCCTTAGTTTAAATGAAACCATTATCTTTCAATATATGTATTTCTATTATGGATGATCATGTTTTACTTAATTAATGCACCAAACTATGTTATACATTCATCTTGTAATTTAATTTAATTGTTTGATAAAAAATATTGAGTTTTGATTAATTAAAAACTAGTATTACCGATGATACTTTTTTTCTATCAATGTATTGGGATTTAAGAAATTACTAATGTTCATAATTATACATATTCTTATTTTTCTTATTTGTATGATAACCTTTTGATTAAATTATAAGAGAATAACACGTGTCTCATTTTATTAATATTAATTAGTTAAATTGCATCAATTGCTATAGGTACTAGATAATAAAATTAATCTTAGAATTAATGAAACAAACGGTCAATAGAAAAAAAAACTCTAATATAAGTAATTTTTTAGTATAGTAAAAAAAAAAAAACAATCGAGTGTTAGTTTTTAAAAATTTTATATCTAAAAAATTCATCAATTTATTTTTTAAATCTCTCAAACCTAAAAATAAAAAAAAATTATCTTACCAAAAGATCCAATAGTTAATGAGTGTTAAATTGAAGGTTAACTATTGGGTGTTTTGGTAAGAAAAATATTATTTTGGGTTTAAGAGATTTAAAAATAAATCAATGGGCTACTTAGATATAAAAAATTTTTAGACGGTTTTTTTGATAATTATCCCTAATAAATAATATGAGAATTTGAGAAATAATGATTTTGATCATGGTACTGGACAAGTTTGTTCCACCTATGATGGAACAAGAAAAACGTCTTAAGAACAGCTTTTAGACAAGACATGTTGTCTTGTGTATCAAATATTGTTAACTTTGTCTTGTTTTGTCTAGTATGTGTATTAATATAACTTGTTCTATCTTATCTAATATGTATACTAAATACAACACAATTTGCCATATGTATTAAACATATACAAATATTTATAGATTCTTATTTGAATTATTTCTGTTTTTAAAAAAATATGTTTGATATGTTGTGTTGAATAAAATGTCTTAATGACAACTTTAGATAAAACATTTTGTCTTATCCGATATGTGTTTTAAATATCACACAGTTTATCTTGTTTTATTTAATATATGTATTAGCATAACTTATCATATCTTATCCGATGTGTACACCAAAGATAACACAACTCATATATTGTGTTGTATAAAACAAACTTTATAGTGTTTAGTGCATGCATAACAAGTTATATATATATATATATATATATATATATATTGACCGGAACATAATAAGTTGAATTGTGTTTGGTGCATACTTTGGACAAGATGTGGATTAATCCTTGTTTAGTGCTCCAAACACTGTACAAAGTGATTGATTAGTAAAGATTGGCAACATTTGCCCATAGTTCAATCGCTCTTAATGGTGATTATTGGCTCAATAGAGGCAGCTGCAGTGCGTCCAATATGCGTTGTGCAGATGAAAAGGAAGAATGAATTAGACTAGGTAATTCATGTACCTTCAATTGTTTTGGAGAGTTTTCTTAGGTCTTGATCTAGAGACCTGTTTTTCGTTAAGACTGCTTTGCTCGTTTCGCTGCTTGCTTTCATCGTTCAATGGTATAACTTTTATTTTTGTTTTGCATGTCTTTGACAGCAGCCATTGGATTTGTTTGAGGTCACTCAAAACCTGAGAACAGAAAACTGGGTTTTTAACTACACACATTAAAGCAGTTGTGAAGCTTGGGTCGTGTCCTGGCTATGAACATGGAAGCAGGAAATGATTCTGCTCAAGTGTCATGAACCCTTTGCAGCCTAATTGCTCTGTTCTAGTTGACGCCACTGCATGTCTCCCATGGCAAATGTATCTCTACTTTAATTGTAATGAAAGGAACAAGATTATCTTATTCATGATTACGAAATTGTCATAAAAACTTTTCTATAATGGTGAAAAGAATCAATTCTCAAATGTCTCCAATGCTGGAATTGTACTAACAACTTTTAGCTACTTTCATTGTAGTCTTACCTTATATGAATGTCAAGAAGAATCTCACATGAGATTTATAGGAATGAAATAAATACTGAAGTTATAACAGATGGTATAGACTTATAGATTTTAAAAGTACATCGCCACATACCACAAACTTATTATAATTATAATAATAAATGCGTGCCATTTTCTTATTATAATTATAATACTAAACGCGTGCCATTTTGATATATATATATATATATATATATAATCAATGATATGTTTAACTATTAGATTCAATGGTAATTAGTTTTTTACATTTAAAGTTTATGACGGTGATCAATTCAATCCGTCATACTAATATGATTTCTATTTCATTAACTATTAATGATGACTTTCAAATACTATTAAATTTAAGATCATTTGGTATTAAAAAAATCTTAACAGTCAATCTAAAGTTAAATGTATTCTAATGTCGGTTTAGCTCAAGAAATAATAAGCTTAATCTTAGCTAATATAAAAATTAAACTGAAAATACCTTACTATATATATATATATATATATATATATATATATATATATATGTATATAAGTTACAAAGATATATATTACGAAACAATAATAAATAAGGTAGTCAATAAAAGCGATATGTAAAGTAACAATTCAAGATTATTTGAAACTCTATCCTAAAGTCTATTAAGGAGAGTTTGATGTGGAGTGAAGTGGTTGTAGTTGGTGGTGTTCTTGTTCAGGTGTAACCCTTGATGGAGAAAAGGTTGAAACTGGCCGAGAGTGTTGCTGTGTTGATACAACCCGACAAAATGCTCCAGAAATTACCTTACAAAAGTCATCACACTTTTATGACGATGGGACAAAGCGATAATCTTCCACAACCAAAACTTTAGTCTCTAAGCATTTACT